ATTTTAAACTAATCTATAGGCAGCACATTCTAGTGATTAGAGACCTCTAGTTTATAAAGTAGTCCAATTTAGTTTTCAAGTCATTTAAATGCACATCAGAACTGAGTTTTAAATACAGAGCTAAGGTTAATAGTTGCTGGCTTTTTAGACTCTTACTGTATTTTCTAGAGTATTTTTGATGTTTGTACAGATAAGGAATGAAAGAATTATGAACAAAAGATTGGGGGGAGAGTGCAAAGTGATAAATCTATAAGTTTGTTCCATGATTTAAGGCGTATTGCTGGAAAACAGTACTTGATGCTTATATCAACTAGTGCAATGTTTAGAGCTGGAAGAAAGCAACTTTGGAAAAAGAGCATTGGCAGAGTTATAAAGGTAAGTAAACCTGAACTTTGAACTAGGTCAAGACTAGTAACTGTAGAATTTGAATAAAGGTGTGAATTGAGGGGGGAAGGGTGTAGAAAAATACGTGTTTTAAAAGGTGTAAGTGGATGATGTTGGTTTCACAAAACATTCTAATTGTATAAAAACAGATAAACTGCATTTTAAAGTAAAACATAGTAATTGGGATAGGTATTTGTCATGAGAGGTAGTTTTTTTGTGGAACTGGCCTTGTAAGTTAATTGGTAGGGTATCAGTCAAGGCTTAGTTGCACTACTTGTTTTGCAAGGTAAAGGAGACATTTATGCGTTCGACTACTGGTATTTGTATCTCGTCCAGATTGTTTCAGTGGTCTGGTAATAGTATAATTCCACAAATATTATACCGGTACAATGAAGAGCTTGATGCTAGATCTGGCAACAAAACAGAGGTGGGCTCTGGCGCCAAGGGAAACAGAAGTTTAACTTTAGTCTTCCCAAACTTGTAAATATTGGGAATGTAATTCTGAAGACACTGTGTAGCACTGATAAACAATAATAAAATGCAGGTGTCATTAAGACCCTTAGACTAATTTTAAAAGCTGGTTATTTGAACAAGCTATTAAAATACTGTTATAACTAATGTGGGAAACCTCTGAGTTTGAGATTTAAGAGTCAGCTAAGGGGACTGCCCTAATTCTGTAGGCTGTTGTGTTTTTTGGAGAGGAGCGAATAAAAAGCTGTGTGTCTGAAAACTTGGAGTGCTTGGAAAGTGTAAAATGGTTCACAGTTTAGTTTTGCAGGGAAATCCATGAGTGATACTTATGCAACATAAAACATGATAGCATGCCCAAGAAGAAAGAGAGCAATGTTGGTTAAATATGCTTTGCATAATACAGTAAATTAACAATAGAACACTCTTACTTTTTGACTCTCTTATTATTAAACTTCTCAGTTCAGGTGTATTGCTCATCCATAAGACTTTGATCTAGGTGTGTCTAAATTCCATAATGCACAGTATTCTGACAACGGTGTGCATCATTTCCTGGAAAAACTGGTCAGAAACAAGTTTTAACTTGTGTATTTATGACTTCATGCTCACTCTATTTAGAGTGTCTGCAGACCCAGCAGGAACTGCACTCTGCAATGCAGAGCTGGTAATAGTCAATATTTGGATTCTGAGGCTGTTATTTCAAAGGAAGGACCACTGGCATCTGAATTGTGGTCTTTCAGTACCTTCTGTTTAAATATAGATACACATATATACTCTTGCGGTAGTTACGTTTTTTTTAAGTTTTAACTTAATCCTCATTTATTGCTTCAGATTGGTGTGATGGCTATGGGCAAATATGTTAAAATGGATTTAGAAATCTTCCCTTCTGCCTCAGAAGATGATCTCTACTGAAATTACTTTCCTGTGCTAAATTTTTGATATTTAGGTATTAGGAATTGTAAGGTCTTATGTAACATAAAACAAGTTACTTGTTATAACTAGACCAATCATCAAAGGAGGACTTCTTGGTTAGTTTATCTTTGGACTTGCATCTGTTGTAAGATTGTGTCATGTGGCCTTTCTTAGCTTTGTAACTAACAGAGGGGGAAAAGAAACCCAAAACTAAACGGTGCTGCTGTTCTTTAAATGAAGAGCCTAGGTAAAGCTGTATCATATAAAAACTTGGGCGGTCCTCCCAGATAGCTAGGTGAGAAAGCACTTGCCTCTTGTAAATACTGTTCCTTGTGGATCCTCCTACATCATGGGACATTATGAGGAGGCTTTGTTATCTGACCTTGATCAGAATTGCTGCTGCTGCTTTTCAGGGTTTGCATGTAAGTGTTACTGCATATACCAGCAATTCCTCTCTTACCTACCCGAACGATAGCTTCTGTGTTTTTATCAGTCCTTCCATCTGCAAATCTTACTCTTTCCTTGGTCTATTAAATGATGTGAATTACGTAAACCTGCCTGGTTTTTGGTGTCTTTTTGTACAGACGCTGTTTAGGGATATGTACTTCTGTAGTGAATCCTGCAGGACATAAAATATACAAAAACTCCTAGGCCGTGGCCACACTGCTGGTTTGAAGCAAGATGTGGGGGGTAGGTAAAGTTAGAATCTCGAAGTCCAAAGCCTGAACTTTGGAACAGGTTAGTGCAATTCCTTCACTGAAGTTCGGCTTGATACAAAAGGATTGAGGGCTTGAAATTCACCCCTATGCAAAAATCAGGAAGGAAACAGATCTGAAATAGGAATCTACTTGTTCCTCCATGAGCCTTTTGCTCATTTATGTCTGTCCCTTAAAGATGGGTGAGGTGATAAGGGGGGAAAAATGAGAGGTAGAAAGCTCAACGTTTTCTTGCAATTCATTCTCTGAGATTCCTGATCCTAAATAAAGAATATCTTAAAATTTAATCTTTAATTAGTATGCAAATGGAAACTGATATTTTGACCAATTTCCAGTCGAGCTTCTGAGTGTTTTTAGATATTTAAATTAATGACTTGCTATTGAAAGCACTGAAGTTAAGTTTCTCTTAATTTTGGGGGACAACCTAATCCTAAAAATGAGTCAGGAGTGTCTTTTGATGACTGCAACAACTGAGAAATTAGAGTTTGTGATTGGGGAATGCTTCATTTGGGGAGAAGTTCTTAGAAATGCCAGATCATCATAATATGGAAACGTGACAGGCAGGGTGTGTTCTTGAATTGCATTGTAGCAACTATCAGGAAAAATATGCATGCAACTTGCATTAATTAGAGATATCCACCAGAACAATGCAAATGCCTTTCAGAAGTGATGTGGTAAACGCAAGTGAATGTCTATAGCTTTATTATCTAGTTAATAACTCCCTGTTTTCTCCAGGTACAGTTCATTGAAAGAATTTAAGTTAACTAGACTTTTGAAGTTATGTGACGTATTAACAGATGCTCTTGTTTCTGGACTTAGACATCAAATATTGCTTAATGCTATGTGAACAGCTATACACAGTATGTGTGTGTTGGTTATAGGGCTTGAGAGACAGCAAATAAAGGATTGGAAAGCATTGAAAGAGCTGAAACAAACATCAGAGCATGATTGCCCAGTTTGAGAAGGTGCTCGTGGTTTCAGCCTACATAAACAGAAACTAGTAGAAGGAAATGGAGGCTGTGAAGATACCAAGGACCCATCTGTATAGGCAGAGTTGGGAACTGATAACCAGTGTAAGATGAATACCTTGTGTAGCAATAAATCTGGAGTTCTGTGCTGGAAACACAGCAGAGTGCAAAAGTAGTCTCCTTGTAGTTTAAGTAAAACAAAAAGAAATTTTGCTGGATTAAATAGAAGCTAAATAATTGGCAGAGTACTGATTGTGTTTTTCTGTTAAAGATGCTTTATCAGTTGTGTTCAAAATACTGAAACAACAGTTTTTAGAATTCTAGTGTTATCATCTAGTGTGAAGTTGATTCAGCCCAAAATGGCTGCTTTTTGTATGTCTAACTAGGGGGAAAATTTCTACCCTGATTTGAGAACATGTAGGAAAGGCCCATCCTGTGATGACATTTCACTTTTGGAAAAGTGAAAACCGTGTTAGGGGATGACAGAGGTAAACAGCATAAAGTACATGTACAAATGAACCTGCTACTGCATTCTTCAGGCGTATATGTGTAAAGAACAGGATTTGTATGTTTGTCTCATACCTGGAAAAACATTTCCAGTGCATTCAGCATTTATGAAGGCATGCTAGTAGTTACAACTTTACCAAATATTTGAAAAATCCTTCAGAAAGTAGGACAGATATTTACGTAAGGGTATAAAGTGTATACTTGAAGTTCTGTTAGATCTGCAGAAGCTTGTGGATAAATCACTTGTGCATACTTTATAGAGTTACTAGATTTTTCATAATCACAGGGGAAATAAAGATTGAATTTACCACCAATGAAACATAATTCTAAATTCCTTTTGAAAATGAAATGATATTAAATCTTGTAATCCGCAAGCACAATAATACCAGTAACTATTCCAGAAGGCTATTTTGTCTACAACGTAATGAGGTCTATTACATATGGGAATTCAATTTAATTAGAAGAGTAGGCATACTGCTTGAAGAATGGTATAATAGCTGTAGTTAAGCACATTTGTAAACACTTGTGTACCTTGAGGCTTGTGGCTTGTTTTACTTCTCATTATATTAAATAGATAATGTATGAAACACTAGCTTCTTTCAGCAGCATCTGTCTTTACTAGAGAATGCTTACAGTATCTTCCATGAATAACAAAGATGGGTCAGAATCCTGCCTTGACTTGATGATCATATGTGATTTGACTGAAGAGCTGGGACTAAGAATTTAGGGTGTTGAAGAACACTTGCAGAATGACGAAGCCGTACATATACTTTCTTTATTTCTACAGAGCCTTTCAGCAAATAATACTGTACAAAAGACTGATGATAGAAATTTTGTGCTAAATCTGAAAGTGGAACACAGGAAATGAACTGTAAAATCATAACAGGGGTTGCTTCTAAAAATTTCATTTGAGTGCCTTAAAAACATAAACTACAAGTATGGAATAATGTAATAGCCTTTACTTTTAAAAATAAATTCTAGAATTTTCGTTATTTTTGGCTTCAAAATAGATTGTGAATTATTCATTGTTCATGTTTTATAACAGCAAAAGCTCAAGGAAGAGAGGGAGGCTAAACGTGCTCGGCTAGATGGCAGGCATGATTACTTGCTGGATACCGTTGCCTCTTGTGTGAATCTGGACAAAGCAGAAGTAGAAGATGCTCTTCTTGATGGTAACCAGGTAATCTGATTAATTCGATAATGAAGCTCCTAGGGTGCTTTAGAACTGATACAACTATTAAATACTTGGAGGAGGGTTGTCAGAATTCATGTTTGAGATTACTCAAGCCTTCTCATCAAAAAAAATACTTCTCAGCTTTTTGTAATTAAGTTGGACAAAAGTGTCCCTTGTTTCAGGACCTATTGTAACAATATTGATTTTGAAATTGATGAAAATTTCTGCTTTCCAGTGGTTTGTATTATGTGCAATGGAGATACATTTCTGTGATTTGAAAAGAAATTACTATTTTTTTAAAATAGGTAGACAGCAAGTAGATCTTGTTTGACTCCCTGACACTAAAATAGACGTGTTTGCAGTGGGTTTTTTTTGTTTGTTTTCTGTTGTGTTCTTTTTCCATCCGTGTACCTTCAATTTACGCGTTCCCATTTCACTGCTAATATTGTTGAGAGACGGGAGAAAGTCCAGTGGAACGCTACCAAGATAGTGAGGAACACAGGGCACGTAAAGTATGAGAAGAGGAAGAATAAGAGATTGAGGGGCAGTCAAATAGTAGCTTGCAATTGCTTTAAGAGTAGTTACAAAGATGAGAGCTGAACTCTTCTCAGCGGTTGCAGATGATATGACAAAGGAAATAGTCACAACTTGAAAATTGGACATTGAGACCCTTCTTCACCAGGAGGGCGATGCAGCATGGGAATAGGTTACTCAAGTGAGTTGTGGAATTTGTCCTTGAGGTTTTTGGGACAGCCTAGGCAAAGATTTAGATGACAGGAGTTACTGTTGGTGATACAGGAGGTTGGCCTCAAGGTATCTCAGATGTTCCTTCTGACGTTTCTGTGATTCCATGTGATACAGGAACATAAGCTGTGCAGAACACTGCCACAAAAGTTAAAAAGCAAAACTTGTTTCAGCCTTTGCACATTCTATCTGTAAATGGGTTCCCTGGCAAACTGTACTGCCCAAGTAACTGTCAGATGAAGAAAATATTGGCAGCTGTTATACTGGGAAAGAGAAAAGTGTAATAGTTGTTCTGACCTCATCTCGGAGGGCTCAGCCAAGATTTTCTGCAAAGCAGTTTATGTGATCTTAGTTTAACCGAGCCCCATTATTGATGGAAGAAGGATAAATGCAGCTTTCTTCCTCTTGCCGGTGATCTCAGCCTTTCTCCTGCATGAGGAAGTACAGATGGTACTAGCAAATGTTTCTGAAGAACAACTTGTAGAAGCGGAAGCCTTTTCTGCTGGAAGATCGCTATGTAGTTACGGACTGTATGAAACAATGACTCATAGATCAAGAATAATGGATTAGGTCAGACTTTCAAGTGCTGAAACACTGATCAGCATACCAGCATTGAGCAATTAACTTGCTTCCTAGGCCTGTATGGTCAATACATGAGATGCCTGGACTTCACGACCAACACATGGTTCAAGGATGCTGGATGACAGCCTTAAATTGATGGAGAACTGTGAAATTGTCCTGATGCTTGAAATATAAAGGCTTCCTCTGTTGCGAAATGGAATAATTGCAGCTGTATGTTTTCTGCTTTCAGCTAGTTAGCTGAGTGGCAGTTAGACTAACATGGGTGAGGGGCTTCAGTGAGATGCTGCTGCACTTCAGGAAATGAAGAAATGCCCTGTGCCCTCAATTTGAGACATGATATACGGCATTATACAATACATGGTTTCAGTAAACTGAAACATGGCCTGGCTGTATTCAGTTGTGTTCATCATGGAAAAGTTCAAGTGATTCAATTAAGTAGGTGTGTGCTGGTAAAGGACAAAGCGACTCACTCATTTTTTTGGGAGTGGTACCTGGGCCTGGTGTAACTTTATTATTGAACAGTGATAATGTGGTATTTGTCAGCCCTTTATGTTAAAAATTTGATCAAGTTAAACTTTTCATAGTGAGTATGCTATGCGTAATGATCTCAAGATGATCTATCAACAGATAGAGCGCATTGACAAATTCCTGGCCCCTGGAGGTCTGCGTCATCTGATGTTCTACTATCAAGATGTGGAGGCAGTGGATACAGGTACAGCAACTGATGTTATCCTGCAAGATGTTATAGTTGTGCTGAGCAAGTGTACAAGGAAAAAGTAAATAGTAAAGTTTTTACAAACTGTGGCTTAAGTCAAATTTGGTCATACTGGGACATTGATTCTTTCTAATGAAATGAGGACTGATAAATTACTGAAGCTTTTTAGTACACTTCTGCATATTGCTAGGATGCAGCAGCAAGGTCTGTCCTTGTGAGCCCAGCAACTCTTGCCTGTGGGGCTGGGAAATGGTTTTCAGTAGCTGAAAGATGATTTTCACACAAGGTGAGCAGTGACAGGTGCTCTGCCCCCACCCCTCCGATCATGCCACTGGTCTGCCCTCCACAGTTCTTGGCACATTACCGTCCATCCAGGTGATCCTGTTACATGACAGATGGCCCCAGGAGGCATGCACGATGGGTAGTAGAGCCATTATCCCAGAAGTCCCTTCTGCTCATATCCCTTTCCTTCCCCCAGTGTTACCACACTTCTGGTGGAAGCCTCCTGTCGCAGGTGAAAGTATTAGCATGGTGATGATTCAACAACAAATCAAAATTTATTAATAACTAATAGTACTTGATCATTAACCAGTTTAAATACATACAAAATAATTCAGGAAAATGTTGCAATTAAAATAGCGACTTATCTACAGATTCTAAATTGACAAGATTCAATCTAACTTACTATATGTTATCTTAAATCAATATATATATGTGCGCGCATACACAAAAACATGCAAACACACAGATACACATGACAAAGTATTTGGATCCAATAAAATAAATGATATACCCACACACCAATAGGCAGAGGAAGAGTAAGATAAGCTAGCTCAAAGTAAATATTCCTCCTCGAGAGTTTGGAGCAAATCCTCCCAATGCCTTGGCATTCCTCAGTGGGGATAATTGGGACTCGAGTGGGTTGAGTTTGCCCCGGCCTTTGGTCAGCTCTGATAGCAGACAACACCTTAAGGTTTTTGATACCTGAGAGGTGTCCCACCTCAGGGGAGCTGCTGGTCACGGGCTGGGCTGCTGCGATCCAGGAGAGCTCAAAGGGTCTCACTTGGAGTGGCAATCCATAGGGTCCAAGATAACTGACTTTTGTCATTTGTTTTTTGCTGGGGCCCAGCTTGAACAATGAACTACTCTGGTATCTTCCAGCAGTTGCACAAGAATTTGATGAAGGTGCAACTGTTCTTGTTCTCATTTGATCCCATCACGGGTACAGGTGTGCCAGACCAGACCGTTAGGAGCTGATGGACTGTGATAAGCATTTCTGAGGGAGGGGCAGGAGCCAGGCTCGTTAAAGTTCTGATTCACTGCCGTTAGCAGCCCTTATCTCTCCAGGTGGACACACGTCCCCGGGGGAGATGGGTGGAATTGCACTTAGCACCGAGCTGCCCAGGGGGGGAGGATTGCACCACCACACTTTCTTGCTTATCCTGGAGGCAGCTCAGGACCCCTGTGACAAGGACATCCTCCCTTTGCCAAGCTTCTGTCCCAGAGTCCCCAGTGCTGCTACCGTTGGGACTAGCCAGGTGCCATGGGACTCTGAGGTCCTGTGACTGGTTGGTGGGAATTCATCCCATTTGTTTACCCTGGATGTACAAGAAGGGCCTCGTAAAGATATCTATCTATATCTGTATAAATACATGTGTTTATACATATGTAAATGTATACTTATATGAGTGTACGAATATGTGTTTATGTATTTTCAGTATATATGTAGGTACATACCTAAAAGGTATGGAAAGGTGGTTTAATGTGATATAAGCAACTTTAGTAATTAAAATGGAAATGTACCTAGAAAGAAAATGAAATGAAAATACAAACTTGGCAGCTAATTTAGAAGTCTGCTGAGCAAGTTTAACATGCTTGAGTTGAAGTGGTGGAAGTATGTTGGAGAGAGTGAGGCAAGGGGCAAAGCCTGGGCGTATAATCAGTACCCCTCACCCATCCCCAAACTGAACAAATGACCCTGCAGTATGATTGTGGTGGCCTTTGGATGTGGTGATAGGTGCAGGCAGCATGGAAAGGTAGAGAAACAAACAAATTCACAGCAACATGTGCATTGGATGAATAAGCAAAAATCCTCGAAAGATCATGTGCACTGGAGTAAAAAAAAAAAAAAAAAGATTTAGTGGTAAAGAAGGCAGGTGAGTGTGGGATGAAGTGAGTGGGTTGGAGGCTAGCTTTGCCCACAGCTGTAAGCATATTGTTACTTGTAATACCATCACAGCCTACAGCTTGTGCTGTACTACTTTCCTTCTTAGGGCAGAGTTTGTAAAAGAATTTTTCGTGCTGATCATACTGGGGCTGTGGTTCACAGGCTAGCAAAGCAAAAATCACAGTTATAGTGATAGCTACTAATCTGTAAAGTGATTTTTTTTTTTTTTTTTTTTTTTTTTTTGTGGTTTTGCATGCATCTTGTTGGCAAGGACACTCACTACACACCACCTCAAATACAAGCTGGTTTTCTGACCCTGATGTGGATCAGTGAATGCTCCTGTTAGGGCTGAAGATGACCCCGTGAAGGGTGCTTACAAGATATTTTGTGTCCCTGTGTGTGTCTGAGTTCAGTAAGATGTACTCCAAGAGCCCTAAGTGGTCCTTTCAAAGCCTGGTTTTATACCCACTCTCACATGTGGATTTTTTTGCAGTGTTTTGAATGGTACTTTTAATATGTAACCTACACAACTTCTAGCACCCTTTTCAGTAACAGTACATCTTTTCTAAAGAGATTGTAGAGTGTACTGCCTATTCCAGCTCCATATGTTGTGGGAAAGCCCTGAAAACTTGGATGACTTGCTGGTTTAGCCTCTGTAATTACTGAAGTACAAATATAGTGTAAGCCTATTGGCAATAAATCAAATGAATAAAATTCTCAGTCAAGACTGTTTTGCTGATGACAGAGCCCTTAGTGTACTTTTGGTGTAAATAAAAAAAAGAGACCTCTGCAAGATCTGTGGTGAAAAAGGGTAGGAAGAAAGGTGATGTGAACAAAAGGGTGGGGAGGGAACTTGAGTGTCCACCTGATCCAAAATAGGGCAGATGGTCTTGTGCCTGAAAGGAGGGCAAGGGACCTGTCACTTTTTGCAATTTTTTGGTTTTTATCTTTTAGCTACCGGTATCAACAATTAACTTTTTTGATCTTTTTAATCTTGCAGTGTCTCACTGAGATGTGTATGTGTGATTTCACTCTGAGGTAACACTGGAAAACTAGTAACAGAGAAGTAGTGTGTCCAAAAATGCAATCTGAGGGAATTATTTTTTCCCCAAAGACACTGCTACTTCCTGGTGACTCTTTACAAGTGTTACCAACAGCCTAAACACAGGAGAAATATATTCATGTTGGGGGAAGAAGGAAAGACAGGAAAGTCTCCTGTAGCTCCCTTACTGTTGTTTTTTTTCTTTTTTTTTATCCACGCCCCCACCAAAGAATCTGCTGTGGCTTCTCTATCCTTGTTTCCAGAAGCGCTCTGTTTCTTTTTTGTGTGTGTGTTAGACTTGTGTCAACATGCTTTTAAGGAAAGACAGTTGATAATACCTCCTCTGAGGTAAACTATATTTGCTGATTTATCTTTTTTTTTTTTTTTAATCAATAGAGCATTATCTGCAACTGCATGATAGAGCGCCATGTAAGAGGATATTGAGCCTGAACCTTTGCTTAGAAGGAATAGAAAACAAATTAATGAATAAAAATGAAAGACTTTTGGTGTGAGAGTGGCAAAACTATATGAAATAATTCTTACTTTGCTGTGAGGACTCTATATGCTGCATACTGTCTGTGGATAGTCCCATGGGGTGGTTCCAGGCATCTGGGACTTGGAGATACATAAAGCATGACGGAACTGTTTGTTTAGAAAACTTCTACTTGAATAAATAATCAATGTTTTTTTAATGTTTATTTTATTTGAATCTGTAGAGCACTTTGGCCTTCCAGGAAGAGGAATAAACTCTCATTTGACAAAGAAGAAGAAACCTAAAGTATTTGTCACAGAGGGAAAAGAAGTTGCTTTAACTGGTGTATGCATTTTCTTCATTAGATCTAGTCTTTTTAAACCCATCACAGTGGAGAATATCTATCAGGTAAGAATCAGTGACTGCTGATCACTGTACATAATCTTGTTTAAAATTCGTTTTCATCTTGGGGTATTGGCTCTCAGCACATAATTTGACAGCCTCTGACATGGAGGAATGAGCAAAAGATCACAGTTCGGATAAATGAAACACAGGACAGAAAAAGTGGGGAATGGAAAAACTGATGTTATCTTGCAACAGTGAGAAATGAAGAAATAGGTTAAAGAAGAAAATTTGTGATAATCCAGAATGACAAAGAATAGTCAATACCTAAATAATCTGTTAAATTTCAATGTGTTAGCAAATTCATTAAAAAAACAAAAAAAAAAAAAAAAACAAAAAAACAAAACAAAAAAACCCCAAACAAAAAAAAAAACCCAAAAACCAAAAAAAACCCCAAACAAACAAACAAAAAAAACACTAAAAAACCCCAAACCAGTTTTATTTTTGAGACTGTAGATGCAAATTATATATAAACAAGTTTTTACTTGTGAAAGATGCTCTAAATGTATGACAGTCTGAAGTGAACTGAGTTGGAAATACTCCATACTCTCTCAATTTATTCCCCAATATTTGGGGAATCCTACAGTTGTAGGGAAACTAATTAGAGTGCTAAAACAAGAATGATGGAATAAATAAGAATTCAGTACTGTGGAAAACTTCCTATATGCTTCAAAAAGGGAACTTTCAAGTACAGCCCCTAACCCAGCAAATTTTATCTTCACTCATGTCTTCTAGGAAAACCTTTAAAACTGTATTTTGCCCAGATAGGCAAGAAATAGAAGAGCAAAGGGTGGGTGAGCTGGATGTCATCACCAGATTATTTTTTGATCTCTACAGATATATGCTTTCAGGTTTTATGCTTAACTTTCTTTTTATTTCATGATTTTGAAAGATCTGTCTTAGATTTTAGTCAGTTATAGACTACTTAATATTTGAAGATTTTTTTGCTTATTAATAAAGCTTGCAAGCTAGCAATTGCAATTGAAAGATGTGTAAAGCAGACTTCTTAACAATTAATGATATAGCCCTTGCTGACAGTAGATATTACCTTAAAACTAGAAAAGGCAAGTTCAAAAGTAAAAATGATATGTCTGAAGACACATCTAATGTGTGACATTTAAATACAGGTTGTTTGGTGTTAAATTATGTTGCTGAAAAAAATCCTTATGGTACATTCTAATGAAGCAAAAATTGTCTTCTACATTGATGTAGTTTACCTCAGAAATCTTTAGACAGTCTGAAAGACTCTGAAAAGCAGATGTTCTGTGAATTGTTCTCTTGAACTAGATAGAGGTATTCTTCCTAGACTAAAATCTTTGGGCAACTGCAAGTCAGAATTAACTGTAGCTCATAATTTTGTTATCTAAGCCTTTTAAGTGCATATATCTCTGCTGAGATGTATGTATGAATATATTCAAAAATATAATTCTGATAGCTTTAGAAGTGGCAGACTGGAATAATTTTTCTCACTCATATAAACTGAGCTTTATAAATAGAGGTCTCTTACACTCTCATTGTATTTTGGAAGTGTTTTCAGATCTTCATTTCCTCAGTTTTGTATGATAAACTGTGACCCTGTGCAAATCTTGCAGCTCCTGCTAGCAAGAATTATGCTGTTACTGCTTTAAGAGCACTTGTACACACTGGTAATTTTTGAGATGATCAAATCAATCGGTCTGGAATAAAAATAATGATGGCAAAATTTTGTTTTCTATTTTAACTTGTATTGTTTTTCTTTTACAGGAAGTAAATTTTAATATGATGGATGTAGGTAGAGATGGCTTACTAAAAAGTGTTGAGCTGTTGATATCGCAAATCTTCATTCCAGCCTTACAGACTACAGACTGTGGCTGGGTTGAATTTGGTGGACCTCAACAAGCTTCCAATATTAAGCAGGACTTCCTTTGTTCCCTCGAAGCGTTTGTTAATGTGCTATCAGGAGCTCAGCAAAGTCTGTTGGAAAAGGTAGTATGTTCATGTGACAAATAGAAATTGAGTTAGCTGTACAATGTCTCTGGCTCTTTTGAATTAACTGCTGTTGTAGAATACTCAAAAAAATTGCTTTTGCTAAACTGGAGGAAAAAAAAAAACACTTTTGTTTGTTGTCATCAGTAACTTGTTATACATTCATCTGACTTTAACAACTCTGCAGGAGCTTCAGTTCTTGTTAGTTTTGGCACCAGTTCTTTTAGAGCTATTAACTTCTTGACTCTCCAATGGCTGTGGCCATTCTTAAAAAGAATGATCAATGTATGACAAACAGTTGCTTTTAACTGTTAATTTCTACTCAGCTTTTGTGAAGGAAAGGGCATGAGAGCACAGCTGCAAGGCTGGTGAGTTCTCTAGATTCCAGAGTCCAGTTCTGGATCAAAGCAGTTCAATCTAAGCTGAAGTGGGAATATGAAGTGAGATACCCCAAGTAAGGCAACTTTTTAAAGATCCTGGATTATTTGTCATGAGCATTTCAGGGTTTTTTAACTTGTATTTTAGGTCAATCTGAAGAAATGTGAAACGTGTGATCTGGAAACTTTAAGAGGACCTTCCGATTACCTGCTGGTTGCTAACAGCATAGATGGTCTCAAAAGAATAGAAATCTGCATGAAAGGATGGACCAAACAAATTGAACAGGTGATGCACGGGAGAAATGTGAAATATGGCAAAAGGTGCTTATTGGCAGGTGACGATTAATCCTACTGACATATAGATGCCTTTCTATAAAGTTATATATGATCAATCCCTGTATTTTAAAGTACTGTTGGCATGTTTTGTGTGGTTTTACGTTTCAGTGAGAATATTATTGAGAGATTTTTCCATCTACTAGTACACAGAGCATGCACACATCTTTGGAAGCTTAGTCCTCTGCTTTTAATCATCACTTATTCTTAAAGTAGCAAATAGTTAAGGATTCTCAGTGAATTTAATGAAAGCAAAAGAAACGCAATAGTTCGGTGAACAGTACTCTCAGTGGTCAAAATTATACTTTGAAACATGCTTTGAAGGCTATTTGCAGAAAATGTAATTGTCTGTAACAGTGCTCATGAGATTGAACCCCCCTTCTAACTCAGAACTAAAGAGGCTGAGCAAAATTAAGGTCTCATGTGAGGTGGTGGCTGAGTTAGGTAATTTATTGTGTTAATACTAGGAGTTAAATTATGAATTAATCCATGCTACCCCCATGCAGACAAAAAAAAATTAGCATCACTCACTGATATTACTGTATGATAAAAGGTTCTTGCAGAAAATGACCAGCTGAGAAAGGAAGCTGATGACCTTGGACCAAGAGTAGAGCTTGATTATTGGAAAAAGAGATTGTCAAAATTCAACTACCTTACGGACCAGCTGAAGAGCCCAGATGTGAAGGCAGTGCTTGGAGTACTCACTGCTGCGAAATCCAAACTTCTGAAGGTTTCTATTTTGAATTACAACAGATGTAAACACTTGAAATGCTTTGTATACCCTAGTTCGTTTTGGTGATGTATGTAATGTTTCTGGTGGGGAGAATAATGAAGCATCTTTTGCTTTTTTCTTTGTCCTTTCCTATTCCTTACTTTGAGTAGATAAAGTTTAAAACTAGTTTAATTTATTGGAAAAGACTGGGAATCCCCTTTGTCTGAAGGCTGATAATGTACTGCATCCTCGTGGCTCAAGAGAAATAAATACTTAAATCTTTGAAAAGTTCATTATTAAATCAGAAAATTGAATTAATGAATTGGGTCTTTGATAGCAAGGAAATAAAAAAACCCATTTTTTTAAACTGTTGTTACAGTGTCTCAAAACTGCTTGTGGGGTCATAACTTCTCACATTGACATAACAAAGTTAAAGACCCATCACAAACAGAAAAATAAGTGAATAAAACAAAAACTCTTGGTTCATCAAAATGAGACATGTGAAACAAATACATGGTTATATACTCATCAGTCCATCAAGCAAAACCAGGTAACAGATGATGTCTATGTATTTTACAGCATTTTGACTTGACGCTACTACTGACATAACTTGTTGACCTGTGTGGTCTAAACTATGTTCACAGTCAAGTTATGGAAGCAAAACAAGGACCCGTTCCTCGTCTTGGGTAAAGAAGTGTTACTCTGAAGTAACGGATCTGTGCTTCCAAATATGTTTAAAGGCTAATGACAAAACAGAGTGATCTCAAAACAGTTTTCTGAAATGTGTCGTTTTATTTTCTGTTTTTCAACTTTATATTCTTAGAACTGGCGAGTGTTGGATATTCGCATCACAGATGCAGCAAATGAAGCTAAAGATAATGTGAAGTATCTGTATTCTCTGGAAAAATGTTGTGACCCATTGTACAATAGTGATCCTGTAAGCTGAACTTTTAAATTCTTAACATAAATCTCTTGAGACAACCAACGTTAATGTGTTTTGTAGGATCAGTTTGGAAATTACATAGCATTTTAGGTACGCATTACCAGTTTGAGCCTTTGTTCAGCTGTGTTAAATGTGGCCTAGTGGGAATTTCTGGTTACAAAATAAAGTACTTGTAATTTTTCTTGCTGTGGTGTCTATGAAGCTTTTGGTTTTGTGATGAAACCGGCTTCTGTGCTATAGAGGTGAAACCTCTGTAATTAAAAAAAAAAAGAGGGTGGGAAAAAAGGGTTGAAAGTGAACCTAGTGCTATGCTAATGCAAAGGGCTTTTGTCTTTGGCCAGGTCATGCTTAGCTTAACCTTTATAAGGCAATTTTCAGCTTCTTGCATTAGGAGAGCATAAATATGGTTATGTAAATATTAAGGTGTAAATACAAATCACCTTCTCACACCATAGTAACAGGATGATGCAAACATAACTAGTAAACAAAACTAGCTAACCTAAAGTATGGGATAGGAGGAAGGATTCTCACCGTCCCATTATCTGTAAAAGTAGGTGGCAAATGGTTGCTTTTATTAAAACTGGTTTTGTAACTGACTATATGTCTTGCTAGTCAGAGAAATATGATGAGTAGCCGTGAAGACTCAAAGCTTTGACCATCCTAGCTACCCCTCTTTCTCTCCATACTTTTCCCAAAGTGAAATTGTTTCCAGACAGTGCTCTGGGCAACCATGACATGGCTCATGGTTTTAGAACAGAGTGTTCTTTCAGTGTTTCCCAATCTGATATTTGAGTTTCTCTGATAAAAGTTTAGTGTGATACCCATACAAAACACAGTTAAGAGTGAATATGCTTGCTATTGACACTGTGTAGAGTCTGTTAAACTTGATCTGCTTAGTGTTCCCCATACTGGCTTTTACCAAGGAGGAAGTGGTGCCAGCCTCAGAGATGTTCAATTTTGAGAGGGTGTAGCGCTTGCCCTGGAAGCCATCGAGGCATGGAGCATGAACCTTTCCCTTGCTGGTATTTACCTGTAAAATGTTGAGAACCAGTTTGTTAATAGAATAAAACACACATTGCTTTTGAGAGTCAGACGTGAGGAAGAGCTGTCTGAAAAACCTTTGTCCGGCCCATTGATGGGCTGAGGACAGGACTGCTGGATTTTGAAATGATGCTTGTCTTCAAACTATTGAAGAAAAGTAATTTCTCTTGTACACAAGATGTACTGGAAGCCATATAGGCTATGGAAAATTAAAATGGGTGTAGTCGGTTAACCTTAGCTATGCGCTTAAGCTCTCTATTACTCCCCCTCAACAGAATGGGAGGAGAATATAGGATGAAAAAACTCATGGATTTTTTCAAAGACAGGGAGATCACTTACCTGTTACCATCATGGGAACAACACACTTGACTTTGGCAAAAGTAACTTAGTTTATTGGCAGTGAAGATAGATTTGGGTAGCAACACAGACAAAAATTCAACCCACATCTCCCTACCACCCCTCTTCTTCCTCGACTCCTCTACCTCTTCTCCTCCAGGTGGGAATGGGGGAGCTGCGGTCAGCCCATAACAGCCCCTCTCTGCTGCTCCTTCCCCCTCACCCGGCTCCAGGCCCCAGCCCGGGGCCTCTCCCGGGGCCGCAGGGAAACACCTGCCCCAGGGGGTCTCTCTCTGCCGGGGCTCCCGGAGCACCTCCTGCCCTCCTCCCGCTCTCCCCTCGGGGCTCGCAGGGCTGTTTGTCCCCCTGTTCCCCTCAGCCCTGGCTGCCGGGCAGCGTTTTGCCCGTCCTTACCCAGGCTTTCCCCGAGGCGCCGCCATCTCAGCTGAGGGGCTCAGCCGTGCACCTGCACCACAAAGAGTGGGCTGTAAGACCACCTCCTCCCACGCACTTCATCTATTGTATACAATTTTTTTACGGTCTAAATGACAGTATTACAGGAAAGTTGTTCTTGATAGTTCCTTTATTCAAACGAGCGTCGTGAGGCTTAATGCAATTTTGGGGCTTTCTTTATATGCAAGCTTACATTAGGTTTAGCAAAAGAGCGTACGAACATACTTTTTGTGAAACTAAGTGGTACTTTTGAAGAGGCCTTTGTCTCACATTTCTCTTACCAGAATTCTTTCAGCCAAGACTCTAGTGAAAATTTTTCCCCAAATTGAGTTGTAGAACTTGGAGGGTAGACAGCTCTGCAGGAGGGGTCCAGTGAAACAGGCAGAAATGTTAGGAAGACCATGTTTGTAACACTCCTGCATTTTCTAATTAGGTGTTAAGTTAATATATGGTAAAAGTACTGAGCAGAATTCAGACTGTGTGTTTCTTTTAAGGTATCTATGGTGGATGCTATTCCAGGACTCATAAATGCAATTAAAATGATTCAGAGTACCTCTCAGTATTACAACACGTCTGAAAAAATATCCTCGCTGTTTGTGAAGGTTGGTGCTACAACATGAAAGGAAATTTTCACGGATTTCTTTTGTGTGTTGTTGCTTGAATGAGAGAGAAAACACGAAGAGACCAAGCGATTGAAGAGGCAGCATTTTGGTCAATTTCATGCTGCTTTTTGAATGTACAGAGAATGGGAAATAGTGATAAAACTACTTCACATCTAGAACTTATTTTACTGTCTGTGATTTGGATTTGTAAGAATTTTTTCTTGAAGATCAGGGCTAATCTCAACACTGATGTGAATAGATTGAGGAACTTTTTATGACAATGAGTTTTACCTGTGGTCAACTGTTTTTTATAAAACCGATCATGTTAAATGTATATAGACCTTAAGCCTCCTTATGTTTGCATAAAGAAGGAAAGGGAGTTGGAAGGACAACCCGTTCTTTAATGATCATAGTCTCATGGGCCCTTGATTTTGCCTTTGCTTATGACTTTGTAGTCATCAATGGGATTTTGAGGTTGGTACAAGGTATTTAGGTTTAGGATGAGTGTAGTTAATCGACAGCGTTTCAGTGGTGTAATGATCTGGAGGCTGAATATTTCAAGGAGGGCAATCTGTCTGTGTGGCTGGTATTTGGTGTTCTGCAGGCTTTAGGCCAATGGAGTCAGAGGTATAGGATGAGACTGAAAGAAAGGCAAGATCTTCTTTGTCTGGAAATTATTTCTTTCACAAGGTTAAAACTGTTTTTAGGTGACCAATCAGATGATCACAGCATGTAAATCTTACATTATGAACAACAATACGGCCACCATCTGGAATCAACCTCAGGAGAGAGTTATGGAAAAGCTACAAGCAGCTATTAGACTTAAACAGGTAGGTGGAAAGAGCATGTGGAAAACGGAATATAAGATGAGATTTAGGAGGGTATGATCAGGAAAACTGTATTTTATATGAGGAAGCAATATTGTAACAAAGGAAAATGAAGCTATTGAAAAATACCTTTGGAACTGGAATGTTTATGTTAGAGCTAACAGGGAATTTAGTCCAGTGTCTTTTGATTTTCTGGAAACAGGATTTTGATGCTTACCCTAACTTAATTATGCTTCTTATCTGAGAATTACTTGGATATTCATGCCTGAGTTTCTCTAGGAAGTTTCTTCTCATGCGATGAGGAAGGATGTGTGGCAAAAATGAAAACAGAGGGAATTGTTGGGCTGAATAGATTTCTAAGATATGTGGACAAGCTATACCTTTAGAAAGGGCAATTTAGTGAACTGATAAGCATTCAGCTGTTCAGGTTGTGTAGACTTGCTGGGAAGATAGCCTTTATTTTTTTGCATACACTTCCATGACCATTGGGGGAGATATTTTTTTTTCCCCCTTTTAGAACATAGGAACACAGGATAATTCAGCTTGTGAGGGTCCTCAGCCAGGTATCTAGTTCAGCTTTTTGCTCAAAGCCAAAGCAGGGGCAGCTGTGAGATCAGCCTTGGTTGCCCAGTCCCTTATCCAGTCCTGTCTTGAACCTCTTCACGGATGGAGAGACTACACAGCTTTTCTGGACAATCTCTTTCACTGCTTGACTGTCCTTAGGGTGAAAGATTTTCTCCTTCCATCCAGTCAGAAAATCTTCTGTTTCTATTTATGCCTATTACTTCTTGGCCTCTGTCTATGTGTTACTGTAAAGAGCCTAGCTTTGTCTTTTTGATAACCTTCCTGTAGATATTGGAAGGGTCATATTAGGTTTTCTCCATTATTACTTTTTGATTCCTTAATGATATGTGCTTGGAACACTATAACTTCACCCTGACACCTTCTGAAATAACAAATCTTGCATAGTTCTACCACAAATTAGTGTAAATTTATATGGCATCTCACTGCCAGCAATGAGTAGTAAATCTGTATATTTCTGTAAAGATATAACAAATTATTCATTTACTGCATTAAAATATGTTGAAGGATTAGGTTTTTATTTGAGTCTTACTAGTTCTAAAAGCTTTCAGGAAATCAGTAGTTTAAAACTTAAAGTTTGAATCACTAAAAATTTAGGAAACTCTGGGCCCTTTGTATTAATATCTCCAAGTAGGGTTATTCATACATATTTGTGATAAAAAATAATGAACGTTGTATTTTAAAGTGAATGATTCTTAAAAGAAGCAATTTCAAGCAAATCTAACTTTGGGAAGAATTTAGTTTTAACATGTTTGGAGTAAGGTTTGTGCCTAGTTAGGAAAGCAGAATGAAAACTGAAAGCTGCTATGGAGCAGCATTCTAACTTCACGAGGGTTTTTGTTCTGGAAAGTGATTTTGGAAAATTTGAAACATTATTACTCAGTAAAACCACTCATCACACAATTGTTATTTTCAGTCTCTGAAACCTGGAATCTGGGTTGTTATCTTGGATATTCAGTAAACACATCAAGCCCTGATATAAAATAGAGGGAACAAAATTTCACACTAATTAAGGATGGAATACATATATGTGCAGTTCGTTCGTTTGATGAAACATGTGATCCTGTAATGGTATTGTTGGTTTAGTTTTCAGAGACAAATTCTGTTACTATCTTTATGGTGCTCATGATTGTTTATCAATAAAACTTCTACTGGCTATCAAGTGAGGATAATGTCTGTCTGCATAAATTTTGTTTTAGCTGATAACAGTGCATTTTATTATATTCTTGACATTCTTCTTTTAAATCTTTGGTTTTAGGAGTATCAAAATTGCTTTCACAAGATAAAAGAGAAATTGGAACAAAATCCAGCTGAAAGACAGTTTGATTTTAGTGAGATGTATATCTTTGGAAAATTTGAAACCTTTCATCGACGTCTGGTAAAGATAATAGATGTTTTCAATACTATGAAAACCTACTCAGTTCTACGGGAGTCTAAGATAGAGGGATTGGAAGGAATGATCACAAAATATGAGGTACATAGTAAATTTTGGATATTCTGTCAGTCTGACTTGAACTTTAAACAGTAAATAATTATGAAAATTAGAAAAGTGTTTATCAAGAGAAAAATTAACTCTAAGTTGTACTAAAATTACTGGGTAATAGTGGTGTAGATATGTGATTGCTGTGGAAGTGAGCAAACAAGATGAATAGGTGGACACGTTCACTGAGAGCTGCGTTCTAAAGCTGTGCCAGCAGGCTGCTTGGAAACTCAGGTTGCTGAGAATTTTCAGGTCATGCTATGAAGATACTATTTGGGTAGCCTCGAACACAGACATTTCATTTATTTGGGGCATTTGTATTTGAAAAACCACCTATGACCATTAGCCCAGGCTGTGATGCAGTCTGCAAACTCTATACAGATATATACCCCGTTATCCGTTGCAGCACTCAAGTCCTAAAGAGTGAGATTTGTGTGGGACCTAGTTACTGTGAAGTCAGTTGCACTTGGGGGAGTGTGTGTGTAAGGGGAAATTATACATGCTTAGGTAGAAAACACTGCATGGAGTGTTCTGGGTAGTATACATAAAGGGCAGAAAGTGATTGTACTTTTTTGAACAGTGACAAAATTGAGGTGCTGAAGTGTTTGATTTGAACCATAGCTACAGGAAGTTATTATGTTGTAGTTCCTAATGTTTTACCACTTACCTGCTGTCTAGGATTTGCTTGATTTTAGAAGAAAAGATGGAATTTTTATTTACAGCAAAGCAATAGAACTGAAGTTCAATTGACTTACAATAAAATGGTGGAAGTCTGCTGTGCTGAAAATATGTTGAGCTTCATAGCTCTACTGTGATACACTACTAGGATGTTGAACAGTGGTTCATCATTAGAAATCCTTTAACTGTGTGTACAGCTCAAGGGAGATGCTGATCAAGATATATTTTCATTTGAGTGGACAGCAGCTATGTAAGAGAAGCCAGGAATAATAAGTCCTGGGCTGATGATATGCTTGATGATATGGTGACTTCTGAATAGTCTGTTTTTATATGGAATAAGTTAATTTAAAGACATGGAAAATACTAATATGAAGATATTTTTCTTTGTTGAACTTTGTTAACTTTTAAATAGAAATAATGAACCTCTGCATGAGATGATATTTAATGGGTAACAAATGTCTTTGATGAAAAGCAAGAGTCTGGATTTACTGGCAGTTCTAATTGACTTAAAACAGAAATAAATAATATAAATGAAATTTATTTGGACATTGCAGCAACTTGTTTCCTGCAAATATCATTTAAGTGGTTTGCTTATATTGCTCAGCAAATGCTGGTAACTAATGGCAAAGGTAAAATGTGAATGTGCACAGCCCACTGTGCTAAATATTTTGGTGTGGTGAGTCTTTTTGATAAGACAATTTTTGGTGATAATATTCTTTTTCTGTAAAACTGTTTAGAGTATTGTTGACATCATGAAGAACAAGCATTACAATTTCTTGGATCAACGGAAGACTGATTTTGACCAAGACTATGAAGAGTTTTGCAAAGAAATAAATGATCTTCATGTAGGTTTTATGATTCAAATAAGAATGTAATTTACTGATGAATCCTCATGAAAACAAAAATTCCTCTATCTGAGTTATCAACAAATTATGCAAATCTCAAAATTTGCATTCTGAATTTGAAGAATTATTCTAATTTATCTCCACTTTAAAAGTTGCATTTACTATCTTTCAGACCAGTTTCATGGAACAGTCCAGAAAGGGTCTTAAGGGCCTCCAACGAAAGGAGTTTTCATTACTGTACTTTACTTGGAAGTTATGCTAGCAAGAATACCACAGAAATGGATGATTTCATTGATTGAATGGGAGCATAGCACAAATAAGTCAGATAATTAACTTTCCCATAGTTCTGAAATCACAAGTTGGTGGAAGGAAGGGTATTGTTAGAAGAAAAAAAATAAAATAAATGCTTGGCTCACTTTGTTTGCCAAAGAGGTAAGCAAGCATTCTTTGAGAGCTCTCAGCATGGTGGAAAATTTGAAGGTACAGAATTTTTTGTTGGCTGCATGGCTACAGAGGGAACTTAGAAAAAAATTGCCTTGAAAATTGGTTGTATTTTGCTTAATTCTTGAGGGAAGGAAGAAGGGGAAAATTGATGCTTATTTAGGTCAGCTTCACATATGCTGTATTAGAACATGATTTGTTTATGATAAACCTTGTCAAATAATACCTGGCTTATTTGAGGTGTGTGCCTTACGTAGTTCTCTGCTGTAGAATTATTTGCTGTTCTTCAGGATCAATTAAGGATTTTCATGGACATCACCTTTGAAAATACTCTGAACGCTGAAAGAGCACTGAGTATGTTGAAGAAATTCGAAAGGTAATATGTCCCATCTAGATGGATAGAATTCTGCCAGGCAATGGGAATAACACTTTGAGGATGGTGGGAAGTGAGAGGAGCAGAGCTGGAAGCATCTCCTTGAATACAAACAAAAACCAGCTCAACCTCCTCTCACTCAACTGTTCAGCTCCCTTAAGGGATGTCTTCTCTGCAGTGTGGATAAATAAAACCCATACTTTTTGTATTGGAAAATGAAAAATATAAGTGGTCTTTGTATGTCATCTTTCAAAATTAGTGTAAGTACAGGAGTACTTTATGACTGTTAGCATATTTGCCTTAGCTTTGACCTTGAGCAATTACATTAATTTGTTACCACAGTGCAGTTAGAGTAAAATGGTTGTATTGGGAAACAGTGAAATTTGTCTTGATAAATCCACATTGTTGCAAAGCAGCCTCAGTCTTTATTGCACAGTTTTCTTATAATACTCTGTTTAATGGAGTAGCTGCTAGTGACGGATTGATTACAGTTTGCTGCACATAATTTTAACTCAGTGTTTGAAAACAGTGACAAAACAGAAAATGTGTAGGCTTACTTGGAAACTTTTATCATCTGGTCTAAATCTTGGTTGCTTGGAATTAGGTTGTGACAGCATTTGTTCAAGCTTTAGTGAGAACTCTGCTGCTAAAGTAGTTACTTTCTACAGAATGCAAGGGAATCTGGAACAAGTGTGTTTTCCAACAATGCATCAGAAGAATTTCAGAAGTATTGAAGGAGTTTTTTTAATGATTATTGTTTTTCTAAGCAGATTACAAATCCCGAGTCTCGGCATTGGTGAAAAGTATCAGAAAATAATTCAAAACTATGGCCGTGACATAGAAACAGTCTGTAAGATCTACACTCGGCAGAAGCAGGACCCTCCACTGGCTCGTAATCTGCCTCCAATAGCTGGTAGGATCTTGTGGGCACGCCACCTATTCCATAGGATCCAGGAGCCCATGGAATCTTTCCAGCAGCACCCGGCTGTTCTGCGAACACCAGATGGCAAGCGTGTAATCCGCAACTACAACAAAGTGGCAAAAGTTCTGATGGAGTTTGAGGTGATCTACCACAGGGGATGGCTTCAGCAGGTAAACCAGCTGATTTTGATTAGGTTATTTCTTTTTTAAAAAAAATGTGGTGGATTTTTGTTGTTGGTAAGCTAAGAACCTCTAGCTTTACGAACAAGATTGGATTCCTGTTGTTTCAGGCCTCGGTGAAACACTGAGTTACAGCAGTGTGAAGGAATCTCTAGTTAATAGCAGTAATCAGGTATGCGAGGCTGTAGACTTAGGATGCTTCTTAAGTGAGGGATGGAATAAGAAAAGGTACTTTATAAGAAGGTGTTTCTATTAATAAATAATGCCTATACTGCCTGTAGCTGAATTTAGGAGCAATTGAAAGAGCTTCCTTATAACTAGTAAGTTATAATGAAAAATATTTATTAGGAAAATGTATAATGAAGCTTCAGTGATAGTCTTAGCTGACACCCTCTTTCTGCCGTATACTGCCGACTCTGGTTCAAGAAGATCCTGTGTGCAGGGAGTTTTGTCAGCTGGTTAGCTTAAGGTAAAAGCAGACACAGAGGGTGTCTCTGGTCTGGACAGTATGGATTTGGTTTTTGAGTGATAATCCATGGGTACACTCCAAGTGAATGTACATCTATAAAGCATCCAGTCTCAACAGATTGAGCATCCTGTAGAATTAATAGCCATACTCCATGCACAGGTGTGTTTTGAGCCTGTTGTGGGTTAACCCTGGTAGGCAGCTAAGCACCACACAATGGCTTGCTCGCTTCCCCCCACCCACCCTCAGTGAGGCAGGGACGAGGGAAGGAAAAATAAAAGCAAGAAAACTTGAGGGTTGAGATAAGAAATTATTTAGTAAGTGAAGGAGAAGAGGAAGAAGTGGGAAAGAAAACAGAAGTGTTGCCAAGGCACTCACTCACAACCTGGCAAGGGTAGACCACTGTCCAGCCCGTTCCAGAGCAAAAGATGTCTATCCCCTTCAACCCATGCCTCGCCCTTTTTATTGCTGAGCATGATGTTATATGGCATGGAATATGTCTTTGGTTATTTTGGGACATCTGCCTGGTTTTCTCCCCACCCAACCTCTTGTGCACCTCCCCAATCTGTTCACTGCAGGGGGCAGAGTGAGAAAGGGAGAAGGTCTTGCTGCTTTTCAGCAATAGCTAAAACATTAATGTGTTATCACCATGGTTTTGATTACAAATCGGAAACATGGTACCATACAAGCTGCTATGAAGAAAATTAACTCCATCCCAGCCAGACCTAGTACAGAAACATTTAATTTCCAGTCAACCATTTGGTAAGTCAGAACAATTTTTTGTCTGAATATTCTTCAGAAAACATGGTTTACCTTAAGTTCTAAGCCTCATTTGACTGATTTTTCCCTCTTGGGTTTTGCACATGAATTCTCTGACTACCTTCATATTATCAGATGGTTTCTGCAGGGACTACTTTATAGCCTTGACACTTCTGGAAGTTTCTACTATCCTATTGGCATGTTTTCCACAACTGGTTTCTTTGTTGCCTTGTCAAAGAGCATGTTGTAGAAAAATTGGCCTCAGCCTCTCAAATCTCAAAAAGAAGGATCAGAATCTCCAGATGACTGTTTTGAAGGCGGTGGCACAGTTAGCAATGCATCTGCCTCTTGTTCTTGAAGCTCATCCCCAACTTTTGTACAGTGTTGGAAATCTCTGGTGCTGATAAACATCAGTCTTCTCATGATTTCATGTGCTCTTCACAGAGAGCTGGTAGGGTATGTGTATCCCTTGTGTTTTATGGAAGAGGAATTGTGACACTTCAGGAAGCCTTTGGTATTTGATTAGTGTTTCTATCTTGGACTTGGTTTCTGTTTCAATGACAGTGCTGTGTTGGATACCTGCATTGTTCCAAGTATACGGATGATAGATTTCATTGAATTGTACCTGCTGCTGATATCATGTCCTTGCCTGGGCACTTTTAAGATATATTCCCTGTCCCAGCTATAAAGACTAAGGAGGATGTATGCTTCTTGTGGTGCTACATCTGTCTCCTTTGACTAGATGATCTAGTGATGAGAATTTCTAACATGCACCATCCATTGGTGGAGCAGTCAAGTGCATTCTCCTTTCATCTTTTACACAATGCCTGTAACATCCAAAGCATCTCCCCTGAACTGGTCCTTTCTTTGTGAGGTCTTGTGATCTGATTCTGATCTGTGCTAAAAGTAAGCATCTGATTTCTCCTATAGCAGAGTCAAGTCACACTTGGCAGCCATAGAAACTTGCCGAGCCTGCTTCAACCTTATACTCATTAGGTGGAAAGAAAGGAAGATGGATTTGAACACAATTTCAAGTTTTTGAAATGAGCATACATGCCTTGAAAATACACGGAAAGTATACCTACTTTAACATCAATGCACTTGTCTACCAGATGTGGCAAAAAAATGTGACTACTGTACAGTAATTTCTTCTCTCTTGAGGCAGCGAGTGCAGACAGATGTGGACATGAGTATGATAGAACACAAGGTGGAGCTCCTGTTCTACTCCTGATCAAAAGAAAAACAAGAAGGGGGCAAATGTCCTGTGGGGAATAAAAATGCAACAGAAATAGGGATGTAGCTATGACTCCTTTTTAGTCTTCTATACAGTAGAAATAGTTCTTAGTGGCACTTTCTGATATTTCTGAACTATTTTTTCCCCCTTTTGCTTGTTTGTTACTGGATGGTTATGACCTTGTTTATCCACTTTTTAAATAGCTGTCATGGTTTGAGCTTAGAGGGCAACTGAGCGCCACACGGCTGCTCATTCCCCCTTTCTGTGCCGGTGATGAGAAGGGGAAAATAAGTCAGGCTTGGGATTTGAGATAGGGCAGGGAGGGGCAAATCACCCATTATGGTCACAGGCAAAAGGCGGACTTGTTAGGGGAAGAAAAAAAGAACATAGATTTATTACAGACACTAACAACAACATTTAACTGAATAGGACAGTGAGAAGCATTACCACACCTTGAGAACACCTTCCCCCCACCCCTCCCTTCTTCCCAGGCTCAGCTCTGCTCCCGATATCTCTACCTCCTCCCCCAGTGGCGCAGGGGCAGGGAATGGGGGGTGCAGTCAGTGCTGCTGCTTCTTCCATTTTTGGTGGGAGGAGGTTCTGGAACTTCTCCCTGCTCCATCATGGTCCCCCTCTCACAGGAGACAGTCCTCCACAAACTTTCTTCAATGTGAGTCCCTCCCATGGGCTGCAGCGTTCCCGACACTGCTCCCTCGTGGGTCACTAACTTTCTCCGATTGGATTCCCTCCCACGGCTGCAGCCCTTCCCGAGCTGCTCCGGCGTGGGACTCCCCCCATGCTGCAATCCTCCCAGCACTGAATTACAGCAGTGGCGGCTGCTTCTTCGCACAGGATCCCAGCCTCCTTTGTGTGCATTCACCTAAATTTCCAGATGAGGCCCCTCACAAGCCATAAATCAATGTCTGCTCCACCGTAGATCTCCATGGGTGGCGGGGGGGGCTGCCCTGCCGTCTCCCCACAGGATACAGGGGGGTCTCTGCTCCGGCACACCTCCCCTCTCCTTCCTTCCTCCGTTCCTCCACTGACCTTGGTGTTCATGCAGCTGCAGCAACTCCTCCTCACCAGTCCCACTGCTCCTCACCACGTTCCTTCTTAAATATGTTATCGCAGAGGCGCAGCTGATTGGCTCAGTTTTGGTGCAGAGGTGGAGCTGACTTGGAGCTGGGGGAGCTTCGAGAAGCTTCTCACAGGGGGCCGCCCCAATAGCCCCCTCCCCTGCTACCAAAAAGTCCCACTGCTCACTCAAACCCAGGACATGAGCTTAAGATTTAAAGCCATTATTTTTTGTGCTATAGCAAATGATGTTCAAACTGGAACACATTAAAATAATAAAATACCAGGAAGTATGGAAGTTACTATAATTCTATGGCAGTATAAGATTTGTGCCTTCAATGTACCTCTTATTTCTCTTACCAATTTCTGTTACCTTAATAATGAAAGTTGCCTAAAAAAAAAAAAAAAACCCAAAAAAACCCAACATAAATGGGAGAGGAAAAGATTGATAGTGGGAATAATGAGTCTAAAATTCAAAGAACAGTGCAGTAATATTTCCTGGAGAAGTTTGCTGGAAAAATTTCAGCTCCTATTTCAAGGCAGCTGTGCTGAGTGACTTTGATGCTAGTGGATAGAGCATGACAACTTCACTGACAAAACTTGATCAGATGATTTCTTGGAAAATGGTGTGTAAAATGTTATGATTAATACATGATACAGCTGAAGCAAGCAGTATAGTAAACTATATTTCAACTATATTTTAGGTATTGAAGGGGGGGTGCAAATTTTCAGTGTGTATTCCATAAAAGAAGAAAGTACAGTGGAAGAAATCAACAGATTATGAAACTGTTGCTTAAAAACAAGCTCAATCTCAACATAATGTGATACATGAAATCTGAGAAGTGAATAAAGAACAGTAAAATTACGTCAGCAGAGGGACAACTGGAATGTAGGAACAGCGGCCAAGTTTTTCGTGTGGGAGAGATTTCCCTACCTAAGGCATAACTTCTGCACTTTTCCATGAGTGTTGGTCTTATGGATGCTCTCTCTTCTAATCACATGGAGAAAAAATAGTATTCTAATATTCAAGTAAGACAATTAAACCAATATTGTGATTAGGCTTCCCTTTGGAGATTTAAAAAAAAAATCTATAATAAACATTAATTTTAGTATTTTTAAAAATTTGCTCAGAGATTGGATATAATTGAGAGTTTCATTAAGATTGGAGTGTGGTATGTCTGTTAGGTAGTGGAAAACAAGCGAAAGGAGAAATGAGGATAAATTTATTCAAAAGATATCTGAAGAAGTTATGCAAGATTAGTTTAGTTCAACAAGGAGGTTGTGTGCAGCCTTATTGCAGAATCTGCAATAAATTTTAAGGAAATGAGAGTTCAGATCGAAGAGGACGGAAGTAAAAAAAAAATCTCTGGCTCTGCTTTTGATATTGGGCTGTGGAATGCAGCTTATAATATCCAAGAACCAACAGAAAAATATCTGCTGAAGAAAGAATGATTTAAGTATTTGGGTGCATACTGCTTGTATTAATAAAGTTTTGTTGTTGATTATGATATCAATCTTCATTGTCAGCAATACCTGCTTTCAGTATCTGCCAAAGTGATTTTTATGTCCAAACCAAAGAATTTCATTGTACTGGCTTGTCTGATCAGGAATTATTACTTTGTTTTCTGCAGATTGAATTAACTAAAAGAGGACTTCAGGCATTTCTCTTGGTAAAAGCTCCAGAAACAGGAGAATTATTTGTGAATTTTGACCCTCAAATATTAACTTTAATCAGAGAAACAGATTGCATGGCTCACATGTGCCTTGAAATCCCACCATCTGCAAGTATTATTCAACATAAGAGAGACTGGTATAAGAAGATTGTCAGCAATTTGCACGTGGGTTTATTTTAGTTATTTCACGTATGTGTAGTGTACATTAAGATGTATAGATTCTATACATATGGAAGAGAAAGATCTTACGCCTTAAGAATACATTGGGAAATCTATTTTTTATCTTTATGACTGTCTTGGGGCACTTTTACAAAGAATTTCTTGGCTTTGTAGTTTCTGGAAAGTCACTTCAAAGATGCATGGGTTTAGGGAAGCTCTGCAGAGCTTGGGAAAGAGACGAGGATGAGCAGGAAAGGAGGTTTACAGGATGTCTCCCTCTGTTGCCTGCTTTCTAAATGATCATTTATCTCTCATCCAATGATGGAGTCAACATTGGATACACTCTGTTTTGAGAGGATAGTTGTGAAGGAGGAGCAGGTGGTATGCCTTTAAAAAGTGTAAAGCACCCAACAAGTAGCAGCATATTTCCTGCACCAGTGTTTTACACAGATGTCTGTGGAACAGTTTAAAAAAGAGAAGCTAAAACTTCCCTTTCTCTAATATTTTAAATAATTTGCGTGATTTTGTCTGCATATGAACAAAGTTCTTGATGACTCAAGAAAAGGATTCAAAGATAGGTGTCCAGAAGACTATAGCTTCAAAGGGCTACTTGATTCTGAAATGAGAAAAAAATTGTCATATTAAGTCATAAAGTTATTTCAAGGATTATTTTTAGTGAAGCATGTGAAACTAGATCAGTAGGTTAAAGATGTATTAGAAACCAAATACCATATTAAAGTTCTGGCAAGGCTACTCTAATAAAACTGCTGAAAAGTTGAGTCAGATGCATTTTTTTCATTGGGCTTTTTGTCTCCTGGAAAATCTATTTAGAGACTGAAATTTGCAAACCTTTTTGTATGTTGTGGTTTAACTCCTGTAGGTAGCTAAGCATCACAGCTGCTCACTTACCTCCCCCCAGTGGGATGGGGGAGAGAATCCAAAGGTTAAAGGAGAAAACGTGGATTGAGATAAAGACAATTTAACAGGGAAAGCAAAAACTGCGTGCGCAAACAAAATAAAAAAAAAGGAATTAATTTTCAACTTCTCATTGGCAGGCTGGTGTTTAGCCACCTCCAGGAAAGCAAGGCTGTATCATGGTTAGTTGGGAAGACAAACATCATAGCTCTGAAGGTCCCCCTTCCTCCTCCTTCCCTCAGCTTTTATTTTTAAGCACGGTGCCATAGGTATGGGTTAATCCCTTTGGTCAGTTGGGGGCAGCTGTCCTGGCTGTGTCCCCTCCCAGGTTCTTGTGTGTCCCCAGCCTCCTCGCTGGTGGGGCGGTGTGGGAGGCAGGAAAGGCCTCAGTGCTGCATGAGCACTGTTCAGCCACGGGCAGAACATCTGTGCGTTAGCAACACTGCTTTGGTCACAGATCTAAAACACGGCACCCTATGAGCCCGTATGAAAAAGATTAACTCCTTCCCAACCAAAACCAATACAATCTACAAAGATGAATTTCCGTGTGAAGTAGTGCTTGCATTAGTACAAAGATCAACATGTAGTGAACTTCTGCTCAAAATAATAAAAACATTTCCCAAGCAATTAACTATTGTTTCTTAAGAATTTCAGTGATGTACATCCAGAGGAATTTTCTTAATATAAGTTATGATAAATATGTGTACGTGAAGAGGTTAAATCAGTGTATATTAACTAATGCTTTTATTCTCTGTTTATTTCAGATGATGCTGGCGGAATATAAAAGAATTAAACTGAAAATACAACACCCTATGGAACAACTGATGGCTCCTCGGTTAGCAAACGTAGATGATGCTATCCAGCCAGGTCTAATGTTACTGACTTGGACATCCTTGAATATCGAGAAATACATTAATACAGTTTTTTACAAGCTAGGTAGGTCACTTGCCTTCTTCCATTAATTTCTGCTTGTTTGTTTCTATACAAATACAAGCTATATTATTAAACTTACTATCCTTTATATGATTTTCACTTAACTGACTTGTACATGAAAGAAATAAGAATTTTCACCTGCCTTGTACTTCATGAAACCTCTGCTTTATAACACCACCGTCTTTTTGTCTCACATATTTGTCAAATTTTTACTGATATGGATGGATGGCAGTTAGGATTAAACCAAACATAAAGTAGTTTGCAAAAAGTTCCTGTGTATTCTGAATTCAAAGAATGATAGCTGCTTTTTAAAAGAGCTCTTATGTGTCAGACTTTTCCTAATCTTGCCTTTTGTTTCTATAATGTACAAAGCAAGTTCTCAGGGAATAATATCATGACTGAGTTGGCACTGTCACTGCTCAATAACTTTTCATATTAACTTTTTTCTTAACCATCAGTCTCTTTAACGCTAATGCACACACATCCTGGGAAACAGCTTTAGAAAACAGACGAGCTTGTAGTCTTTTCAAACAATTATCACAAGATTGCACTGAGATGCATATTGTTTCTGAAGATATCAAGTTCCTTTTGCTTCAGCTTAATTCCTACATCAAACAGATTTTGGTTTTTTGAAATTCTTGAAGTAGTTAATAGTGGGAATTTTCTTTAGTTGAAATGGCAAATTAAAGTGCATTTTGGATGCTAACTTGACATTACACTCAATTTAATTTTGAATAATACAAAGAGTTTGAGTCTGGAACAGGCACCTTGTTGCTATTTCAATTTCAGCATTGAAAGCAAATTGCTATTAAACTGTGAAAATTCTAGTGATTGTTTTCTGTTAACTATTATTTGGCTTCTGACATTTTTTTTGAAGGATTGACATTTTATTTGCCGAAAGTTTCTGTTAGAAGGGTCTCCAAGTGATAACCAGTTCAAGCTACAGGAAAAGTAGTATTCCTGGGCCTCAATTGAATTTTAATGTCTTTGTGTTTGAAGTGCATATACTTTAGGCTCATCTTAAATATTTTATAGTATCTTGGCCATTGTATTTTAAGATATGGATAACATATGCTAGATGAGCATATGTTATGCAAAAAATTAATTATGATTTCAACGGTGAACCTTGTCATAAAAGTTTAGATGTTTGAAGTAAACTGGTCAAGGTGTAGAATTCATATAAAATTGAATATGATAGTTTGTTGATCTAAAAATTTAAGCAGGACTCTGCAAAGACTGTTGTTTCAAACGTTTAAACTTATCTTGAATCTTATATTTGCTTCAAAAGCTGAGCTGGAGTTATTGCTTGATCGAGTGAATGACTTGGTTGAATTTCGTATTGATGCTGTCCTTCAAGAAATGAATAGAGTGCCACTCTGTAAGTTGCCAGAAGATGAACCACTGAGCTGTGAGGAATTTCTCCAACAAACTAAGGTTAATAGATAAAACTTTCATAAATAAGAGTTCAATGGATTTGAATTAAGATATCTTTCATTTTTTATGAGATTAAAACGGTGCTGAATTAATGAAGTATACGTAGGAAACTTAAGTAAGGAAATCCCCACTTGATTGGCTGGAACCTTAAAAAGGAACAGAAAATATCAAATGCACATGAGGTGTTATTTTCAGAGTTTATTAATGTCAAGCCAACTACTGTATGATTTTTTTCTTTTGCATTTTGATACCACTCAAATGTTTTTCCTCTGTGATAGTATCTTTTTTGTCATTTTTACTTGTTAGTGCCTTTAAATAAGGGAATTTCCTCTGTGATACCTGTGAATAGCTCTGTAACAAGTGCACTTTGTTGCCTGAGACAGTAAATACTGTGGAAGTGATTGTGTACTGAGTATCTTTGTTAATCTCAAGATCTCCTGAGTTGGTAACGGGATGTGCAAAGTATACTTAGAAATATCTGGATGAAGGCATTCTGGGAAAAGCCCATTTCCTCACCCCATCAAAATACTTTTATGTTGAGGAGGATTAAATGTATAAGCATGTAAATTGTTAGTCAGTTAGAAAGCTGATTAAGCTAGCAATAAAATTGAATGTCAGAGTGACTTTTATGAGGCAATAGTGAGATATTCTGGCATTTTAGCCTATAATGTCTAACTTGTGTTTTCTCCTGAAATAAACTGTGCTTTGAAAAAGATTGTAGAAGATCATGCAGATAATCCCCATCCCTAGCCTCTTATAGCAATAAATGTTACAAAATAAAGTTTTGTTTCTCTTAGTGTACTTAACCTTTTGGCCTTTCCTCTTTTGTCCCTTGTAACATCTCACCTTATTGTTAAATACAAAGTAAAACTTAAAATAATATTTTATGGAATGAATGTTATTTTGTAAGCCTCGCAATCCATAGTTGTTTTTTGTTGACCCTGATGCTGTTTTCCTGATAGGGCTAGTACTAAAGTCTATATTCACTAAAGTAAAATATGTGAGAGTGAGCACAAAAAAATTCTCAGCAATGTGTATTAGTGGATATTGCTTAGTGTTGATCTTCTGCAAGAAAACTGGAACTGCTACATAGCAATTATAACATCACAACAGCCAATCAATTTGAGTTAGCAGAGTAAGCAGTATACTAACCCCAGTTATGGGTACAATGAAAATAATAACAGTGTTTGTAAGCCTATTGCAGTTTTTAATTAGAAGGGACTAGAAATAAATTCTATCACCTAACAGGTGTCTTTAATTTTCTACAGAAATCTCTGCAACAAAAATAGTCATACCATGGAAAAAAATCCAGAGTACTTTGTTTAGTAGGTGCTGTGATATTGCAAATCAGATCTGGCTTCTCTCTCAATTAGACTGAATCATTAGGACGATCAAAGATTGTGTCTTAAAATTTGGAAATTAGTGAATCTTGCTAATGGCTGGATTTTTCCAATTATAGATTTTTAATTAAACAAAGAAATAGGTGATAAAAAGGAAGAAGAAAATTAAAAGGCAATTATAGTTAAAAATTATAGTTGGCTAAAGCATACTTGATCACTTTTACTGTAAGTATTAAATAAAAAACTGCACAATAATATGTTTCTGAATTTTATTAAATCTCATTCTTTAATTCCTTCTCCCCCCAGGGAGTAAGTTTCCTGTTTATTCTAATAATAAATTCAGTTTTTGATAGATTTTATCTCCTATCTAGCTATAAATGGGAAATATGACTGGCTAATATTCCTTATGACACAGCCAAGTAATGTAAAATGGCAGCAATTAAAAGAAAGGTTAAATCTTCCATGTCTACATTGGAAAGTTAATAAAATTAAGAAGCACTTGATTTTGGTAGCTCTTTAATGGAACTAGGCTTTATAAGCCTTGATTCATGATATTAACTATGGATGAGTCATGTGATCTAGGAAAAAAGCAACAGCAATTTTGAAAGACATGTACGATATCTTGTTCGGCACAACAAAGAATCCAACACTAAATAGTTTGGAACAAACCAATTTAAAAATAATGTCGTGTATTGATCTTGTTTTTCACAAATCTGAGGCCTTGGTGTTTGTGTTAATAAAGGCTGCTCTGACGGTGAAATAGACATGAGAACCAGGAAGATAAGAACAAATATTTGTTTTGGTTTGATAACAGGAGCTCTGTATAAAAGGTTCTCGGACTTTACATTTAAAAAGCTCACTGGTGGAAGACGCTGCTAATGAGCTGATTAACATGTTACTTGACACTGAGGTACAAGTCAGAAAAGAAGACGAGAAGTCAGTTGTACCCATTGGTGAAGTAAGGGAAAAAAGTACAGGTAGGATTGTACTGTAGCTCTGTGCTTATGTTTATTTTGCATGCTGATAGTATGTGTTGGGGGGATATTGTAGCTTGGCTGACTGAAGTATGAGTCAGTATCTAATGTCTAAAGACTTTTGTTTGAATTTGCCTGGATAATGGATCATCTAATAAGCATCTATCATCTGCAAAACAGGTTAATATTATCAGTGTAATTTACATGTTGAAATGTTATTGCCATAGAAGCAGCTACTTACAGGCCTTGGTAACTGCTGGACTTCCTAGAGAAATAATATTTAAATCTGGGTGATAATCCTGCCAGTTTGTACTGAGCAGAGAAGGTGGATAGGAGTTAAAGGACTGTTACATTGAGGTACAGATTATGAATGAGTATAATCTGCACTTCTGTAAAATTTAGCTGTATTTCAGACACCTGTGGAGATGTTGCTTTCTTGTGTTTTCAGGTACCTTAAGTCAGTTAACTAAGTAGATTTATATTTTAGCAACAGAAGAGGAAAGAAGATCGAAAAGCTTGACTGCCTCCCACAATTCCAGTGAGATACGGGCTGGACTCTCTCCTCTGGCAAAGAGAAAGAGAATGGATTTAGAAATGTTAGAGGAAGAAGCCAATGAACTGCTTTCCTACTTCAATCATTGTAATATTGATGCCCTTCTGAAAGTCACTCGAAACACTCTGGAGGCCATACGCAAGCGTATCCATGCATCTTCCATGATCAACTTCTTAGGTGGCCATATTGCAGTACTTTGCTTTCTTAGCCTCTAAGAAGAAATATGTAAATGTAATACCCCAGAATTATAAGAAAAGAGCCACATATGTAAAAGAGGGGAACATAATGGGAGTTTGAATAAGCTGCCTTGTTAATTCATAAGTGCTAACATGGTATATTTCCAAAAGAATTTTTTTTTTTTTTTCCTTTAGGAAAAAACCTGTCATTGTGGTGCCATTTGTCTTAGGACTGACTGTACTGTTCTGTAGCTGGATATTATATTTGGAGCTGGACTTGATAAATGGTTACCTGTTTGACCTTGCTTTTACAGAAAGCTATATGAAAAAAATAATAGAGAACGAAGCGTGTTCTCTTTCTCTTACTAATTTCCTTCAGATCTTTCTATACATTCTGATGGGACACTCTTTTGAAGTGTTTTCTGTTACATAAAGAAAGTAAAATAAAGGCATTTGTATTTGATCTCTATAACATATAAGGCATACATTATTACGAGATTCTAAGGAGGTTTTGTGTCCAATTTAATATGCTGACTGGGAGTGCAAGCCAGATAACAAAATTTTCTGCTAAACAGAGTTCAGCTGCACAGAACAAGTTGAAGAGGAGCTTCATGGAGAGAAATAGCGTGGCACTTAGTTTTTGCTTGTGCAGCTATAGACTTTACCAATGCATCTTGTAAATTACTCAGGAATCTATTTTTCCTTATGAAATTACATTCAGTACTCAACATTAGGAGGTGTATATATATATATATATACCTATATATTGGTTTATATCATTACAATGCCTAGTTTGACATCTTGAAAAAAATGTGAACAACCTTTTTTTTTTTTTTGTCTTTCATTTAGAAAATCACAATGCTTCTAAGCAGAAGAAAAGTGCTCATCCTATAATTAGGACTAGTATTAACCTATCTATACCTAATGTTGTTATGATACCCTCTTTGGATGAGGTACAGCAGACGCTTAATAAAGCTGTAGATAGTATTGTGAAAGTAATGAAAGGAGTTGGACAGTGGAGTAAGGAGAGAATATCCAAGGTTTGTGTCTTTAACAGCTTTTCTTAAAACTAATATTTCAAAACTACTGCAAATAGAAAATGAAATTTTATTTCCTCCCCAGAAGAAAATGCTAGAGAGAAAAGTGGCTGTGTTGTGGTGTGAGAGCACAGACAGTGATTCTGATGATGGAATGAGAGAGACTGGAAAGAAAAACTTCCCTGGTAATGGTAAATTTTGACATCACTCAATTTGAACATTAGGTGAACGTGATTTATACAGAATGTATTAAAGCATATTAAATACAAAATGCATCAAAAATAGTAGAACAAAGACTTTATAGATTTTAACCTACCTCGGAGAAGAAAGGATATAAGATTAATAAGAACACTTAACTTTAAAATACATGCTTATTGAAAAATATGACATAGTTTTTGTCTGTAGGAATTTGCTTGGTCTAAACAATATATCTGTCCTAAAATTGCTTTTGCATTTGAATCTGTCTTTATAGATAGCATGTCAGATGCAGCATCACTCAGTTTGTCTGATCCGGTGCAAAACCAGAACTACTTCAAGAGTGTGTCAGAGAACAAAGAAATTATTAAATTGGTATCTTTACTCAGCACAGCTGTTAATTCTACAAAAAGGGTAAGACAATTGAGATGTTAATTTAATATCACTAGCCAAGGGATATTAATGTATTACTTTTAATATTCTTGGACAATAAGAGTGGTCATTTGAAGCAGTGATTAAACATATAAATGAAAAAGTGTAGGATGGTGGATGGAAAACATGTGGCTGCAAATTTGCAAATGCGATTTGAAAGTGAAACATGGGTTAAGTGTACTCTGTTAAAAAACTCATGAGGTTTTAAGTATTACGTAAGGTAAAACTTAGGTCTGATTAAAAATGTATCTCCAGTTGGTAAAACATCATGAAAAAAATGCTAGGTACAGTTGAGTTGTGTGTATTCAATATAGAACTGGTAGTCATTGTACAAGTGTGTTAAATACAGTTTCATTCACGTAGAAATTCTAATGAAGCCAACATGACTTCTGGCCCACTATGAAGATTTTATAAAGGTTTTTGGAAGAAAACTGGCTGTCAACTTAGCATTTGTAAAGTGCTGCACAGGATTTGCTGCTGGAAGTTAGGAGATAGCTTAAAGGTTATGTGTAATTTTTGCCATTTTCTTCTTCTGTGCACTCTCGAGTAAACTATAGGTATTGAACTGATATTTCTTTGGGGGACTCTACATCATTTCCTCCTGGGGCCAGTCCAACTTTACAGTGGAGCCTTGCCAGGTGTGAATTTTTGACTCAAAGCCTTGTAACTTCAGTGGTACTAAAGCATAACTAGCACAATGACATACAGGCTTGTGCTGAAGACTGTGATGCATTTGATAATGGTGGATAATTATTTTGGTGTTTTGATACTCGATATTTTGCAATTGGAAACTTTTATCACTTATCCAGGTTTAAATGCCTACAGGCACTGTGGTTATCATAACTCATGATGTAGATTATTTCTCATAGCAGTCACCTCTCACTTATTTTTATTAGCTGAAGTGTTGATGGTTTAACTTTGATATTTTCCTGAACTCCTGAGAACCAGAAAAATAATTCTGTTGCACAGTCCTTAAATGATATTCAAATCAAAGATACCTGAATTGACTGTGGAACTTAATGTTGACATCACCAATGTCATACACATAAAAACCCCTGTCTCATAACTTCATTATTTGAGAATTAATTGAGTTATTGATGTTCTTGTTATGTTGGGCCTTGGAGCTCAGGTTTCAGTTGCTAGTCCAATAAGTGGTAGGGAAGGACAAGTGTACTGTATCCTAGTCTTAAAGGAGGATTTTAGTTCCCGCTGATTCATAGGATTTTATTGACTGAAGAATCACTGAATTGGAAAATACTGTAACTCATTTGACAAATTGAATGTGATTAGCATACAGTTCCTGGCAAGGCTTGTGATGGCAAATGGAACTTGCTTCAGTGTAAATTTACCAGCAGCCTTCTGTTTAGTGAGGTGATGCAGCATCGTGCTTCACTGTGGAGATCTTACTGTATTTTAACGAGTAGATGCTAAGAAATTGTATGTATGTTATACATACAATGCTAATGATCTTTCTTTGAACTTCTGATGTGTTTCAGGAAGTTCTTACAGCTTTGGAGAGTTTTAGTTGTTACCACCATGTATGGCAGAGGGACAAGGAGGAGACCATTGATAAATTAATGATGGGAAACCCCTTACTTTCTGAATTTGAATCTGAAATTCTGCATTTCCAAGACTTGGAGCTGAAAATCAATTCTGAACCTGAATACATCTGTGTGGGAGCTATTGCACTATACACTGGTAGAGTTCAGCTTTCCACTTTTCTCTAGAGACATACAATTCCTGACTCCTGTAGGGAGGAGAGATGGTGCTTAGTTTTGGATAAGTGAACTAGGTTAAAGATGGAAAGGAGTAAGAGGGAGAATGGCTGTTTGCTGTTTTGGCTGTACATGCATGAAAACAAAATGCTAATGCAAGGGCATCTGTGAGGCTCAGCTGGAGTTTCTTCTCCCACCTGGATACTTCTGCTAACTTATGGGGTGGATGGTAGATGTTTGCCTATCCTTCTGTCACTGACCCCCATAGGTACATATTTTCTGGGAGTAAGATGATACGTTTATGTTGCTTTTTTCCTTGCCTGGATGCATGTAATGAGACAGCTGAAAAGCCTTCTATTTTACAGAGTTAGCTAAGTGAAACATGAATGTTAGTGCTGATTCCCTTTTTGCCGTGAAAGCCAGGCCTTAAATCTTTACTTTTTTGTAGCTCAGGTTGCACATCACCTAACTAAATTTTGCATAAATGTTTTACACCAGTAAAACAGAAAGGACAGTTGGGAATTGTGAAGGACTGTAAGCAATGCATGCAACTGCTTTTTCAGAGGATGTCAAATCTGAGGAACCAGAATCTTTTCTTTATTAGGAAAGACTGTCAACCAAATGTCTTTGATTATATCATAAGACAAAGAACTAGAGAAACAAGCCAGCTGCTGAAACTCAATGGAGGTGAGGTTGTTCTGGTATTTAATAAATCAAAAAGACCATCAGGTGTGAGAGCTAAGCGTGGAAAGAGGCATTGTGTAGAAAGGAAGACAACAGGTGAAATCTGCCCAGGGATTGAATAGGTAACAGAGTTGAAATTATATCCAACTAAAATTTTATGTAATGCTTGTGTTGGTATTGATTTTTGGCTATTCTGTTGAGACACTGCGAGGAAGGAATTAGAATTCGATGGCAGAGCTTTAGAGAAATGGACTGGATTGTTGCAAAATTGGGCAGCAACTCAGCAAGGCTCCAATTTTCTCTCTAAACGTTCATCACTTGGTTCCACTGATGCTACAGATAAAGCTTATAAAAATTAAATGGTTGGTGGACCATTTGGTTTCATTAAATGCCAGATCAAACTTTCTGCTTCTTCAGCTTCCATAATCAGACTCTTTTCCTTGCCACATTATTTTTTTAAAGGTTAATTTTTGAAAAGATTTGAGGCTTAGAAGAGTATATGAACCAATTTGTTTGTGATATGTAGAGCAGATATGTGTATAATGATATATGAACAAGATGACAGGTGTGGAGTTCAGACTCATCTTTCCAGTAGGAGATATATGAGATGATATATTCTGAGAAGATTAGAAGGAAAGCAATCCTGAATTGCAAGCAATCCTATAAACCGCTCAGAGGTGTCAGTGTGATTTTATCTTCTCTGTACATGGATGATTCAACTGAAAAATGAGAACTGGGAACAAAGAGAACACATATTGAAAAAAGATTAAAAGCACCTCTTAAAAAATATGTACAATATCTAAATATCTATTTGTTGTTCAATGTTTTTAGCTGATCTGAAGCTAGCACTGAGAGCAGAAACCAAAGCCTGGATGACTTTGCTGGGGTGTCATTGTAATAAGAAGTACCGAACAGAGATGGAAGCAATTTTCACTTTTATAGAAGAAACTGGCAAGAAGTTAAATCGCCACATCAAGGATCTAGATGATATAAGAATAGCCATGTCAGCTTTAAAAGAGATCAGAGAACTACAGATCTCCATAGACTCTCAAGTTGGGCCCATTGAGGTAGGTAACATGAATGTTGCATGTATGGATACTATTTCAACAGAGCAATTATTTTCTGGGTTAAAGCTTAACAGTGCACTTTGGAAAGGTATGATTTAATATGTGTTGAATGTTGGGTGGCAGACCTGCTGTGTTCCTGTAAACTTTTTCTTTGTGTGGAACTCTGATTTGGAAAAACATAAACTTGTTGAGGCGAGAGGTGGTTTAGCGAATAGTGGAGAAATTGAGTGATTTAGGTAAGAGGAAGATGAAATATAGATATTTAATGAAAGAAAGTTTTAGTACTTCGTGGAAGAACTCTGTGTATGAAAACCATTGCTTTTCTTTTTTTTTTTTTTTAGTTTAGTCTAGAGAAGAAAAAGCTAATGTTAGGCAGATTATATGAAAATGCATGAGAGTGATTGGTTTGTCAGCAGTATCACGGGTTGAAATAAACACAAGCAATTGACTTCCTTAAAGAAGTTCACTTACTAGAATACATTTATTGAATGTCTGACAGTATGGGGTCTTCTGGTCAAATGGCAGAATTAAAAACAGGTAGTAACTGTTTCTCTGCATTCCTGACCAGAGTATGGATTTAGGAAAGCACACCATTGACTAGACATTCAGTAGAATATTTTTATTCTTAAGATATGTTTATGATTCCTGATTGCCCATAGTTTTATTGTCGGGACTGTGTCCTTACTGTTTTAAATTAAGGTAACTTAACACAGAATTCTTATATACCAATTATTGGCAAGTCTAATATTCTGTTTTGGAAATGCAAAAACTATGTTTGCTGTCAAACAGACGTCTTGCACCTGTGTTTTCTGATTTTGTTTTCTCTGGGCTGAGGTAAATTATGGAATGCATTATGTACTTGTATGCGCAAATAATGGAAATTATTATGGAGCCCTTCTATATTTCACCAAATGAAGCTATGAGGGAGTATATCTCTCAGCCTTAGAAGCTGTGAGGGTGTCCCTAGTTGTGTGAAGGAGCAAAAATAGGACAAGAAGTTTATGCTGAAAAGCAAAACATATCTGCAGCTGGAAACTTCTGTGAAATTGTCATAGGTAATGGGATCTCTTAGGAGATGACATTTTGGAAGTTTCTGCTAAGACCTATCCTGGTTTGCCAAGTGATGTGGAGCCAAGGCAAAAGCCATGGTAGCTGAGGATTCCTGAGCTTCCAACTCTGCAAGCTGGAGCCTCAAGTCCCTAGGCACAAGGAATCATGCTTCAGATTTTTGAAATGGAGATTGATGTATTTTCCACATAGTGGGGTGGCAGACAGATAGTTTAATTTCCATTTTTGCAATTTCTCTGCTATTTAATCAAACTCGAAAATGTAAATGAAAATGATTCCACTTTATACAAAAATTTTCAGATGGAACTGTTATGCCACAAGATTCATTGCTAACCTACTCCATGCTAATTTACAGTAAGTAATTTTCAGTTAAGTTTTTGTGAAACTTGACTAAGGGTTTCAGTATGTAGAGTGTTTATATGTTGGTGGTACAAGAGGAGATCAATGTCTGAGAAGCCAGAGGACCATTAAGTGGATTTTTTAAGTGGATTCCTCATTCTGAGTGATGAATAGTTATAACATTTGAAATAGCAGCAACATACTAGTTGTGGTAACTTTAATGTGGTTTTCTAATTATTTTTTGTTGAAAACATGAAGTAGGGCTTAAAGGTCTTAATGGAATAGAAGTTTGTTTGCTTCATTTACTTGAAGACCTCTGCTTAGATGCTTTCTCATGGCTCACATCCTGTAATATTCAGCTTGGGTCATAGCAGATAATTAAAGACATGGATCAGAAAAATATTCTCATTTAAAATGAAAATAAACCCTCTAGACTTAAGGAGTAATTTAACTGGAAATAGTTTTTTAGAGAGGTAGATTGCACTAGGGCAAATAATCAGAAAGCAGAATGCTATGTGAAAGGTAAGGAGTTATGGAGGACTAGCTAGTCTTCGTGTTGATGTTTCTTCTAGTTTGGTATTGTCTTGCCAGATGCAAAAAAGAACAGATGTTCTATCAAATCATTCTCTGCTCTTAAACATTTAAAATATTAGCATACATATATGTGTAAAATTAATTTCAGTTACCATTTTGTTTGTCTTGATCCATCCTTCTGACAGGAATCCTATGCTATGTTAAACAAATACAATCTACTTGTGGCCAAGGAAGAGACAGAGAAGGTGGACACTCTGCACTACGCTTGGGAAAAACTGCTAGTCCGTGCAAATGAAGTGCAGAATGAGCTCATTGCTTTGCAGCCAGACTTCAGAGGAGAGCTCATTAGAGCCGTGAAGACTTTTACTGAAGACTGTGCACAGTTCTATTCAGATTATGATCAGGCAAGTGCTTGTGGTATATTGTATTAGAGGAGTTTTTGAGGAGCAGTGGGAACGTGGAAAGACTGTGGAGTTGACTAGTGGATGCGTGTCTACTGTCTGAAGAATATGTTTATTATTGTTAATGTGGTCTGTGAGTTTGAGTGCAGGGCAGGCTTTGGTTATTTTTTGTATGTGACTTAAGTACTTAATGCTGGTAATCAGCTCTTAAAGATTAAGACTTGAGACTTTTAGGATTTATGATAAAGAGGTAGTTAGCATGAGCAAATGTGAAGATTAGGATTAGTGAGAAATTATGTTAGAATGTAAGAAACGTTTTCTGATGTCGGATATAAGTGCAAATGACTTAAGCTCTTATATGCTTTCTTGGTAGAATATAAATGAGTCAAGCTGAGCCAGTCTGGTATCATCTTCTAAGTAATGCTGATTTTTGCTTGAAAAAGGAGCTACCACTGCCTAGTTTTTATGAAAACTTATGTATTAAAAGAACAACTATGTGCCTTCTTTCCTATTTTTTTCTCCTTTTAAAAAAAGAAAGTGCTAGTTCTAGTAGGTAACTGTCATCTCTTGGTTCAGTTGTTACTTGATGTAGGGATGGAATACTGCAGCTGCAAAAATGTTTGAGTTTAACATTTAGAAAATGCTGATTAGAAGGAAGTTGTGGCTATTTTCACTCTCTTAAATTCACTATTTAATTTGATTTTTTTAATTTTTTTTTAGAATGGGCCAATGGTGGTTGGTTTAGAGCCTCAGGAAGCCAGTGACAGGCTTACAATGTTTCAGGTACTGTTAGTTCTGACACATTGCTGAAGACTTATTGCAAGTAAACTAACACCTGAAGGCTCTGAGAATAAATCAGACTAGTTAAACTAATTTTCGTTGATACATAGAGTTCTTGATGGGGCAAAATCTGCTGTAACATAAACAAAGCTCAGTTGGTGTTTTTTTTTATGCATTTGCAAGGAATGCTGATTAAAATTAGATTTTTTAGGAGCTAAGAGAAAGGATGAATAGATAATGAGTAATAATTACTAGATTCATATATTCTGATGAGAGCCTACTCTCAAGTTTAGTGTATTTGGCTATAGGTTGTTCTTGTGTTCATTATTGTGTCTTTTCCTCATGAATAGAATTCTGCTCAATCTTCTTCCCCTCTCCTCCATTTATTTTTTTTTTTTTAATAGTATTAAAGGTTTCCATTTAAACTGACTATTTTTCCTGTTGAAAATTTTCTTCGTACCATGGTTAATTTCTATTCCTGTAATGATGATTTCTACTGGTTTTCTTTTTCCCATAGTACTATTTATTTGGGTTGTTACTATGTTCCCTCAGTTATACTGCAATTGACAATTAAATTTTGTTTTTCTTTGCTGGTTAAACAGTAGTAATTCTTACTTTAATCCTTCAGTAAAGAATTGCACAGCATACTTGGAGAGGTAGAATTTGCTGCATTCAGCTTTCTTTGCATGTCGTGCTTCACCTCTTTCAAGTGCAAGCTTAGCATTTATTGTTCTATCACTGTTCCACATGGAGTAAATGGCCTCCCTGTCAACTTCTAAAGATGTGCTTCCAAGCTAACTAGAAGTTACTTTTCTCTTGAAAATTGTTAACAAAACTGTTGACAGAGTAAGTTATTAGTATCTCCTGCATATCTTTCTAGTATTTAGTAGATTTTAATCACTAATGCAGCTCTAAGCATAATGCTATGACTTGAATATTTAGTTATTTAATTTTATTTAATATAATATTTTCCTTTTTCTTTCTTAGAATCGATTTGACAGTCTTTTTCGGAAATATGTTACTTACACTGGTGGGGAAGATCTTTTTGGTTTGCCTGTTACTCGGTATCCTCAGCTGCTTGAAATAAAGAAGCAACTGAATCTGTTACAGAAACTCTATAATTTATATAACAATGTCATTGACACAGTCAGTGGCTATTATGATATTCTTTGGTCAGAATTAGACACCTCAAAAATTAACAGTGAACTTCAGGAGTTTCAGAACAGGTGAGAAACTGCTGCTGTGGTAAAGATGCCTAAAATACTTCTGTTACTTCTTAAATATGATTATTATGGATTAGCACCAATAATCATATCTGAGCACGTATTTGTTTGTTGAAACATGAAAAATGTGATTTTTAATTGAAAATTATATCCATTACCAACTTCATAAAATAAAGAATTCAGGTTAGACTCTAAAAGTTTTTGTTCTTTAGAGAGCTTCTTGATTAACTTTTTTTGATGCGATTAGAATATATATTAAAATTGCTATTTATTTTTTTAAGGAATGGAAATTTCAATTGTTTGTTGTAATATTACTATTCATGAGAGACAGATTCACCCTAGATGTCCAAGGCAAGTTAGTGAATTGCTGAATAGTTTTCCTACAGAATGGGGTATATTGAATGCATACAAGCTGAATTTTTAATCAAACCAGGAATCAAATGATTTAAAGAATTAAACCTGCATGTTCTAAGGAATGGGGTTTTTTGTTAGGCACAGAGCAGTGTATATCATGAACCTCACCAAAAGATGAAATCGAGATGTAAAGCGGTTCAGTTGTTTTTAGAAGATTGCTTGGTCACAGTGTATTAGAATTAAGCAGCTACACTCCTTAAGGCGGAAGCTTGTAGGTGTCTGCCCAGCTATCAGTCAATGAAATAGGCTGGAAATAGATTTTCTCACATGCAGAATCATACAGAATCTTCAAAGTACAGTTAACCTGAATTTGGCAGGTATGTGGTCTGCTGTTAAAACCGTATACTGTGGTTAAACGGGTAACAGAAAATTTGAAACTTCAAAAAAGCTTGCATTATTTCTGCATAGATGCCGTAAGCTTCCTCGTGGTGTAAAGGAATGGCAGGCCTTTTTTAACCTAAAGACGATCATTGAAGACTTCAGTGAATGTTGCCCCTTGCTTGAGCGTATGTCAAGTAAAGCCATGATGCCTCGGCACTGGAAGCAGATTACGGATCTCACTGAACACAACTTTGATGTGGAAAGTGAAACGTTCAAGCTGAGGAATATAATGGAAGCTCCACTATTAAGATATAAAGAGGAAATAGAGGTATTGTGAAAGAAGATAAATAAATGCATGAAACAAAACAATCTGCTCAAATAGTATAGGAGTAAAGTAGTAAGAAGGAAAACAGAATTGGGGTGGTTCAGCCTAGAGAAGAGGAGACTCCAGGGAGACCTTACTGTGGCCTTCCAGTAGTTAAAGGGGGGGCTTACAGGAAACCTGGGGAGGGACTCTTTATCAGGGAGTGTAATGATAGGAGAAGGGGTAACAGTTTTAAACAGAAAGAGGGCAGATTTAGACTACGTCTGAGGAAGAAATACTTTATTGTGCGGGGAGTGAGGCGCTGGCCCAGGTTGCCCAGAGCAGCTGTGGGTGCCCCCTCCCTGGAAGGGTTCAAGGCCAGGTTGGACGGGGCTGGGAGCCCCCTGGGCTGGGGGAAGGGGGCCCTGCCCGGGGCAGGGGGGGTGGAAGTAGATGGTCTTTAAGGTTCCTTCCAACCCAAACCATTCTGTGATTGCTTATTTTCTAAAGAAAGAACAGAAAAATGGACTATCACTTCAGATTTCTGTATAAAACAATTACACCAATATATTGTGGTGTCAGCTCCTCCTTTTAAATCATGCAAATTGACCTGGGTGTTAATTTGTGAGGGTGCCTTGCTTTGCAACATTGAGGATATGAAAAGTAATCACTCTTGTATTATTTTATTCCCCTCAAAGCTGGCAATATTTTTAATGTGGTATACAGACTATTAGCTGTGGTGTTTGTATATCTGTAGATCTTTCCACTTGATAAATAGTTGCTCATCAGCCTTACTAGTGTTAGAGGAAATACAAGTTAGATTTGTATACCAGAGACTTGAACCGTTTGTGACTTGTTTTGACATCCCACTTACTTAAAAGGATATCTGCATAAGTGCTGTGAAGGAGAGAGACATTGAGCAGAAGCTAAAACAAGTGATAGCTGAATGGGACAACAAAACATTTATCTTTGCAAACTTTAAAGCCCGTGGGGAACTCCTTTTAAGAGGTGACAGCACATCAGAAACAATTGCTACCATGGAGGACAGTTTGATGATTCTTGGCTCTCTCATGAGCAACAGGTAACAAGAAAAGGTGGGGGGGTGGTGAGATAAAATAAGAGGCTTTGTTTTATTGAACAAATCTGTCTTTCACAGAAGAGAAGGGAAAAGGAAATCTAAGAGCTTGCATGTCGTGCATGGGCTAGTTCTTATTGTCTGTATCCCTCCAATAAGTTATTTTGAAAGCATGTGGATGCAGTTCAAGCTTCCTGAATTATCTGCTGGACAGTGTTCATTGATGCAAGAAAGTGGTGATGAGCGTAATGGGGAACACTGCCTGGTTGTGGCAGGCATACTGTGGGCATTACAGGCACTGCTACTCTGCACCTGTGATAGGTCACTGCCTCCTGCCAAAGGTGCTGAAAAGCCCGTTTAAAATGAGCTTCAGTTTGGATTCACATGCCAAAGCCCACAGACAAAATAAGGAACACAGAACCTGATCATCAGTCAGAGATTCAAATGCAAGCGTTCAGTTGGTAGGAACCTCTGGGAGTCTTGCAACTTTAAAGATGTTGCATAGTTCCTTTTTGAAACTGCTTCACCTTAGAGTGAAGTTGAAATCTTGCGCCTGTTCAGCTTCTGCTGGATCAGAGCTGTGCTATGCACCACATGTGCAAAGCAGCAAGTTGGAGTTGATTTGGTTTATAGCTGCTAACTAGCTGAATTGCGTTAAGTGTAGGGTAAGCGTAAACTTTCACTTGACAAAGATACAAGTAGCAAAATGATTCCTCATCCTTATGAGTAATGTGCTGGCTTTCAAGTGTCTTGTCTCCTTCTTGAAGTAAAGCAATTGTCTTCTTTTTATTTTAGATACAACACACCATTCAAGACACAGATTCAGAAATGGGTGCACTATCTTTCCAACACAACAGATATCATTGAGAACTGGCTGATTGTACAGAACTTGTGGATTTATTTAGAAGCTGTTTTTGTTGGCGGTGACATAGCAAGGCAGCTTCCAAAGGTTTTCAAACATGCCTTTTTTCAGTTTGATTTTTTACATTTTAAGAATAAAACTTAACTGTGATGTCGTAATTGATGCAATAACATAAACTTTTTTCTTTTTTTTGGTACTTGCCTAATTTGGTTAAGTAATTAGGTAAACAGTACCAACAGAAGTATTGTGTTAGAATAATAAAATTGTGTGAGCTAGTTGATCTTTTTATTTCTAGATTGTAAAATTGTTAACCAATATGTGTTTAAGTGTTGTGCGTAGTAGTAGCCTAGCCTAGTTAGTCTAGCTTAGTAGTACCTACCACTAGCCTAGTAGTACCTAGGAATCCTTATCTGCAACTTTCCTACATAACTTTTCAAATCAAAAATTAACTAGTTTTCATGAAAAAATCTTCAGATTTGAAGCATGCAATTCAAGCATAATGAGTTTTCTGTCTTTTTCTCTAAGAATGATTGAAAGAGAAAATAGACAGCAGGCTTGATAGTCAGGTATAAAATAAGTTCTATTGTATAAGCAGAAAGGTTTTTGTTTTTCTAAGCTGAAAAATCTTTAGAAGTTGGGCATGAGATTACTAGTGAGAAGATTACTGGGTGCCAATTCTACAAGCAAGTGCCTTTTCCTGCTTTTCTCTTCCTTTGTCTCTTCCCTTCCATGTTCATCATGATGTTTCAACAGGAAGCAAAGCGTTTCTCTAACATTGATAAATCCTGGGTGAGAATCATGACCCGAGCTCATGAAACACCTAATGTTGTTCAGTGCTGCGTTGGAGATGAAATCATGGGACAGTTACTACCACATTTACTAGAACAGCTTGAAATTTGTCAGAAATCACTCACAGGGTAAGGTTATTACAAGACCACAGTCTTGGGCAAATGGTTGTGAACTGTGTAACTAGGGAAAGAGCAATTGCTTCTGTACTGTCCCACGGACTTTGCAAAGAGCATGTTCTTATTCTACTATCAATTCAGTTGAACTGAGGTAACAAGTTAGCAGGATGATGCAACGTGGCCAGAGAAATTGCTAGCAACTCACTGATAAATATTTGACTTGTGGCTAAGGTGTCACTCACTGTCTCTCTCTGTTGAAACTAAAGCTTGTTTCAGCCTAGTTTCAATCCAGAAGGCAGTCTTGATCTGTAAGTCCTACTCAGACCCTTCATGAGAAATTCAGCCCAAGACACCCAAATAGCAAGTAACAGACTTAATGTAAAAACATTTTATTTTCATTTAGTTTCTTTTCTTTTTACTGGTGCTCACATTATAACAAATAATAAAAGCTTTCCATGAAATGGTTTCTGATGCTAAAAGAGTAACTTTAAAAACAGGTGCTTAACATGAAGGTATGATGGATAGGAATTGTTGTCATTGCCACTGCTAAAAATTACAATGGTGCATTGTGAGAAATGTCACCTTTAAAGAGGGAAGGATGTATAAATTAACCTAATTTACTTACCATCTATTCCCCTCCCCTGCCAATTTTTTTAAAAAATGCAGGTACCTGGAGAAAAAGCGCCTCCTATTTCCACGATTCTTCTTTGTGTCAGATCCTGCTCTCTTAGAAATTCTTGGCCAGGCATCAGACTCTCACAATATACAGGCACATCTGCTGAATGTCTTTGACAACATTAAAACTGTCAGGTTCCATGAAAGGGTAAGTACTGCCCACACCCCAGTGTTAATTCTTTCAAATTAACAGTATGCTACACTTGTTAAATAAGAAAGCTACCTGGGTGCATAGGACATTGAGCTCTTTTACCAAACTCATCAACTATTTGATTCTGCATTGGCTTTCATCTTTTAAGATTTAATTTCATATCTTCATTTATGTAATAAGAAAACTCTATATAGAATAGCAAAACAAAAATTTGCACTTGTGCTTAGGTTTCAAAAAAACCCACCCAGGTATTGAACTGTCTTCTGTGCCTTAATACAGGCTATCAACCTCTCGGATAAGCTTCTGATTCTTTATGACCATATTTGTATCGTTAGATTGCCTGTATTTGTAGTTTTTCATTATTTTTTTTTTTATTGTAGGGGTGTATCCAGTCTCTCACCTCTTTCTCAGTTATCCTTAATATCCTTTCAAACATACTATTTGAAGAATAGTTTTCTTGTACCATTTACATGAGCTGATAGCCACACATTTTTTTTTTTCCTGTGTATGTATACACTTCCTTAGAAATTCACTACCTCCCCATGCATTTGAAATTCATTTGATTGGCCATGTTCCTTAACTTCTTTGTTTCCATTATTTTTGATTGTCAGGCTGTAGATTTTGTTAGGATATTAACCCACCAATAATGGATTAAAGTTTCCTTTATTGTGACTGGAAAGTGGATGTTGTCATTGAAACTTAAATAAAATTCAAGTATTGTCAGTGTATTGGGGTTTGTCTCTTTGTTCAGACAGCAGTGTTTTGTTTAAAGCCTTTCTGCACACCAAAAGTAATGGTTTAATTGTTTTAACATTTCACTTAACAAGTTGGTATAATTTACTAGTTACCTAGATAAGTTTAATGGAGTGATGGCAGGAAAATCAGACGGATATGGTAAAGATAACAATAAATCTATAAACACAAAATGTTCTTGCTTTACTTTTATTAGATATATGATCGTATATTGTCAATTAGTTCACGAGAGGGTGAGACTGTAGAGCTGACTAGACCTGTAATGGCTGAAGGTAACGTGGAAGTTTGGCTAAATTCCCTGTTGAAGGAATCCCAGCTGTCACTACATCATGTTATTCGCCAGGCAGCTGCGCACATCCAGGAAACTAGTTTCCAGCTGACTGAATTTCTTTCTACTTACCCAGCCCAGGTAACATCATTGTTAAATCACTAAAGAATTGTTCACGGATATATAACACATTGATGTTTTTTTCTTGTCTTTGCAATCAAAACTGCAGCCAGTGTTATAGATGCAAAACTGACATTTAAATTTATCTTAACCACCTTAGTCTTTTAAGTTACACTTTACATATCTGAAACCAAAGGAAGAAAACCTACTCTGAAGCTGTTGTTCAAAAATATTGCTGAATTCAATAAATAAATGCAATGGAGTTAACTCTGTTTCCTTACAAGCTTAATATTTGACTACTGAAGGAAAAGTAATAAAATTTTATGCTTGTTTATATATTCAGGAAAACACTATATATTGCTAAAGATTTGGAACTGAAGGTAGTGTTGGGGGAAAATTATTTTCCTAGTGGAAGCTTCTTCACTTGTTATCAGGAATGTTGGAGAGGGAATAAAGAGTTTGTGAATTATTGAAAAAAAATACTTTGAAAGGAAGCATTAATTGTTCACTGATTAGTTATTATATATAAAATGTATATTAATTATATATAGCATTTATATATACGTTGTAAGTGATGCTGAACAGTTGTATCAGCAGTGCACCACCATAGGGAGTATCTACAAGACTGAAGTGTGGACTTAACTGTGTGTTTATGAACGGAGTTGGGACACAAAACAAATACATGGGCTGAATGACCTCTATATGGGTGCATGAAAAAATAATTTTATGCAAATACTAGCAGAACCAATTCTTTAGTTCATCTGTGTCTATGAATGTACATTTTAGATGAAAGAGAAAAGATTCTGAAGCATATACTTTTATGTTGCCTAAGGTTGGGTTGTTGGGGATCCAAATGATTTGGACAAGAGACTCAGAAGAAGCTTTGACTAATGCCAGGTATGATAAAAAAATTATGCGAAAGACGAACCAGTTTTTCCTGGATCTTCTAAACATGCTGATAGATATGACAACAAAAGACCTTAGCCCAGTTGAGCGAGTTAAATACGAGACATTAATCACTATTCATGTGCATCAGAGGGACATTTTTGATGGTCTGGTAAGTATTGAAAAATTTACACTGAGTTATGAAGTGGTTTCCATGTAAAACAATGTGAAAGGACAGAAAGAAAATATTATTGTATCTACAAACTGTTGCCTCTTAATCTAAACATTTAATTTCAGGACTGTAATGATTATGTAACCTGGAGTATTATAAAAATGCTGATGTCGCCTCAATCCATGTTTTTATTTCCCTTTAAGTAATTCAGGTTTTTTTTTTTTCCACCCTCAAGCAACAGCAGAATTTTATAATGCTTTGTGTTAGCCCACTTAAGTTGCCTCTGTTGCATGATCAGTGAGGGACTTCTTTTACCTCATACGTTGCGTTGCAAATAATCGTCCTTTCTCTGGATGACATTGTGAGTTTTGAGGAATAAATAGAATGAATGTAGAGTTACAGTACAGGAAAAAACTATGAAGTTGTTTGAAGCTGCTATCCCCTCTGTTCTAGTTTCAATAGCTACCTAATTATTACTTAAGGATTTATTTATTGGCTTCACATGTTCTCATGCTGCCACAGGATACTAAAATAAAGAAAATGAAAGTATTTACTGCTTAAACAGTCAAACTTAAAAGCTAGCATACCCTTTTACCTATAGGAAGCTCTGGACCTGACTCTGAAATTAAGCTGTCTGAGAAAAGAATTACTGAGTTTTAACCCATGACTGATAGGCAGGCACCTATCTTTTCATTGTAGAACCAGTTATTTCTAGTTTTAATCCTCTTATGTAAAGTACAGTTTTTAGACACAACCTTCAGGTCATCTTTTTTAATATTCAAATGGTCAATTTTGAATTACTCTCAGCTCTGTTGAATTTCTTAACTAATATCTGCACCGTGACACTGTCTTGAAATAGCTTTTTTCCAATTTGCATGTGCTTTCATTTAATTCTCATGACTTTTTTAAAAATCATGACAGTACATGCTTCCTACTCATATGTAAAAGTACAGTGGTAGAGATGAGTAAACAGAAATGGCAGTGTTAATGTTAACTCAACTTAATGACTTAAACTGAAGTTTTAATTTTAACTGAACTTAATGACTTTTGTTTGAGGCTTATGGACCGCTCATTAGTATTTAGAATTTTGCCACATGTCTAAAGCCTGAAGTTCGTTCACCCTAGTATGGGCTTCAGGGACAGCATTAACACATTAGAAATTTTTGTGCTAAAAATCAAGATGGTGTCTTTGCTATTCTTGTGTTACTAGCTGTTCTTTGTGCCTTTCATTGTGATTGCCTTTGCAGTACCACTTAGATGAGATAATATAAATGCAGAAGTAAATGTTAACCATGAGTGCCACAGCCTTTTTTTCCCTTTTCTTAGTGTTGCATGCATATCAAGAGCCCTGCAGACTTCGAGTGGCTGAAACAGTGTAGATTTTATTTTAATGAAGATTCTGATAAAATGATGATTAAGATCACTGATGTGGCTTTCACATACCAGAATGAATTTTTGGGCTGTACTGACAGACTTGTCATAACGCCTCTTACAGACAGGTGAAAAAGACTGATTTTATTCCTTTATTCTTTGATGTCAAACCTAGGCTTTTACAAGAGCAATTTAGTCATGCCTGTGAGATGTGAAATAGATCTCTGCAGAGTTTATCCTTCACAGTCTTATCAAAGTCAATAATTATACATGTAACATATGAATACTTTTGTTTCTGTGCCTTACAATATGAATAACTTCCAGCTTAATTTCTGTCACATACTTGTGTGATCCCCATATATGTGATGTCTGGGACACTGATTCTCATATATGTGAGGTTAGTATACCTGAGGATCTGGTACGTTCAATAGATACAACATGCAGAGAGAGATGCAGGACAAAAATAAGTGTTTACAGGCACATTAATGAAAAAGGCTAAGGAGGAATAGACAAGAAAACAATTTTATTCAGCTGCAATAGATTGGAGATCTTTGATTCAGAAAGATGTTGAAAGAATTGCCATCCTAATAACAGAGAGGTCTACCTTCCTAATTGGAATAACATAAAGATTATTAACTATTCTGTACAGCAAATTCTAGAGCTTCTCTTGAAATATAATTGTTAGCAGGTGTTTTACTGCATTACACATAGAAATTTTATTTATGAAAATGGGATGCACTGTATGATCAAATTTTAAAGGTGGATGAGAAAGAAAAGGTTATCTGTCTTTCATTATTGTACTCCACAGTATAATGTAGTTCAGAACTACTTCAGTTAAAGTAATTGGGGAAATAATCTAACCAAACTAGATTAGGTATCATCTCTCTATCTGCTTTCTTCCCTTCTTGTGATCTCTCAGGTTTTCGATTATTGAGGATTATTTGCTCTTCCACTTTATGTATGAGGAGAAAAACCTCAATATTACCTGCATCAGAGGCTGAGTGAAGGGTTTTCCTTCTTACTGATTTAAATTGTAATTAGAGGCATGTCATTTCAGCAGTTTCCTTGTCTCCTTAAATCAAACCTTCTTCATGTAACACACTTGAGTAAGTTCCTCTGGCACTATACAGAAAACTGTATGCTGCAGCCCATTAAGTGATAATAGCCTGTTGCCTTTTAGATGTTACATCACTTTGGCTCAAGCTTTAGGCATGAACATGGGTGGAGCACCTGTGGGACCTGCAGGAACTGGAAAAACTGAAACCATCAAAGACATGGGACGGTGCCTTGGAAAATATGTAGTGGTCTTCAACTGTTCAGACCAGATGGATTTTCGAGGACTTGGGAGGATCTTCAAAGGTAAGATGTGGACAAAAGGTAAGGTGCTGGCCAAAAGGATCAACTGTATCTTGGGGGGCATTAAGTGCAGTATAACCAGTCAAAAGAAGTGGTTGTTCCACTATGCTCAGGATTAGAGTGGCCTCACCTCAAGTACTGTGTGCAGTTTTGGGGTCAGTAATGTAAGAATAATATAAAAATATTAGAATATGTTCAAAAGAGAGCAACAAAGATGATGACAGAACTAGAGGACATGCCTTATGAGGAACAGCTGAGTATACTAGGTTTGTTCACCTTATAGAAAAGGAGATTGAGAGGTGACCCTCATTGCTGTCTACAACGTCCTAATGAGAAGGAGTGAAGAGAGAGGTGCTGATCTCTTCTCTCTGGTGTCTGGTGATAGGACATGAGGGAATGGCTTAAAGCTCCATCAGGTGAAGTTCAGATTGGATATTAGGAAAATGTTCTTCACTGAGAGTATGGTCAAGTCCTGGAACAAGCTCCCCAAGGAAGTAGTCAGGGCCCCCAGCCTGTCGATGTCCAAGTAGTGTTTGGACAACAGTCTTAGATATATGGTTTATCTTCTAGATAGCCCTGTGTGGAGTCAGGAGTAGGACTTGATCCTTTTATGTCCTTTATGACTCAGAATATTCTGTGATTGTATGATTCTATGGACTGTGTGAAAGTTACAAAAGCTAAGAGAACATCTGTATAGAACAAGGTCAACACATAATCAGCATGTGGTTTTCAGCCTTTTAATAAATGCAAGTAATTAATATCATGTTATGAATATAAAATACATTTGCAACACTCTCTCCATGAAATAGAAATGTCTGAAAACATAAGACAGTTTATGAAAGGATGCAAAAAGACACTTGAAATAATTAAGGAGGACTGCCAGTACAAAAAGAAGCTGTGAAATTTATTGCTAAACTGGTGGAATATGTTGGATTCTGATTCCAGTATTTTGTCTCCTTCAAATGTCAAAGTTCTTATCAGTTGAAGGAAATGTATGAATAGTTCTATATATGTTAAAAGCAGTTGGCACAGCTCCCTGAAGTTAGATGTGGAAGACATTTTATTTTAGGCACCTGAAATTGATACCTGTCAGTCATGGCAGATGTCAGATTAGAGACCAAGTGAAGGTTGTTGACTTTATATTGTTGCAAGTGACTGTGTTGATTTTTTTTTTTTGTTTTCCTCAAAATATCTGAGGAAGATGTCTGGCACAGACTGACCCCTAACTTCTTTCCAGGTGAAAGCAACTTTATTGTTTATTTTTATCTTTGCAATAAGCTATTGACAACCCATCATATTTTCATAGACTTACCACAGGGTTTTACTTTTGGGGCATAGGGAGGAACAGGAAAACATTCAAGATACTGAGAGAAAGAGCAGAAATTGAAGTATTTATGCACAAAGAAACAAGCTTGAGGACTTTTGTAACTTTGTGAATTCTTGCTTGAATGTCCTGGGTTGAGTGAGTGGTGGGGTTTTTTGGTAGCAGGGGAGGGGGCTACAGGGGCAGCCCCCTGTGAGAAGCTTCTTGAAGCTCCCCCAGCTCCAAGTCATCTCCACCTCTGCACCAAAACTGAGCCCATCAGCTGCGCCTCTGCGATAACATATTTAAGAAGGGACGTGGTGAGGATCAGTGGGACTTGTGAGGAGGAGTTGCTGCAGCTGCATGAACACCAAGGTCAGTGGAGGAATGGAGGAAGGAAGGAGGGGGGAGATGTGCCGGAGCAGAGTCCCCCCTGTATCCTGTGGTGTGACAGCAGCCCCCTCCCCTGCTACCAAGAAACCCCCACAACTCACTCAAACCCAGGACATTTCTAAAGAATTCAACTCTTCTCCTTGTCCCTTTCCCAACCCTCAAAAATAAACATATTTTTTTTCCTGGGGTAGATTAACCTGTTTTTTGGCATATGAATTGCACCAAAAAAGGGCTAATAATGTAATGGTCAGATGCTTAGTTGCTTTTCTCTTTGAAGGTCTTGCTCAGTCTGGCTCCTGGGGTTGCTTTGATGAATTCAATCGTATTGATTTACCAGTATTATCAGTAGCCGCGCAGCAAATTGCAATTGTGTTGACATGTAAGAAGGAATGCAAAAAAAGCTTTATTTTTACTGATGGAGATAATGTGGAAATGAACCCAGAATTTGGCATCTTTCTTACTATGGTAGGTATTCAGTTGGTTTCTAATATACCAGTGATAATTGTACAAGAAATCGCTTTTAACCTGAAATGTTAAATGGACTTGCTAACTCACTCTGTTCTTAGAACTCACTGACAGTTTGAGAACATGGGGCATTACCACGAAGATGGTTTACAGGGTCTTGTTTCAGTGATGTGAAGCAAACGCAGCCAGCATTGTAAATACGAGTTATCATCTCAATGTTAGATTACTTCTGTGTGCTACATTTTGGTTCCCAAAGTATGCTTTTTGCTATAAGTACAGAAAAATGGCCTTAGACAAATAGGTAAAAGTAGACAGTAAACCCACAATCTGTAAGACAAATACAGATTTGAAATGCTTAGGTGGAACATTTTTCATACCTCATGGATGTAAGGAAGGCTAAAATACTGTAGAGACATGCTGGTAAATCTGGATGGCAATTAATTCTTAAATATTATTTAAAGACAAGAAGCTTTTTTTGTCTAACCAGATTACACGTTCCTTTGCCGATTCTTCTGTTTGTGCAAGGTGCAGCCAACTTCAAAACATGTTCTTCTCTCCAGAATCCAGGATATGCTGGAAGGCAAGAACTTCCTGAAAACCTGAAGATCAACTTCCGTTCAGTGGCTATGATGGTTCCTGATCGCCAAATCATAATTCGTGTCAAGCTGGCTAGTTGTGGTTTCATTGCTAATGTTGTATTGGCAAGAAAATTCTTTACACTGTACAAGCTGTGTGAAGAACAACTGTCAAAGCAGGTGATTATTTTCATATGAGGAAAAATTACCTTAGGAGAAAACTATACATGATGTCACAAATTACCATTATCCATGTGAAGAAAATGGAAGAGTTCACATTCACTAAGCAAGCTAAATGGCACTTGCAGTTTAGTAATGCAACCCTCTTCTGTCCTGGAGGATTAACTCCCTCTGCAGGTTATCTGTACAAGAATGGGCTTGTCATTCAGAATGCTGCTTATTATTAAGATTTAACTTTAATGAATGGTGATGATTGAGGCAAATAAAAGGCTTATATATTAGTTGGTCTTATAGAGTGGATTGAGAGACATTTGGTTTGTGCTGTCTGTGCTTGTTTAGATGTTTCTCAAATAAAGTCAGTTTCTGAGGTCCACAGAGAATTCAAAATAATACTGATAGTTTATTTCATACTAGTCCTTGAGAACTTTATCTTGGTTCAAAGACTTGTGATTACATTTCTTTTTTCTGTCACACCTTACAGTTTAGTAAATGGTAGCAGAGGTGGGGAGTGAAGTCACCCATAGTCATACAGCCAAAGACTAGTTGTTGGATATTAGGAGGCATTTGTGCCACATGTACCACTTCTCATACAAATCCATAACTTAAATGTTAAATAAGAATTGTTTCAACCCTGTTCACTGGGGGAAAATTTTCCCAAACTTTACATACCTTCTAGGTGCATTATGATTTTGGCTTGCGGAATATCTTGTCAGTACTACGTACACTGGGAGCAGCAAAAAGAGCAAATCCCACAGATACTGAATCTACCATTGTCATGCGTGTGCTGAGAGACATGAACCTGTCTAAACTAGTAAGTGCTGAAGGCCTGGTAAATTAATTAAACTGAACTTTGGAGCTACATAGGTTTTTTTTGAAATACAAAGGTAATCACTGAGGTGATCACTAGAAGATTGGATGTGGCCTTTACACTGAAGCTAGCTTGGGAATGTTCCATTCTTTGGATGGTCTTGGGTATTTGTTTTGGCTGTGATAGAGTTTATTTTCTTCACAGTAACTTGTAAGGGGCTAAGGAGGGAGTGAGCCAGGAGCAGTGTGGTGCTTGGCTGCCTACCTAGGTTAAACCCCAGCACTTTGATTTGTTCAGAATTTTCTTCACATATTTCCCCTGCTACCTATAGAAATAAGTGACGAAACAGAACTCTAAGTAATAACCTTCTTAGAACCAGGACCTAAAGTAGTCACTCTTTTGAAATAACCTGTTATTAAATAGCTAACAAAACCTCTTCTGTTGCTATGGTACATCTCCTTTATTGTATTTTTTTTACGTCTTAGACAAGTAATTTACTATTTGTATAAATGTTATTGCTAAAATCTACTTTAATATATTTAGTCTGTATGTTAGTGGCTTATTTTCAATAACTTTTGATTATTGGAAGCATTACATGATCTCCTTCTGCTGTGTTTAGCACCTAGAGGGTTACCATAGATGGTTCCTTATGTTTTCAAATATTTCTTTAGCTCTGCAAGAGTCGGGGATTGTTTTTTAAGATGCTAGAATAAACAAAATAAGCTTTAACTTGTTTTTCCCCTCCTCCCCCCCCCCCCCCACCCATTTTCACTAGATTGATGAAGATGAACCCTTATTTCTGAGTCTAATTGAAGATCTGTTTCCAGATATCCAGCTTGATAAAGCAGGCTATCCTGAACTGGAAGCCGCCATTGACAAACAGGTAATGTTTCTCTTGATCTGTGCTGCTGTGCAATAACTATCATGATGTGACATCTAAGAAAATTATTGGTGTTGAATCTACGCAACTGGTAATAATATGTTTTACTATTTAGAGGAAGAGTAAGCTTTTCCATAAATCTTTACCATTGGCATATTATTATTAACCATATTCTTAAGGGTGTTACTGAATTGTGGTTGTAATGTCCTGTGGTTTTCTTGCAAGTCATTTGTGGTGACCCGTTTGAAAAATGCATGTATATATGCTTGCCTTATGTGACCCAGGATTTAATATTTGTATATTGATTAACAATCAGAACATGAACTTGAGAAAAGATTTACCTAAAATGACATTTCCTCTACTTTATCTCCCATTAGATCTTTTGGATCATTTCAATAGGGCCAACTTAACAATATGAAGTATGTATACTTAAATGTTCACCTCTATTAAACTTTCCTCCAAAATTTTAATAGTTCCTCAGATAATTATCTAATAGTTAAACAGAGAAATAAAAAACTCAAAAAAAATCCCCCCCCCCCCAAAAAAAAATTAAAAAACCCAGAAGTATATTTCTGAAGAATTTGAGTATATGACTTTTCATTTATTTATATTTAATATGATTAGATACAAGCAGAGAGCTCTGCTTCTGGCTTTCCTAACAAGGAACAGTTGAATCATCAGCTAATGTTTATAAAACCGTTTTTGTCTCTGTAGTTTATACAGTTAACTTTAAAAAAAGACTCACAAATTAAGCTTTTATTAGGAGAAGCTATAAGGACCTTGAATCTCATGCTTTAAATTGTCATTTCCTAATAAATTAAAAAGAGGTCTTAATAACATGGTTATCATAGCTCTACTGTTGGTGATCTGTGAAACCAGACATAGGAAGCATCAGTCCTTTCAACAACAAACCATTATCACTTGCTTGTAAGTAGTGTGTAGTGTCTGCCCATACTGAAGAAATTTTGGAAATTTGAAGAGCTTTACACACTGCAGTTATCTTATGTGAAACCACATTTATCAAAAGTTCAGATCTAGGGATCTCATGGTGGCTTTTTAATGTTATGGCAGTGTTTGGAAATTTTGTTACCTTATTTTGGCATATTTTTCTCATATTGCTAAAACTTAAAATCTGGAGAAACCAGAAATGGTAGGCCATCTTGTTTGTCTTGGAAGTGAATCAAGGTTTTATTCAATAGAGTTCTCTGCTGTGTTTTCAGAGCTATAATCACCAGTACAATGAAAACAGCTAGGTTGGGACAGAATCAAGTTCAAGAGGACTGTTTTTATTAGGGAAAGGAGGCAGTTATTGTTGGGAAAGTATCATAATGAAGAAATAGTTGTTACCTGAATTAAAGTGTTTTTCTGTGTTTATATGTTGAGGCATGTTGACCCCAGCTGGCATCCAAGCCAACACCCAATCCCTAGCTCACTTTCCCCCAGTGGGTTGCGGGAGAGATTTGGAATGGGTAAAGAGAGGAAAAAATCCTCCTGGGCCTAGATGAAGACAGTTTAATAAATAAAGAAACACATAAAAAAGAAACAAGTGATGCAAAAGCTCACCACCACCAGAGTGATGCCCAGCCAGTCTCTGAGCAATGGTTGCTTTGGAGAAACTTCCCCCCGGTTTTACTGCTGAGCATGACGTTATTACTGTGGAGGGGTTGGACTAGATGACCTTTAAAGGTCCCTTGAACCCGAACTATTCTATGATTCGGCGATATGGAGTATCTCTTTGGTCAGTTGGAGTCAGTTGACCCAGCTGTGCTCCCTCCCAAGCTCCTGCCCACCCCCAGCCTACTCGCTGACAGGGCAGTGCGAAGAACAAAAGCCTCGACGCTGTGCAAGCACAGTGCAGCAGCAGCCAAAGCACTGGTGTCTTATCAACACTGCTTTGATCACAAATCTAAGACGTGGCACCATATGGGGTATTATGAGGAAAATTAACTCCATTCCAGGCAGACCCAGTACATATGTACAACTGTTAAGAGAACAGGGTCTTTTGAGAATGCCAAGTGTGCTTGTGGACATACTTCTTTTTCGATAAGGGAAATATCTAGTCTACAAGATTATCATAGAATCTACGTGTTAGAAATTAAGAAAAGATAAGTCTCCATTGATGGCACAGGATTAGAGTGAAGGAATAGCTACCATGACCATCTTGTTTTATATGAAGAAAGAAATCAGTTCAGATATGTTCTGTCAGTGCATTAGATTCTGGATATATTGCTGTATATATGTGGTCTCTGGAAACAAGTCAGAAGGATATATTCTATACTGGAAAGAAAGGCAGCTTGACTGGTTTGGTGTCAACTGTGAGAGCTGTTAATAGGTAAATAATAACAGAATTTTAACATGTATCCATGAAAATGGTGCATCTGATGTCTTTGTTGTGCTTTGTAAACTCCATTGCTTCAGCAGTGGTGTTCTTCATGGTGATGAGGAGTTGGTGACAGCATACACTTCATGGTTGGTGTTGATGAATTCATCTTTTGCTGCCTTCTGTTCTTGGCTTCCTTGCAGAGAGAGAGAGAGAAATAAGTTGAACTGATGTGAGCTTTGATATGCAAGTGATACAGCAAATGATAGTGCCAGTTCCATGGTTCCAACTGCCTGCGTGACAGTAATTGTACAAGCTGAGTTTTATCTTATCAGTAAAAAGTTAGTCCTCTTTATACTGATAAAATTTTCTAAAACATAATTTAAAACCCAAAATTATACTTGAATTAAAATATAATTGAGAGTTTCACTTTTATAACATGATCTTGAGTTTTTATATTTTTTTTTTGACTGTCAAAAACGTATAGTGTGCTATGAATCCTTAAGAAATAGTTATAGCTTTTCTCTACTGGCTAAAAACTTCCTTGTTCTCCTCCAGCTGAGTCACTTTTACAAGCAACAGCAATACCATTATGACAAGTTAACTTTAAGCCTGGAACTAGTAAAAAGTAGTAAACAAGCATGTGATATTTGATTCTAAAACATCATGTCTTTTCTTGGAAGGATGATATTAAGAAGTTACTCAAAGATCTGTACACTGAGAAATATTTAACAAAATGTTTTACAGAAAAACTTTTTGCTACTGTAAGCATTTAGAAACACAAGTCATCATCATCACAAAAAAACAGTTGTTCTGAGAGGCAAGTGAAAACGCTGTGTGGCTGTGAAAGACATTGCTAACAAGAGTGTTTCTAAAATTCTTGGCTTTTCCTTAAAATTAAGTTTTAACCTATGAAGGCCTAAAAAAAGAAAAAAAAAAGATGGTTTATATTCTTTTAATTTTCTGAATATATATTTGAATACCAAATATCCCTTCTTTTTCCTGACAGAAAGATATACACAAAATCTTTACAAAGAATGTAGTCTTCTGCTGAAGATAGATTTTTTTTTTTTTTTTTTTTTTTTCAAAGCAACAAAATATCTTGTGCACTAAAATAGTGGTAGTTTGGTTTTTTGTCACTATTTATAGGTGGAGGAAGCTGGACTTGTTTGTCATCCTCCTTGGAAATTGAAAGTTATCCAACTTTTTGAAACCCAGAGGGTAAGGCATGGATTGATGACACTAGGACCTAGTGGTGCAGGAAAAACTGTTTGCATCCACACTTTAATGAAAGCCATGACAGGTATGTGAGTATTTATACTGTAAACTTTAAACCATGTTGTTCTTCATAGAAAGCCTCGGTTACTTCACTGTGAGAATAAACTGCTGGAAGAATCAGTTTATGTGTTGAGATACTAATTATTGTGATAGTACCTTTTAAAAGCTTAAAAATGTCTGACATTCAAAGTCATATAATACATACCCTGTTTTACATATTATGGTATGTATATCAGAAATTCTTATTCCAGAAACATTGAGAAAGAGGAGTACTGTGAGTAGACAACTTGGACAAGTGATGAAAGCATCTCCCAGGTTTGGCTAAGGCAATGCTGAAACTTTCTCCTAATCATAAGTGTTTAGTCCTTTTTGAACACAATTCACAAGACAGGGTCTGTATCTGCAGTATAAAATAACTACTTCCATCATTTGTTGATGCTAGGAGACAGTTCCTCATGTAGGCAGTGACAAAGTCTTCAAGGGTATTAATTTCATGTTCTGGCTGGATGCTTCAGGAGTGTTTTTGTACTCTGTGTTTCTAAACAAAAATATTAGTGGAAGAACTTCTGTTTGATCTTATTAAACTAACAGCTCACAGCTGGGGGAGAAAAACCATCTCTTCTGAGGTAAGCTTGTGTTACCCCATTTCACAGGCTTCAGTATGCTGCTTATACAATTTTCCAGAAATCGATACAGTACCTTAGTGTGCTTAAGTAACACTGTAAACTCTGTATTGCAGCATAAATGACTGCTCCATTTAGGAAAAAAAGCAGAAAGAACAGATAGTTGCATTGTACTATTTTCCTATATTTCTGTAGCGCCGAGATGTGAACTACTACAAAGATAAAGCCACAGCAATACTTTTTTCAAGCTGATCTTCTGGCATAACCTAATGAAATGTAAAACTATGTTATTTGCCAGGCTTCTATCTTACATGTTAGCGAACTCTCATTATAATAAAGATTTTAAGATAAACCATTTTTTTAGCTCTTTCTTTCAACATCTTATTACTGGCTTCCGATTAAGTTTTAGTATTGGGTTTTCTAAAGATGTCTGGCATAGAGGTTTTTAAGTTGTTGTTAATGAGGAAAATATAAAGTTTATATGATCATGGTATGGCTAGGTAGAGTTTAGCTGCCTAAGAGACTTCACAGGAATATGCCAATATCATCTGCTTTGCCTATTCCAAGATGTATGCAAGTGCACAACAGGGAAAAACAAAAAACAGTTAATGAAGCGGAGCATATGTATGGTATTTAGTCATTTGGTTTTAAAAGAGAGCATCCAGACCAAAGGCTTTAAAGCTCTATTATTTGATAAACCTTCAAAATACTAAACTAAACGTTGAATACATTTCATCTTGCTGCTCTTATTCTCCCAATGAATCTATGAAATATATATTGTACTTTCAAAAGTTTCAGACCTTTGTTCTACTTTAAATTTTGATGTCTCCAATTAAATATTGATGCATAGCAAGATATAAGTTATCCAAGTAAATACACAACTTCTTATGATGTTGAATGCATATTAAATCATATGTTTGGGTGTAGCAATTTTGAATTTGTCCAAGTACTCTGACTGTTGAAAAAAAATACCAAAACTAACTGATCATCTACCTTCATAGATTGTGGACATCCACATCGTGAAATGAGAATGAATCCTAAAGCTATAACTGCTCCACAAATGTTTGGTCGTCTTGATGTTGCAACAAATGATTGGACAGATGGAATATTTTCAGCACTCTGGAGAAAAACTTTAAGAGCCAAGAAAGGTATAATGAAAAACAATTTCCTCCAACATAAAACAAGCTGCATGACATTTCTCTAAAGCACTTTAGCAGACTTTTATTTTTAAACCTGCAGCAATATTCCATTGCTTCTATGTAAGAATTTCTGTCTGTTATATAGTCTCTGTTCTAAATGCTTTGCTTTCAAACTGTGTACTGTTTCAAATACTGTTTCACTGAATTTGCTGATTCCTCTCTTTTAAATGATTGGCCCTTGTATGGAAGAAAAGTGGAAGGTAAGAGTCAGTTCCCCCAACACTTGCATACTATAAAAAAATTTGGTGCTGTCAGGGTTTCTACATGGTCTCCGTCTGCCATGCTAGAAGGTAGTGAATCTCCTTTGTGTTGTACCTGATAGCCATGCACGTACCACAGTCCATCTCAAACGGTACTGCATTATTCTGCTGAGGCAACAAATTTCTGCCTGAAATAATGCTGGCATGTATTCTTAGACTGCTGTATTAACTAAAAGAGAGGCCTTGGTGGCTTGATGCTAGGTGGATTCTTACTTGTTTTATCTGAATATTAGTATGTGACCTTATCATTAGGCCTTAAGGACTAAAGGAAAAAAAAAAGAGGAAATCCTAATGTTTGTTGCACCATCAATTTTCATATGAAAATTCTTGGTCTTTAAGGATAAAGATACTTTAAAAATCTAAAATACTTTTAGATTTAATCTTGTTGGTTTTATTTCAAATCTAGAAATGTAGCACCCTTGAGAATGTAGCATGGCATTATCTGTTGGTTTTCCTGTTTTCCCCCTCAACATGAAATATAAATTAGCATACTCACATGACTTCCTCAGATTCCCTGTTTGCAACACTTCTGTGATGTCTCTTTAGGAAGTGAACTCCAGATCATCTCATGCCTGAGATGCCTGCACTGTAGCTATGAAAAGCCTCTGAATAGAAAACTATTTGTCTGAGAGGTGAGAAAGTTTCTCATCCAAAATCTTGGTTCATACCTAGCAATGTACCAAGCCACCTAGGCCTAGATGGTAAGGACTCACTCAAGGCAGACAAGAGTGGGACCATCTCTGGCTGACAAGGGCTAAAGGGTGATCTAGCAGTGCCCAGCAGGGCTGGCTACTCCCCACGGGACAGGGAGCCAGAAGGCAAGGGGGGGATCCTTTTCCAGCCAAAGCCTGTTGCTCAGTTCCCAAGTGAGGCGAGCAGGACAGACCCAGACTGTCCTAGGAAAAAGAAATGTATCTAAAGCCTTTCATTTAATCTCACTACATTTGCACACTCTTTGGAAACCAGTGAATGGTGGTTTTAAACAGATCTGTAGTTTCTATCTTCTTTATGTTATGTAAGTTGAAATAAACTTAATTTATTACTGCGATGAAGTTTGGATCCATAAAACTGTTTCAGGCTCTTACAAATTGATGACATGCTGATGACACCTTGTATTCTGAGCAATGGATAATTATTATCAATAGGTGACAAAATTAAATACTTAATTGAAATTGAGTGATGGAAATGGTAATTGTATTAAAAGCTGAGAATCTAGCTGTGTGTGAATTCAGAATTAGTTCGAAATTTTTTTGCAGAGAGAAGAAATTGGTCCTTGAAAGTAACTAGAACTCTCTCCATAGGTGTTTTTATCTGTTATTTTGGATTATAGGTGACCATATCTGGATAGTTCTTGATGGTCCAGTTGATGCTATTTGGATTGAGAACCTTAATTCTGTCCTGGATGATAACAGAACTCTAACGCTAGCAAATGGAGATCGCATACCTATGGCACCAAATTGCAAAATAGTCTTTGAACCTGATAATATTGATAATGCTTCTCCAGCAACAGTTTCAAGGAATGGGATGGTATTCATGAGCTCATCAATTCTCAACTGGAGCCCTATCCTTGAGGTACAATAGCTAAGTGATTGATGATGTATTGGAAGTTTTACTGATTACTTATTCAAGGCTTTAAGACCTAATTTTGTGACATTTGGTATGAAACGGCTTTTACACTCTATATACTTATAGGTCAGTATTTAATATAGCAATGTTTCCGATAGTTTATACAAGAGTGAATAAAGAAATTTTTCAGGAACATGGTCAAAATATTACACTTTTAAAAACATGAATATCCTACCTTGGGACAAATTTGTAATTCAAGGTATTTTATACAATTCAGTTGCCAAAATACCAACTACCTGATAGCCTATAATACAGCTTCAGAGCAAGGAAGAAGAAGGAGTGAACAGGCTGATTCAGGAATCTAGAAATCCTCAAGAAAACACAAGTTCTCTTGATTTTTCTTAAAATTAATTGCATTTGGGATTTAGAACCAGAAGTAAATTCAATGCAGCATTGAAACATGTAATTTTTAAATGGATATTCTTACCTGGTTAAGTTGTCTGTTAACATTTCTAGAAGCAAAATGTCTGAAGAACAAAGCAGTGGTTTCTCTCTGGCATTGAATGAATCATTTAGAAAACCAGAATATGTTATATGTGTGTTTTGGAGGGAACAGTATATAACATACTCAAAATTCAAAGCAATTCATAAAGTGAATTTTTTCTTGTATATGTCATCTTTCATCATCCACAAACCAGAAAAAATAAATCCTTATCTTGACTGAATGCTGGTAATGATATAGTGAGTGATACATTTAGAGACTTGAGCATACTCTGTTTTCATGTAGCAAAAATCTCGGTAAAGATGAAATATAAATGTTCCCAAGAATCTACCTGATATTCCATGGTAATATCTTTCAACATTTAATTATGGTTTTCTTCCTTTTTAAGAAAGCAATGGAGACAATAGCAGTGAAAGAAAGTTGGTTACTGATTCTTTTTTTTAATTCTTAAGTCCTGTATTTCTTTAGAAATTTATTGGTGAAGTAGGCTGCTCAGGATTAACACTTCTTAAAAAATTAAAGTAAAATAAATATTAATTTATTTTGTCTTTATTTTTTTCTTTTCAGTCTTATTGAGAATATTTTGTTGATGTTATTTTGCTTTGATGAGACACGGACTGTCTCATGTGTATCAAAAATTAAAACTTTCTTCCTTGTGGCTAAGACGCATATTCCTGTGATCATAGAGAGAATTACTTTATTACCTTTGCCTGAAAACCAAGTTAATGTACCTTTCTTCTGTATAATCCCAAATTAGTATTGCTTTATATGAGCTTTAAACTTTAATTTTAAACTAGGAATAACTTAGTCTTCTTGTTTATGAAATTAAAACATCATCCATGCCTGTGTAACCTATTTATGCCCCTGTTTGCAGAGTCAAAAGTACAAAATCTCAAAGGTTACTATGAGCTGACATACTGAATTTTATTGTTCTTTCCAGAAAAAGTATCACATTAATGAGTTTTATTAAATAATTTTTAAAATTAATGTTTCACAGTCTCATTCACTCATTTAATTTTCCAAATCCAGTAGAATACCTGTGGAAGATACAGCTAATGCTTATGTAGACAGTATTGCTTAACTAGCCAGATGAAAATACAGTTGGCTTCATTTTAACTTTCAGATGTTAGTAGCTGAGTTAGATTTTTGTAATGGCTACCCTGTATTATTAGATTTCTTATTGTTTTAACTCATGAAGCTTCTGATTCTTGTAAGTCTTACATAGCTTGCTTGGTTATAACCAGATTCCTTGTCCCTAAATCCCTGATTTGTCTGGCAATGGAGGAAAAGTCGACGTGCCACAGGGCATGGCCTGCGGCACTGCCTAGAACAACTGTCCTCAGCATGTTAGAGGTTTCAGCACAAATGGAAATCAAGGGAGCAGCGGTCAGCTGCTGTCCAAGCAGCTGGGGGCTCTTCCTGGGGTGGGAAGGAAGACTTGTGTGCCTACAGGACCAGCAGGATCTTTGCAGAGACACTGCGGACTCAAGATCCCTAGCCCCGTAATGGAAAGGAGAGTGAGTGAGAGGCTGCATTCAAAGCTCTGGTGAACAGAAAAGATCACGATGAGGAGGAATGCTGTAAACTTGTGATTTCTGGCGACAGAAGGGAGGTTCCTTTTTCATTTGCAGATCTGAAATGGCAGGTCAGGTGTAATGCCCTGCGAATAGGTGGGGAGCAACAAGATCCACTGAGGCAAGCATCAGAACCCAGCTTAGCCTCGACCGATTAAGAGGAGGAAGAGTTGTGTGTGATTGTGACTCCTTCCTGTGGTGGAGTCACCCAAGTGCTGTGACCTGTTGCCTGTGGAAGTTTGCTGCTTGTGAAGGACAAAGGATTGCTGCAGGGGAATGTTACCATATTTCTCTAGTAGTGCCTAGAGCCTTTCCCTTTTAGAATGACGTGGAGATAGCTGTTCAATCACAGCTACGTAGCAACACTTGAGAATCATCACTAATTAACTTGATAGGTTTCTTTGCCAAGTCCAAAATGTTTGCATTCTTATTAGAAAGTGGCGTAAATGAGAAACATTCTGCCACCCACACAAGAGAAAGCTTCTGCGTAACTCTAAGCAGCATGTTACTGTTTTGACCTAAAGGCATCAAAGAACAAATCCTGTTCTATGATCTTGAGGAATAGGTAGTTTTAATTAGGTTTTGTTTATCCAGCATTGCAGATACTGAGATGCACAATAAAAAAACTACACAAACCAGCAGACATCCCCCCCCTGAAATCCTAACTTTTTTCTGCGACTGCCAGATCTTTCTGGGGTACTCTGTGTCACTGCTAGAAACTAACATTGTGTAGAATAAGCGAGACTTGTGTTCAGTACATATGATCTTCTTTGCAGAGTTGTTTTATAACTTAAACAACCATTCTGATTAAAAAATATTTGAAAAGACTGATTTTTGTGTTGTTGAAATCTTTAAAGTGCTTTTTTTCTTCAGTATCCATGTTTATTATCCAGTAGGAATTATGCTTACTTGGGTGAAGTTTGACTTTCTACTAGCCAAACCCTGCCCAACAGTCAGGGAATCTGAGCCCCTCAAAAAGAAATCAACTTTCTATGCTCCCTGGAACTTTTGAGTTCCTAGAGTTAAATTTGCTGAGACTTGCCTTGGGAACTAAATTTATTTTCTCACCATGCTTTATAACAGGGATTTTTGAAAAGACGTTCCTTCCAAGAAGCTGAAATTCTACGTCGGCTGTATTCTTCATCATTCCTGGACTTATACCACTTCAGCATTCAGTCTCTGCAATGCAAGACTGAGATGTTGGAAGCTTTTGTGATTATGCAGAGCATTAATATGCTGCAGGGCCTTATCCCACCTAAGGTAAAGTCGTGGATTTTTTAATATTTACTTAATCTAATGGAGATAATTTTAAGTCAACAGGTTATGTAGAGAGGAGATCCTTTGATGACTTGGAATATAAATGAAGGTGCAGGTTAGTAAAGGAATACCTTCTTTTCTTTTGGAAATTAATAGTTAGGATATGCCCTCTTTCACATTTGTATTTGATGTTAAGCGCTGACATGTAGCATGCATTAGACAGCAGTTTTCCTACAGTTTTTTTGGGGGTAGATTGTTATCAGATTATAAACTAGAACTTCAACAGATCAAATGCTATAATGGGTGATTAAAAGTGATATTTGCAGGGTGCTTTTCTATATTTTGTGGTCTACTTTTTACGTCAGTAAATTTAAACATGACTGAAGGCTTTTAACCTGATGTTAGTAGTAATTATCAAGAAGAATTTTCAGGCTATTGAAAATAAAAACATAACTCAATCCTTCAGGAACAAGGAGGGGAATTGACTCCAAAATACTTGGAAAGGCTGTACATCTTCTCTCTTATGTGGAGCATTGGAGCATTACTAGAACTGGAAGACCGATGCAAAATGGAACACTGGCTTCGAAACCATACAACAATAAAGATTGATCTTCCCTGTATCCCAGAAGGCAGTGAGGATACCATGTTTGATTATTATGTGTCATCTGATGGTTAGTAAACCAGCTGGGTGGTATGGAGTAAAACTTAAAAATAATTTAAAAATTGTGGTTTTTAGAGAATTAATTCAGAAATCTTTTGTACCTTACTTTCTTGTCTCTTCCTTAGAAATTTTTGTTTTACAGCTACATTTTACTGATGATGATGTATAAATCTTTTTCCCTGTTTCTTGTGAGAAATCAGAATGTGGATATATTGCTACAGAAAGCTACACGGTCTTCGTGCTGATGAATTGTCAAATGACCAAGACAGACAAGCCTTGTCCTTGTCATAATTTATGTAGGAAAGAGGAGTAAGCCTCTTAGATCCAACTTGAGAGATTTTGTGATTATTTGATTCTGTAATTTTGGTCTGAGTTTATAAAGTGGGATTACTGTATGTGAGTCAGAGGCACTGACAGATGAATCAACTCAATGGAAAATAAAAGAAACAATGATGCCTTGTATTTCTAAAACATTAACTTAACTTCTTTCTTATTAGGCAAATGGATGCACTGGAATACACGTGTTGAAGAGTATGTATATCCCAGTGGCAGCACTCCAGAATATGGCTCCATTCTTGTGCCTAATGTTGACAATGTGAGAATGGATTTCCTTATTGAAACCATTGCGAAACAGGGCAAGGTACTTTTTCTGTATTTCACATCTAAACAGTGCTAACAGTACTCATGGTAAAGTTTTGAATTAGAAGTGAAATATTATTGAAAAGGAAGAACAACTTTTTTTTTTTTTTTTTTTTTTTAATGTAAAATGGTGATTTCAAGAGCTACATTTATGTAAACATGCTTGAACTTTTGAATACTCACCACTTCCAGACTTTTTTTCCTTCCCCTCACCCATCCTTTCTGTAGTAGAAATAACTGTAATTACATCTGAGATCAGGTCAGAATAGAAGCAATTTTTTCATGTAGCTGTTGCAGGAGGGGGCAGCACACAGGGCAGCAGAGTGCCAGACTCTGCTGTCTGAACTCTGCCCATATGCAGTTACAGAGTTTATGTACCTTTAGATTATGCAACCCATTCTTCACCAAAACTCTGTCAGATAAGCAGGATATTGTAAATAACAACAGCAGTTGAAATCTTGTAGATACCATGGCTCTAGACAGTACATTCTTTTTCAAATAATCAACTGCTTTTATGAATAATCCATTCATTTGTTAGTTAAATCATGCTGACTGACATGATCATTAACTGCAAATAATTTTAACTTGTGATGCCTTCAAAAGTCTATGATACATTAACTATTTTGCTTCCATACATCCCTTGTTGAGAATTCACTTTACATAGCTTTTCTAGTTCCATTTCAGTTCATAAGTTAAACAAGAGTACTGAGTCTTTTCCAAGACACCCAGCTCTTGTGTTTCATCTTATTTCAATGTTGTCTTCATCTAGGCTGTCCTACTAATTGGTGAGCAAGGAACTGCAAAGACTGTTATCATCAAAGGTTTTATGTCAAAATATAACCCTGAAAGCCACATGGCTAAGAGTTTGAATTTTTCATCTGCAACTACCCCATTAATTTTCCAGGTATAGTAGTCATTCAATTTCTAATACAATGTGATTGGAATCAGAGATTGTTCTGAGAATTTGCCAGGAGGATGCTTCTGAAAGTGGTTTATTTAATTGAAAATGAGTGAAGAAACAAAAAAGCACCTGCTCAAAAGGACTGTGTCCTAACACGTGATTTAAAAGACTTCTGTAAAAAACATGTTCCCTTCAACTTCTTCAGTAGCTAATTGAGCTGTTCTTGGACTGTTACAGTACCATGCATATTATTTGCTTCATCACATTTAATATTTTTATGTCAAATGTATCCGTTCTAACCAATTGGGTAGAGCTGTCCGTGACTTCCCTCAGATTTCACTAAAAGCCATGACTAAAATAAGTGCTACCCACAACAGTCTGTCATAAAAAGTGTGCTGTCTGCAATTTAAATTTCAGTAAATTAAATTACTCATTAAAAGATTAACACATGTAGTGCAGCTGCTCTAAGTAGGACTATGAATGCTTAAATCCTAAACTGTACTGCCTGTCCAAATTTCTGCTGAGGTACTTCAAATTATTTCAAGTTTTTTTAACCTGCTGATAATATATATGGGAAATATTTTTAATGTGGTTTGGTATGCCAAGCTGAAGCACTGTCTGTGCTGTAATCAGAACTGTTGTCTGTAAGCCTGATGCATCGTCTGTCATCTGGCTCTTTAGCATTGTAGAAACTATTAACATGTTTAATATACAAGTATGTAATTTTGGTCTTATTTTCCTTAGTATTTTTCCCCTCTATTGATTAGGCTATAGAAACAAAAAGTAGTATCAATACACCTATTTTTATAAAATAGATGTCAGGTTTATTGATGATAGATGATGGTTTGCTGATGATCAAGACATCTGAAATAGATGTTCAAGTCTAACAGTTAAGTCTTCAATAACAATCTAGACCAAAGCATTGTCTGTTACAACACAGGTGCTTTGAAATTACTCTGACTTTCTAAAATCTTGGTCTAACTGATGCCACTTGTGTAAGAAGGCATTCCAGGCTTCTGTACAGGAGCCTGGGCACAACGTATGAATGCAGATATTTAGATTTACACTAAAGAATAACTATGCGTGGTTAAGTGAGCTTTCACTTGGTAAGAATAATGGAGCAGTGGAAGGATGATGGGAAGAAAAGTAGTGGTAGGTCTACTATTAAGCAAAATGATTTCATCAAGTCTATGTATGTATGTGAGTTTAATTATCACTGTATGATTTTATGAAGTACATTGATGTCTGCTGGAAGCATCTTCAAGAATCACATCTTTCAAACATGACAGATTATTACTTTAATCTTTATTGCTAATAACCGTCAATTTTGCTGATAAATTAATAAAAATGAAAAAAAAATTGAAATGGTTTCAAAATTATGAAATGTTAGACATTTTTTATGTCTGATACCGGTCTAATGCTGTATAACATGAGATTTCAGACATTCTAGTTGAATTAGTGCAATTACCTCCTGCACATGTGTTGTCTAAACCTTCCTTAGTAAAATTCTGTGTAACAAAACCATCAATATGTTTAAATGATTGAATCACGTATGAAAGGAAGGACTCTTTATAACTATGCTAATAATTGCTTTTTAACAGCGTACGATAGAAAGTTATGTGGACAAGCGCATGGGCACGACTTATGGTCCGCCTGCAGGCAAAAAGATGACAGTCTTCATTGATGATGTGAATATGCCCATAATAAATGAATGGGGAGATCAGGTTAGTTTGTAAAAGAGGAAAAAATAAGGCAAAAGATACTTTCTTTCCTTGCTACACTGTAAAACTGTCTTCTTAATCAGGTAGTGGGGGGTAAATTTGATGTGTACTGCTTAATTATTAAACAGTCTTTTTAAAGAACCAATCTAGTTTTATATTGTCATGAATTAATTGAAAATAAATATACTGACTACAAGAAGCAGTTTGAGAACTCCTTAAAATATGCCTGTATAATTTTAACAGGTTCTTTTACCAATACTTATTTTTTAACAAAAAAACCCCCCTCATAAAGTCCGATTAGAAAAAAACCTTTGGAACCCAAATTGTGATAGCATACTGGCTGTATGAACAATAATTAAAATACTGTGAGTGCTGAGAGGTAAGAAGTGACTTCTCTGCTTTAGAAAAAATGGAAGTAATCATGATGTACCTTGGCAAAATTATTTTGAAATGCATTGTTTTGGAAACTAATATTAGAATTTCTAAAGAACTATAGTTGTATAATGTGCGATGTTTTTATCTGGTCAAACAGAAAAGCAGGGAGTCCATTTATGGGTAAGGAAAGGAATCTTGCATTCTGTATGGAAGTTCTATGTTCGTAGCTTTGAAAAACATGTTTATGATTGTTGCATATGGAAATTTCATCAACATATTTGGTAGTAAATGCCACCTGTGAAGGTGCATCAGTTTGGGCTTGATTAGAATAAACTGGAAATCTTATGTTAAAAGTGAGAAGTATTTCCAAGACAACAATATTGGAAATCGTGCAGCATTCAAGCAAGAATGGCTTGAAATATGAAGGATTAATTCTAAGTTAGGGATTTCCCTCTACTCCCAGGACTTTTGTCCATAGATACTACCAATGGAAAGGACAATCTGAACATGCTTATTCCTAGCAATGTGTTTTTCTCCTGTAGCACATAAGCAGGGGATGGGGGGGGAGAAAATAATGGTACCGTTTTTATTAGGTCTTTCAAGTACCTAAGTATGTTTTGTATTTCATTTAGTTCTGTATATAATATTCTCTTATACAATACCTGCTTATTTTACAGGTCACTAATGAGACAGTTAGGCAACTGATGGAACAGAATGGACTGTATAACCTGGAAAAGCCTGGTGAATTTACCAACATTGTGGACATTCAGTTTTTGGCTGCCATGATCCACCCTGGGGGAGGTCGCAATGACATTCCACAGAGGCTCAAGAGACAATTTTCTGTGTTCAACTGTACTCTGCCTTCTAGTTCTTCCATTGACAAAATTTTTGGTAAAGAAAAATTAGCTTTATAGCCAGTCCATTTTTGAAAATAGTAGTTGACTTTTCTTTGTCCCTCTATTTATAAACATTACAATCAAAATAGAGGCTTAATCCCCCTCTGATTTACTTATCAGCACATTTTCCTTCACTAATCAGTCCCAACCTGCAACTTCATGTGGCCATTGGGACTAAGGAAGTGATTGTCCCCCTGTACTCAGCACTGGTGAGGCCGTACCTCGAATACTGTGTTCGGTTTTGGGGCCCTCACTCCAAGACGTTGAGGTGCTAGAGTGTGTCCAAAGAAGGGCAACAAAGCTGGTGAAGAGTCTCGAGAACAAGTCTTATGAGGAGTAGTTGAGGGAGCTGGTGTTGATAATCCTGAAGAAAAGGAGGCTGAGGGGAGACCTTATGGCTCTCTACATCTACCTGAAAGGAGGTTGTAGCGAGGTTGGTGTTGGTCTCTTCTCCCAAGTAACAAATGATAGGACAAGAGGTAATGGCCTCATGTTGCAACAGGGGAGGTTTAGATTGGATATTAGGTAAAATTTCTTCACCAAAAAGGTTGTCAATCACTGGAACAGGCTGCCCAGGGAAGTTGTTGAGTCACCATCCCTAGAGGTGTTTAAAAGACATGTAGATGTGGCAGTTAGGGACACGATTTAGTGGTGGACTTGGCAGTGCTAGGTTAACGGTTGGACTTGATGATCTTGAAAGTCTTTTCCAACCTAAACGATTCTATGATTCTGTAGTTTATCAATCTGTAAGTTTTTTCAGGTCCAGTCACATCTCTGAATCTATCAGTATGCTAAGTATTAGGAAGAATGGCACGAAGGCCATTCTCGGTTTTAGCAACAATTCTGGAGTTGCTAAGGTGCTACTGGTGCTAAGAATAAGTGACTAATGATTACACTTTCACAAATGACAGGATCATATTGGTCTCAGTGAAAAGCTATTCAGAGGCTGCGGAAGCTATTTTGATAGACAAAAGAACATTTTTACCAGACTATTAAGAGCTAAATGCCCGGTGAGCTGGTGGCAGAATGGTATTAAGACCAGGTGAATCCAGATTTGAATAAAGACTGGAAAGCCATTTCAACAAATTAGACAAGATTTTAGGTATTAAAAAAAAAAAAAAAAAGAAATTTAGGAGATAGTAGCTTTTACTGTTGTGCTAGTGTGTCTCAGAAAAATCTTTCATTTGGCCTTTTTTTTTTTTTTTTTTTCTCACAGGCGTAATTGGAGAAGGACACTATTGTGGTGAGCGAGGATTTTCAGAAGATGTGAAGAAAACAGTAACCAGGTTAGTTCCACTGACACGCAGGCTGTGGCAGATTACCAAGCTAAAAATGTTGCCCACACCAGCCAAGTTCCATTATGTCTTCAACCTTCGAGACCTCTCAAGGATTTGGCAAGGAATGCTGAACACTACAGCAGAAGTGATCAATGAACCAAAGGTAAGTGCAGCACATCAGTGTCTTTGTTATAATTAGTGTATAATTAGAGTCGCAAAGAGGATGAAGAATCTAACTACTTAGCATTTGAGTTTGATTTATGAAAGTATAATTTATGATTTTAAAAGTTTTCAGTGTTTTTTTTGAGGCAAAGATGTTTTAGTCCAGCTTTTACAGTGCCAACTGAAATGACAGTTTTGTTTCATAACAATTACACAAAATGCTTCTTTTGACAGAAGAGAGTTTGTTTCTGTCTGCTTGTTCTGTTTTTGACAAATGCTGGTTTGTTTGAAAGAAGCGAGCAAAGAAAATTATGAGAAGCAATGGACTTATTTTAACTCAATGAAAATGCGTATACATTGATAAAAAAAATAAACAGTTCGCCTCTCTCCACTAGTGTCTTGAGGCTTTCAGTCACTGCCTAATATCTGTCTAACAAATGATTTCTGATTTAAGGCTTAAAAGGAAGAAGTAATAATAAGTCATAGTGATTTTTTTTTTTTTTTCAGCAATACACCTTTCTTCCAGAAAATCTCAATACTTTATGCATCATTTCTATTTTAATTATTTTAACGCAAAGTCATTTACTGTTTTGAGCACGGAAACATGAAGTGCTAGAAAAGCAATGTTTATGGTAATCATGGAAAATTTATTATACATTTGGGTTATATAATCACTTCATCTTTAATGTACTTCCCTGCTTGTTGAATAAGTTCCTTAATTCTACTACATCTAAAATTTAAATTTTAGAATTGATTTTAACTTCTGAGGCTAAAAATATGCAGCACTAAGATGATTATATGTATATATATTCTCAATTGATGCCTTCTGAAGTAAAACAAACAGTTGCTCAAAATCTGATTGTATAAATTTACATATTAGTTCTGAGACTTGACATAGTATATGTCATTTGTACAAAGTGCTGTAAGCTCAAACAAGAGGTCTTCAAGGAATACTTTGCATTTTTTCTACTGATGTGTAGTAGTAGTGTGGGATAAAACCAGTGCTGCTAGGATTAAGAACCTGGTAGGTTTTCCTTCTCCACCCTATGACCAAACCAAAGGACTTTAAAGGTATGTTGAATTTGGAGAAGGAATAATGTAAACACAGTTAGACGTTTATTTTTTTTTCTCTAACTACTTTGGATATAGTATTAAGGGTGACATCTGTGTTTGGCATGAAATTATTCATGCCACGATGCTATTATTTCCATCCACCTTCTACTTAATGACCAGTTAAAAAAAGTGGCTTATCAGTGCATAAACATGTGTGAACAGGTATGGATATGGTTTTAGGGCTAGCGAAATACCATCTTAATTTGGTAAATGCGCTCTGGTTTGTAATTTTAGATTAAGGCTTCTTAAACAGTTAACTGAATGTAGACTTAAAATGCTATTGCACAGAATGAGAAGCTCAAGGTGTCTCTCCTGAGTAAACCCCCAAATACTACTGTTTCTTTTATTGTGTTAATATGATTTTTAAATAAAAAAATAAAAGCATGGCTTTTAACTTGGCATAGCTTTGTTGTAAACCTAATCTGACAGAAATACCTTTTTTTTTTTTTTTTTTTAACACAGGTACTGATGAAACTGTGGAAGCACGAATGTAAGTGTGTTATTGCTGATCGTTTCACAACCTCAGAAGATGCAAACTGGTTTGATGCAACTGTGGCAAAACTCATTGAGGAGGAATTTGAAGAAACAAAAACTTATCTGGATCCTGAACCTGATGCATTCTTTGTTGACTTCTTAAGGGATCCACCTGAAAGAACTGGTAAAGATGGACTCTGATAATAGTGGAGTTAGCAAGAATAGGGAAAGGGGATATGATAAAATAGATGCTAATAGAAATATGTCTTAAAAATGCATAGTAAGTTTATTCATCAAGGGTGGATGTTCTCTCCAGTGATTTTGAAGGTAGTCTATGTTACTAGGTGTGGAACATCTTTATGTTCATTGGATTTTAAAGCCTGTATTTATATTCAGATTATCTGTATAGGAGAGCCTTGCTTACATTTTCATTGATGTAGTAGACATAAAAAACTGCCGAATAGTGATCATGATTCTATATTATTCTAAAATGATGAAAGAATTGTGATATGAATAACTTGAAGTGGTAGGGTTGCAATACTAGTTAAAGGATAGCACTCAAGCTGCCATCTATAAAACGGGTGAAAAAATACTGGCTCTGGGCTAACCCAGTACTTCTTAGGAAATACCTGGTACATGATTTTGTACCAAAGTATTTTAATTTCAAAATCTCCTGAATGCTAGTAAAAGCTCTTAAATTATTCATATGACTTATGACAATGTCTTTGTGTCTTTTAAATAAAAACACTGCATTCAGTGACCTTACTAAGTAAAGCTGGGAATATGGATTAGTTGATGCAAAAGAACAGAAAACAGTTGTTCAGGTTTTGGGGAAGGTCATTATTTAAGCCATTGGATGATTCAATTATCTGTGTTCATATCCGAGGAGGCAATAAAAGGTTGGCATAAGCAGTCAAATGCCACTTAAATCTCTTCTTGGATAATTGAAGTAGTCAGAAGGCAGTGACAAAAGGGGAGTAAAGGATAGGAAATGTTTGATTAGAAGGAATCAAATAGAAGTAAAAAGGCAGCTGATGTGAGAAAGTAGTCAAATACATCCTTAAATAACTTGCTAAACTGCAACAATGTAGAGAGGACTGAAATATAAGTCAGGGTACATACTGAGAGAGTGAAGAGTGACTTTTAATGCAAAAATTTGAATCCACACTAGAAACCAGTGTTGAACTGAAAAATAAATGCAGAAAGAAGCATGAATTTCTCAAAATAACTTGTTTCCTGGTGACAGTTTAAATGTACCTGCCCTGTAACATGTCTTTTAGCATGAAACTTCATCTAAATACAAAGTGGGAGGCCCTCATTTAGAAAGGGTATGTTTTGTCCTCAATAACTTTGTCAGAGTCTTGAGAACCCCTTCCTGTTTTAGCTTTAAGTGAAAAGAATAACAAGAGTAATTCTGTTTTAATTGTCCCTTTAATGGAATTTAATCTTGCCCATTGTGATGGAAGTGTAAGAACAGGAACTGTATTTCTGAGCTCTTAAGTATATAAAAAAAAATACATCTGACATCAAATAACCCTATGCTCAGGTTAGTGATATATTTACATATACTCCCTGTATCTGTGGGTTGTACGGTCACAATGTATTTGTCCCTGAAATAAATGTATGAAGACTTGAGATAAAGTAGCTCAACCATCAACTTTTAGATCTTAGCTTCACAGAAATTGTTAGTGGTGCTGGTGTTCTTGAGACCCTCAAACTGTTCAAGGGTGTTTTTTATCAGTTACTTTTGATATTCCTATTTAGTACTTGTGATTCTGAATCTTGAGACTAGAAAAGAGTTTCAAATAATATACTAGCTGTCTCTGTAAATAAAGTAAATATCTGCCCTTTCTTAAGTTTAGCACTTGATCATTCTGTCTTTTGACATTAATATTAACTGCAGGAACAGGATTAAGCTGATGTAATTCTCTTAAATGGTTTTAAACTGTAAAAACATCACTGCAGTTTAACTCCTTGCTGTATTCCTTATTAGTTCCTTATCAGTAGCTGAGTTATTTTAAGTGTCTCATTCAAATTGTAAGAAACTTATTTCCACCTGGAATACTCCTTTTGTTTAACCAGTGTTTCTGCAGGTTAAAATAATGAGATGGTTAATTTAATTAGGTCTTAATCTAAAAGAGAGTTTATATATGCAGAAATAATACAGAGCTAAAGAATTCTGAAATTAAGGTTATTTCAGAAATGCAGTGAACACAGTATAAAGGACAGCTGAATGAGAATTAATCATCACTTTATTTTGAGAGGTTTAAAAGGCAATTTCCTTAAACTAGTTTATATATATATGTATATTTGGTTTTTGGTGCTTTTTTTTTTTTTTTTTTCCCTTGGAAGCTGCATGATTAATGGACCACTGCTAACTTGTAAAAGCAAAATTTGTGAGAAGGAAAAGGAGAAAAAAATAAAATGTGAAAAATATTATAGATACTATTCTAAATACAATGCAATTTGATTGTTTTTTCCCCACCTTTACTTCCCTTTCCACTGATTTACAGTGCTTTACTAAGCATTAAGGAAATACTTATTTTACTGAAATTACTTATTTCATTGACTTTAATTCCACCAGTTAGAGATAATATTGTGAATATTATATTTCTTCTGTAAGAGGAGGCTTAGCAAAACTGATTGTCAGCAATGATTGACCTACAGTAACTGGAAAAATATGTCTTACAGCATGAAGATCATGAAATCTCTAAACTAATGGAGCTTGCTTTATGTAAATAAGAGCAAAATTGTACTGTGTCTGCTATTACTTTTTGAGGAAAACCAAGCCAACCAAAAAACCCCATGTTGTCTGCTTGCTGGCACTCTTCCAGTGAAGTTTGTCAATTATTTGCTGATGAAGTATGGGCTGGATGAGCAGTGAGATGTGTTGAAAATTAGCTGAATGGCCAAGCCCAGAGGGTGGTGATCAATGGCACAAAGTCTAGTTGGAGGCCAGTAACTAGTGGTATACCCCAGGGGTCACTACTGGGCCCAGTGGTCTTCAACATCTTTATTAGTGATCTGGATGATGTACCCTCAGCAAGTTCTCAGATGGCACAAAACTGGGAGGAATGGTTGATGTGCCAGAGGGTTGTGCTGACATCCAGAGAGACCTTGACAAGAACCTCATAAGGTTCATCACATGGAGGTGCAAAGTCCTGCACCTGGGGGTGAAAAAACCCACGCACCAGTATATACTGGTGGTCAGTAAAGCAGTGTTGTAGAAAAGGACCTGGGAGTCCTGGTGGACAGCAAGTTGAACGTAAGCCAGCAATGTTCCCTTGCAGGAAGAAAAGGCTAAGTGGCATCCTGGGCTGCATTAGAAAGAATATTGCCAGTAGATCAAGGGAGGTGATCCTTCCCCTTTATTTAGCACTGATGAGGCCACACCTGAGTGCTGTGTCCGGGTCTGGAGTGCAAGAAAGACATGGACATACCGGAGATTGGAGAGACTCCAATGAATGGCCACAAAGATGAGTTAAAGGACTGTTCTAAGAGGAAAGGCTGAGAGAGCTGGGACTGTTCAGCCTGGAGAAGAGAAGGCTCAAGGAAATCTTCTTGATATGTACAAATACCTGAAGGGAGGATGAAAAGAGGAGGGAGCCAGGCTCAGTGGTGCCCAGCGACAGGCCCAGAGGCAATGGGCACAAACCGAAACTCGGGAGGTTCTCTCTGAACATCAGGAAACACTTTTTTACTGTGAGGGTGACCGAGCACTGGCACGGGTTGCCCAGAGCAGTTGTGGAGTCTCCATCCTTGGAGATATTCATAACCCATCTGGACATGGTCTTGGGGAACCATCTCTAGGTGGCCCTTCTGGAGCAGTGGGGTTTGGACTAGGTGACCTCAAGAGGTCCCTGCCAACCTCAACCATTCTCTGATTTTATTTGCCATGGAGTAACAATTGTTACTAATGAAGGCATGTCACCTTTAAGCATGATTAATGCTTATGAATGGAAAGATGAGGCAGCAGCACTATTTCCTCCTTTACTTTGGGTGGGGAAGAGTTGACAATTCCTTGTGGCTTTTAGATCACTTGATGAAACAAATGCATGCCTTTTCAAGGTCAATATACTCTTTTTTGTTGTGGTAATTGTTCATTTCAGTAGTGATATTTTTTCACTAGTGCAATGATTTAATCAACTAAGAGTGTTTTTCTTTTACAAAAAAGATTATGTTCAATTTTAAACTTCAGTATTTATTTACCTTCATTCTCTGGTGATACTTTTGCTTCTAGCTTCTAAGTTAATATCAGTTTTTCATCATTCAAGTTTTAGATGTAGGGAAAGAAAACTCCTTAATTTTTGCTGATTTTATCTTTGAGAATTAACCGTTCCTTTTAGGAAGGGTATAGGTAGCACTGTCATATGTACATCTAATATGCAAAATTATGTATAACAAACCTGATTCTGGCTGGTTAAAGAGACTTCTAATTAACTTCACTTACTTATCCCCACATAGAGCCTTTGTCAATCATTTAAACTGCTATGGTTTTGTTACTTTCTTTTTGTCCTAGGTGAGAAATCAGAGGAAGTTAATACAGATATTCCCAAAATTTATGAGCCAATTTATTCTTTTCATCAGCTACGGAATCGTTTAAATATGTTTTTACAAGCATACAATGAGAATGTCCGTGGGACTGGAATGGACGTGGTTTTCTTTGAGGATGCTATGATTCATTTAGTCAAGGTACAGTCTTACTAGATTGACATTTGATGTTGTTGTTCACTCGCCCTCGGTGCCTATGAGTGGAGGTGTGCATGAATCAAGGTAAATTACTTCTAAAACTGAAGCAAGTAATTTATTGCTAGCAAATATTTTGTCTGTCACTCTGTGACTGAGTATTAAAACTCAACTTTTCTGAAAATGCACTGGACGTAACTATTCTTTTATATCTACTGTTTATGTCTGGTGGGATCATGATCCTAACTATGCTAACTCTATTTCAACCTTTCTTCTTGTTAATTCTTCTGAGAGTCCTTTCTCTCTTTGCAATGAATCAAATGAAATTCAGGTCAGGATATAATTTGTTGCTTATGAAGGAGTAGGTACAGCAGAGTAGGAATAAATGTAGCCCAAACTTCCTTTGTAGATCCACAGTATGCTCATTTCTGTTAAAATTCATTTGAATATGGATTGGAGCTGACCATAATTTTTAGTACAGCACAGCTTGATAGGATTGTTCACACAGAATAGGCTTCATACAAGGAGAAGTTTGTGGTTTTGTGGTTTTTTTTTTTTTTTTTTTTTTAGTTTTGTTGGTTTGTTTAACTGAAAAACCTGTTGTTTCTCAGTTGCACCGTGAGATTATCTGTATTTCTTATCATAAATTAAGAACTGAATATTGGATTGTACTGTCCTAACAAATAATGTAATAAGTATTAAAACAATTTAAATTTAATTAAAGTTGACAAATACATTGCATCTACAGTTTTGAAAATTTTGGGGTAGGTTCTTGTAATTTCACAAAATTAATCCTTTTCCTTGAAGGTCTTCCTTGCAAGATGAATGATATTATGCTATGGATTTATTTAGGAAAATTGTTAAATCATCATTGCACTCACTAACAAGTTTCTGGTTTATTCCTAGTAAAAAATTCTATCTAAATTCAGGATCTAGTAAAAAAAATTTTTTTCGTTTTATTTTTTTCTCCACTGAAGAGCCACTTGTCAGGAATCTCTTGTTTGGGCAGCTAGATGGTAAATACCTGAAACGTTCTCATAACTTTCACTTGGATAAAATGAATATATAGTGCTTCTCTGATCCCATATTCGTAAAAGCAGAATTTACAGCTGTGCAGGTCTGACCTTTATGCATTAGCTAGACTTGACACAGCTTCTAAAAGAAAGCTAGGTAAGCACAATTAAGGTAATGCCTAATCTTAGTTGACATAGTATGACCTGAATGAGTTAAAGCTGAGGGATATCTTAAACAGAGAACAAAGCTTCAAATTTATAGTTTCTGTGTCTCTGCCTGGAAAAGATGTAGTAGCCATAATTGAAGTGATCAGCAATATGCCAAGGGTGGTGTGCAAATCTATTTTTCTTTCTCTGGTTAAATTCTAAGTATGCTTAGAATAAACATTCATACTTGATTTTATCTTTGCTTATAAAACATTAACCTGTGAAAAATAACAAGTACATTGCACTTAATATGTAAAATATATGGGTTTGAAACGGCAGAAAACTGACATGACTATTTTTAATAATATGAAAAAAAGTATGTTAGAGGAAAGGCAAGTAAATAGGTATCCCAGGCTTCTTATGGGTATGACAGAATTCTAGGGGTATCAGAGGGGTGTTCAGGATAATAACAGGAGCCAATACTCTGCGTCACTGCTTGTGCAGTGGAGACCAACTGCTAACCAGATGGTTGGTATTACCTTGCCTTTTGAGCGGCAAGTGGCTCCATGCTGTTCTGGAAATAAATGTAGGCTCTTTTGTGTACTAGGAGTATCTGTCCATGTGCAACTGATGGGCTGTGGAGCAAGTTTGTCTCCTCTGCTTAAGGGCATATTTTCTCATCATCAAGTAACATCTTCCACCTGTTTCCAGATTTCTTGGCATTATTTATTGGCTACGGACAATGGGATGGGGGCTGCATGCAGTTCACAGTTAGTGCTGAAATTTTTTTTTTGCTCTGAATTGCAAAGGGTCTGTTTGTTTACATTACACTGTCCTGAATTTAAGGGAGATCTAGAGTAGTAGGTAACTACTGCCTTTTTGCTTTAAGAGATAAGTAATGAAATGGGAAAGAAAGGGAGATCTACTCAGGAGATGTTTCACTATGACCAAATACTGATATTGATATTGTGTGTTTTTATAATCTAGTAAACTAGAAGCTTAAGAAGTTTGATTATAAAGGCAGTTTTATTACTTGCTGCAGAGAATACTGGAGACTGTTTGTCCTGATCTTAACATGCCTGGGACAACTTGTCTTTCTGGACAAAACGAAGGGATCTGGAGAGATGAGTCTTAGTAAAGTTGTCCAGAGGGTATGGCATTGGGGAAATTATTTCCTTCCCAATTTTCATAATTTGTCATGCTATGATCACTCATCACTAACAAATCACAGTTGATATTTACTTGTGCTTTGTGGAAGTGTGAGATGCAATTCTGTTGATAATTGAAAGTTCACAGTGATGGAATCAGGTGGTTGCTATACTGTTGGAAGGTTTGCAGAAAATATTACAAAGCGCAAATATCCATATCATATATTAATAGAAATATAGAATCCTGAAATTAAACCTTGACATTTGAATTTGTTCTGCATTTCTAATATAACTTTATTACTACAGTAGCATAGGATTTTTGATGTGTGTAATTTTTACAGATTGTAGCAATAAATGACTGTGGTCTTACACAGATTTCTCGGGTGATTCGCACTCCTCGTGGAAATGCTCTTTTAGTTGGAGTTGGTGGCTCAGGAAAGCAGAGCTTGACAAGACTGGCATCTTTCATAGCTGGTTATGATACATTCCAGATAACATTAACAAGGTGAGCACTAATCAAAATGAAATTTAAAATTAAAAGATCTGGGGAACCTTTACACCTGAAGGCTTGTAAACCCGATCCATGCACCAGATGAATTAAAAAAACTATCATGAAAAATAGACTGAGTGAAAATTTGAATAAACATAATTTTAGGAAAGACTCATCAAAGATTTTGAGAAAACATAATTCTGCCTTACGAACCCCTTGGAATTCTCCAAGTGGGTCAACAAGCAAGTGTAGAAATGTGATCTGATTGATAAAATTAAACTCTGTGCTTTTCTAACCTTAAATGTGCATCTAAAACATATCTAATAATTCGTGACAGAATACCTCTGGGAGAAATTTTGAATCCTCCTTGGATAGAATTGTTTGCCTTTGGTTAATCCAAAATTTCCTATTCTGTGAATTCTTAAGATAATAATTGTTGGATTTTAAATGGTTTAATTTAGTTTACCAAGGTAGTTGATAGTCATATTGCTAACTCAATGTGTATAACTTAAAGTATTTGTTTCAGGTCAGTATTTTTCTCTAATTTTGAGTAATTAACTGAATAACTCTTCCAATCATTGTTTTCCCCTGCAGCTGAAATAAAAGGGCATAGAATATTTGGGCCTTCTCTGTGACCATTTCTAATTTTAGTGACGTTTTTGAAATGTCTTGTTTATAAATGTATGTATGGAAACTTATCTTGGTGGTTATAATTTTGCTGAAACACAAAAAATTACCTTTTTAATCATCAAGAAAAAAATCATAAAACCAATGTATTTATTTCCTGAGCTCCTCCCTAGTAATGAGGAACGATTTTACAATTTCTGATGTTTCAAGTCATATATAAGATCGTTATGGTTACATAAGAAACTCTTAATAAAGTTGCATGCAAACACTTCTCTTCTTTAATGCCCAGTGGGAATCCTAGAAACCTCAGATTTTATTGCAGTCCTTTTTCCAGCCAGAGAGGTCATTCCAGCGTAACCTTGTGTACAGGCTTTGTGCAGCAAGGTTTTGCTAGTGAGGGGGCTACAAGGGTGAGAAGCTGCTTAGAAGCTTCCCCCGTATCTGATAGAGCCACTTCCAGCCATTTCCCAGATGGACCCACCACTGGCCAAGGCCAAGCCCATCAGTGATGGTGGTAGCACCTCGGGGATAACATATTTAAAAAGGGTGGAAAAACCTGGGCAAGAGAAATTGCAGCCAGAGAGAGGAGTGAGAATATGTGAGAGAAACAGCTCTGCAGACACCAAGATCAACCCACCACACCTTGTCTAATTATTTTTACCTTTTTTATTCTCTTAGTTTGCTGCTGCTCTCTTTCCTTTTCATAAGACTGAGTCCCACCATTGGTGATGACTTTCATCAGAGAGGCCAACTAGTTTGAGTTTTTTAATTAGTCAATAAAATCTAAAGTATCTTCTTGCACCCAGCAAATGACAAAATTCCGTGAGGAAACACTTGTCTCTTCACTTTCTGATAAGGCTTCAAGGTTTGTTTTTTTTTTTGTTTTTTTGTTTGTTTTTTTTTTTTTTTGACATTTTTGTCGGTTTAGGGTGCGAGGTTGTGGGTTTATTTAATTTTTTATTTATTTAAAAAATTTTTATTGATGTGGGAGATGATAAAGAGAGCAGGAAAAAGGAGAATGGATTAGATATTTAATGTGACACTTTGAAATGAGCTATGTCTTTCTTCCTAATCTAAATGAAAATTCCTGGACTTTGGCACCTTTTTGCCTTAAATTCCATGAGGTTGTTTCTTACTTAAATATGCCTGTTCTTTTTCTTTTGACTGGAAGCCCTTTTTAAAAGGAATAAATATTAGTACAACCTTTCTTTCTTGTAGATCGTACAACACTTTAAACTTGATGGAGGATCTGAAACTCTTGTACAGAACAGCAGGACTGCAAGGCAAAGGCATCTGTTTTCTTTTTACAGACAATGAGATCAAAGATGAGTCTTTCTTGGAATACCTGAACAATGTTTTATCATCAGGAGAGGTAAGATGCCTTCTCATGATCCTTTTTCTGCTTTTAAGATTTTATAATTCTGAAGTAAAATAACTGCCTTTATTTGAATATTCTTTTATATGTCAGGGGGCATACTTTCACAATCCATAATACTAAGTTAGGGTGAGACAAAGCTATTGTCAAATTAAGAATGAGAATCATCTTTCTATACAGAGAAACTGTCTAAGTCAGAGCCTTTTAAATGTGTTGACAGGCTGTCAGGGACATGAGAATAGCTCAAAAAAAATTGAGGCATGGGTTACATCACTGAAGTTTACCAAAATTGTCTGTTAAATTAAATATTTCATTAGTATACAATTAGTTTTTGTGTGGTAAATTTATGTCCAGAATGGTTGGGCTGTCTTTTATTGTTTGTTTGTTTGTTTTGTTTTTTTTTTGTGTTTTTTTTTTGTTTGTTTTTTTTTTTTTTTTTTTTTTTTGTTTTTTTTTGTTTTTTGTTTCAGGAGTGTATTTCAGAGTAAATTCTTTTAGTTGTTAGAATATTAAGAAAGCAAAAATATTGTACTTGTTTTTCACATGGAAGAGTGGGTTTTTCTTTTACGGTTTACAAGTTAGATTTCAGTGTCTGGAATGTATTTCCCTTTCTGAAATGCTCTTTATTAAACGAATCTCATGCTATATACTCTATTCTGGATCATCGCATAAAGCATGAAAAAAAAAATCTTTGTTTTTCTCAAAGGTATCAAACTTATTTGCACGTGATGAAGTAGATGAGATCATTAGTGACCTCATACCCACCTTCAAAAAGGAACATCCGCGTAGACCTCCAACCAGTGAGGTTCTGTATGACTACTTCATGAGCAGAGTCCGTCAGTACCTTCATGTGGTTCTTTGCTTTTCACCAGTAGGTGAAAAATTCCGAAATAGGGCCCTGAAGTTTCCTGCTCTCATTTCTGGATGCACTATAGATTGGTTCAGCCAGTGGCCTAAGGATGCTCTAGTGGCAGGTAGGTGTAGGTTTGTCTTTGCAGATGTTTAATTCTCTGATCAGAGGTCATGAAGTTGTTTTAATTGATTTGAATTTTTCCAGTACACCGGCAGAAGAAACTTACTTGGTTCTAAAATTCGATATAGATGTTTTCTTTAAAGCTTACTGTGTTAAACTGTTAAATATTTCTAATAGGGGAAAAGCTTTGAACACAGTTTGAAGAAAAATTCCCCTGAAGATGACTTAAAGGCATTAGTAAAGCAGGTAAAATATTACTAAAGAAATAGTGCCTGTGCCTGTGATCAAGGAAGGCTGTGATTTTGCACTCTCTGGTAGCTAGCAATTAGACAGGTTCAGAGAGAAAATCAGTTGCACGCTTTGGAGGTGAAAGCATGCCATATCCTTGGCTATACTTTTTTTTACTGAGAAATGTGGAATAATGTTAAGAATCTGATGGTAGAGGGTAAAGAAGACTGGAGTTTCAGCAGCTGGGTGAAAGCTGACATAATTCCTGCTGACATATATTATATTGCCTTGTTTATAAGGTAAGAGTTTTTCCTGGATATTTATTTACATCTGTGTTTTCTTTCTTTCCTAAGTATCTGAGCATTTCCTGTCCTCATTTGATATAGACTGCACTGCTGATATAAAGAGGGAACTTGTGCAGTGTATGGGCTCATTCCAGGCTGGAGTGGCAGAAAAGTGTTCTGATTACTTTCAAAGATACAGACGTTCTACACATGTGACTCCCAAATCCTACCTGTCCTTTATTCAGGGATATAAAACCACATACATAGAAAAGCATGCTGAAGTGCAGACATTGGCAAACAGGTAAACTGCTCAGTTTACTAATGACTTTCTGTAATTTTCTTCCCCAGACAGGTATATTCTGATATGCTTTGTTTCAATACATGGTTTGTCTCTTCACAGCGAAAGGATTTTTTTTTTTTTTTTAATTTCCTAAAATTGTGTAAAGGTGTAAATTGATCAAATATTATAGTTGTTGTTGTCATATAAGTTAAAGACTATATATTTTTGGAAGGGGAAAAAGTGTAGTAATGTATGAAAAAGCAAGGTGGTGAGAAAAAAAGGTGAATATAAATTATTCCCAGGTATATTTAATGAATAAAAGAAAACATCTAAGTGTGATTTCATAATATATTCACAATAGCATTTCATTTACCCGAGACCAACTTTTGTTTTCTTGCTAAACACTTGTATCCTCCTGATATGAACATGTAAGAAATACCCATGGCATTTTTGGTTTTGTGATCAAAGAGCCTAATTTAGTCTGCTGAGTTTTCTACTCGTAGATTATTAAAGTGGTTTTGATATATTCATTCTCCTTTTCAGATACTTTATTAAACTAATGAAGTCTATTTGCACATTTATCTTCATATCAGAAATACTCAAATAGAATGTAAAATTAGGATTTTAGCGTGTCAATTGGTATCATCCTTCAGAAAAACTGTCTTCTCAGTTTTGAGATTGGCACGAAAAGCTGGAAACCTTTAAGACAGACTCCGACTAGTTTATTACACTTTGAAACTTTCAAAGCCAAATTGAGTGAAAAAGCTGTAGTTATGTTATGGGTGAAGACTGGTAAAACAGAGAGGGCTGGTCCTGTTTTCTACCTTTTGATGCCTCAAGTGTACCAGATTAGTTCATGCATGCCAATGTGTTTCACTTAACTTTAGTTGCATAGTCTGAATTGTTTTGGCAGGTGTTACTTTTTATCTGGTCTCCTATATTTGTTTTGCTGACCAAGTACTGCTTTGCTTTTGCAATAGTGGCCTCTCTAGAGGCTGCTTAAACTTGTCTGAAAAGTTCCAAGTGAGGACTGACTTTTTGATAGAGAAAAAGCACTGTTCAAGGGGCATTTTAATGTTGAATGAGAAAGTGTTATATTAAAGCTATTTTTCTGTTACTGTCTATTGGTTGGTTTTGATTTCAGTGTTTTTATTTTATTAGCCTTTTCAATATCCTCTTCAAACAGCACCTAGCGATTTGAGATATTCCTCATGATTCTAGTGATCCGAAAATGCTTTCTGCTATAGAGAACTCATTCCTTTGGGTATCAGGTTGGAGCTCAACAGAGATGGTGACATATATGGAACCAACACGTAGGATTTTTATGCAATGATAAAGGCATACTGTTTGAGTTCGAAGTGGGTAGAATTTCAAGCCACAGACTCTCTTCATATATTACTTTGTTGTTCACTTTCTTGATTCTGCAGACAGCAGACATTTGGGTGAAAGTTCCCATACAAGTTTTATTTTTTGTGTAAAACATCTTCAGCTAATTGTTCATTCTGATTGATGTGATTCATTCTATTGATGGGATAATTTGGAAAGTGGAGTGTAAATTACATAGGGAATTATGTGCTTCTTGTTTTGCTTTTTAACTTCAGAATGAATACTGGACTGGAAAAATTGAAAGAGGCCTCTGAATCAGTGTCTGCTCTAAGCAGAGAGCTGGAGATAAAAGAAAAGGAACTTCAAATTGCCAATGAAAAAGCTGACAAGGTATGTACAGCTTTCAGAGTGTGTTGCTGTTTGATTTTTTCGTTTTTTTATTTCTTCTATTTTGAAAAGATTAATGAAGTAAAAGCAAATTAAATGTCGTGAAAAAAGCGATCTTGGAAACTCATAACAGTGACAAAAATTATTTTGCTTTGAGTTCTCTAGTATTGGAATTCAACATAGGAAGTCTTACAACAAAAATTAATACATTCTTCTGACTAGATGTTCTCTTTACTATTTGGCATGTGGGTTTTCATACATTCTAGGTGTTGAAAGAAGTTACCGTAAAAGCACAGGCTGCTGAGAAGGTGAAGGGTGAAGTTCAGAAAGTGAAAGACAAAGCTCAAGCTATTGTAGACAGTATCTCAGTTGACAAAGCCATTGCTGAAGAGAAGTTGGAAGCTGCTAAGCCTGCTTTGGAAGAGGCAGAAGCAGCCTTACAGGTTAGTACTTGGACTATATATAACATTATTTTACTGCTAAGAAGATGAGCTGCTTTGAAAACAAATATAAGATAGCAGGTGCATTGCGTAACTCATCAGTTGACAGAAAATGTATGCAAACCAATATACACATTTTGAGGCTTTTTAGGTTCAGTTTTGTTTCTCCACCTGAGTACCAAACCCAAAATAGGCAGTTTTTCAGAAAAGGGCAAGTTTTAACTTTCATTTGAAATTATAATTGATATGTGGTGTGCTGCAGGTTGATGTTAAACCAGTAACTGAATGTTGATACTGTAGTAAAACAGCTTGTGTGCAATGAGTGAAGTGCCTGCCATGTAATAGTAATCCAAATCTAAACCTCCTGTCTAAACCTCCTGTTTTATTTTAAGTTTTCACCAATGAATTGCATTTTGAATGTTTGTTGAGCCACTCTTTTCTGCCTTCTTCATAAAAATTTCTCTTATGAGTTGTGGCATTATCCAGATTTCTAGCATTCACCATGGGACTTCATAAAGCTTTTTTAATAGAGTGATAACACTCTGCCCATATCTTTAAATGATGCATCATCAGTGATGAAATAGATTACTTTTTTTTGATCTTGCACAGTACTTTTTTTAACGTATGTTCATCTGACTGTATAAGAAAATGTCCCTGAAGACATTTCTGTCATGAGCAGAAATAGTGGGATCTGAAGTAAATAATGCTAGAGGCTACAAAGGAGCTGGAATCTCAAGAAATAGAAAAGAATGAAAGAAAAACATGAAGGATAGATAAATCTCAAAGGTTGTTATGTAGATTTACTGGAAGGCTTTCCCTTCCACTTGAGAGTCTGCCCACAGCTGTGATGGTTAAAGGCTATTGTGGTGTTCCTTTAAATCAGAGTCTTCAAAATGTAGTATAACTAAATTTTCATGGATCTTCTGAATATATGACTTCACTTTGAGGGAGAGCTGCTTAACAATCTCTGACTGTCAGGATTCTTGAAAAGCTGAGTGGAAATGTCTAAGTGAAGGCTGGTGACATAAGGACTGATAAGAATGGAATAAAAGAGCAGATCTGGGTCATGAGATCCTGATACTTTGCTACAGGAGAAAAGTAAAAACAGCAACAACCCAGAGGTGGGCAAGCATTCTGACCAGCGCATAAACAAACAGTGCTAACTGGGCAGTGTCTGAGCTATGAAAAAAGCACCAGTGTCCTGTCCTTCGTCTTATTACAGCTTACATTCTGGCTTTGGCTAGTTTCCAAACCAAAGCAATACTGCTTTTCTTGAAATTTTGGAATCTAATAAGTGAAAATCTGATTTTAAGGAAAAGCTGCCCTAGCATTATTGTGAAACTTCATGATGGGGAAAGGTAGTTGGGCTTAATCTTGAAATTCTTGCATTTGCTATAATAAATTGCTCTGCCTGTGCCTAAAGGGGAAAGGAAAACTGTCATAAAAGGAAGCCTATCAGCATGCATGTCTATATCCTCAGCATGTGTTCATTTATTCAGAAAATGCATTAAGCAAGAAATATGAGTCTGTGTAGGGCTGCATCTTTCAAAAAATGAATCTCACAATCATTACAGATTTGCAAATTTCCAGCTAGAGATTCCTATAATGGAATTCTGCTTGCAGTGTAGACAAATGTCTGCTAAAATATTTGATAAAGGTCATTTCCCAGATAAAAAAAAATCTGTGGTTGGTTATTTCACTCAATTTTTAACATATTTTAGGACTGATAAATGCTATGTTAAGAGACAGTTAGGTACAGAATAGCTTCTAAGCATTTTTAAATATATAGTGAGATTAATTTTTTAAAGTTTGAGTAAGAATTGTCAAAGTTCAATAAAACTTAGTTGTACTTTGCCCTGCAATAAAAGTGACACAATAAATGTACAACTAGAAGTAAATAAATAAATAAATTTAAATTAAATATAACTCTTTTGCCACGATTTAGATGGTAGCAAAAAAGGCTGGACTGAATTTCCTAAATGTCACGAGGAAACACTGGTTAAAGTTTCCACACAGATACCTGGAAAAACTGCTGAATTATTAGGTGCACACTGAACCCAGCGAGCAGCAAAATACTGAAGGGGAAAAAAAGGCCGGTGGAAGGAGGGTGATCAGGATAATCTGCAATAATTTACAATTCCTTTCTTGAAGTATAAACACAAGTAATTGAAATCTTCCTTTATGAATTCCCAGTGTGGCATGTGCTGAGCCAGAAGCAAGGTGTCCTAACACCTGCAATAACCTGTTACTGTTTGTCACTGCCATGTACTCAGGCTGATTAAACTGCCTGTGAATAATAAAAGCTTTTGCTCCAAGTTAGGTCTGTTACAGGAGTGAGCCTGCCCATCAGCACTTACCATTGGTCAGGTTTTTTTTGCTCTGTATGTGGTGCAGTATTCAATACTGCTCAAACCAGTGCTTCTCTAAGGAGATGTTTTCAGTAATCTTTTCTGATAGTCCTTTCTGATTAATGATATACACTAGAGTTATGAGTTATAGTAATAGATTTTGACCCTATGCTTACTTGTCCTTACTTAATAGAGCCTAGGTTTTTGTACCTTTTTATAATTTATTTGTTTTTCTCACAGGCCTGCTTCTACAACAGGAACATTCCCAGTAGGATGAATCAGAAGGTGCAAATCTATATGTGTATCAGGCCTTCTCCCTGGTTTCCTTAATTCTCCCTCCCTCGCAAAATATCAACAGAATGTATTTTCCTTTCTAGACTCAGTTTCTGGTCAATAGGTTTGCATTTAAAAGAAATAGGTAAAATTTCAAGATGTTTCTGTTTTGGTCTTTGTTTTGTCAAAAATGTGCATGGTAGTTTTAAGCTTTTAGGTGCTGCTCTGGAGGTGGCTGAGTTGAGGTTTCCTGGTAGTTGCTAGGAGGCTGTAGTAAAAATCTGGTTGGAGGGTCCTTCTAGCTCCATGCTTTTTAGAGGTAAAATTATTTTCAGTAAAAAGTAATATGAATTGTTTTTTTCTTCTCCAATGGATTAATACTGTTGGTGAGCTTGTGCTCCGTGTCTTATTAAATAAACAATAGCAGTAATTGCTTTACCCTTTGTTTTAAATTCATAGACAATAAAACCTGCAGATATTGCCACTGTCCGCACACTGGGTCGACCCCCTCACCTCATTATGCGTATCATGGACTGTGTGTTACTGCTCTTCCAGCGAAAAGTGAACAATGTGAAAATCGATCAGGAAAAATGCTGTACCATCCCATCATGGCAAGAATCCTTGAAACTGATGACAGCAGGGAACTTCTTACAGAACCTACAGGTGCTTGTGCAACCCTCTTTTTGATTTTTTTTTTTTTTTTTTTTTATTTAAGAAAATAAGGGAGTGTTTTCTCTAGTGTTCAGATGAGAAAAAATGTGCAAGGAGAATCAGACATACAATAGATATGAAATGTTAAGGGCATAAAAACAAGTCTGTCATAATGAAATGAACTTGACTCTTTCTGACAAAGTCAGGTCATAAATCAATTATAGTTTCGCCTAAGTAAGATAATGAAATTACTTTCAGTGACAAATGATTCAAAGTTTTAAGCATTTGGTTTGAATAGCAATTACTTATTGGTTTCATTAAAGCTGATAGAAGACATCTCTTTTTCTGGTATCTAGCTTTTCATTAATTTTCAGCATTGCAACTTGTGCAGTGGCTTGCAATAGAATTGTTGATTATTACGGCGTACAAAATCAGAATTTTTTAAAATTTGGGATTTTGAGCTCCATAGCATGTGTCTTGGGAAATGGGAAGAGTAGCTGGTGAATAAATCCCTATTCATAATTTAAACTAATTATATTATGATTAATCTTCTCAGAATACATCATTTATTTAATGTGTCTCTGGTCCAGCATGAAATCACAGGTGGCAGGCTTGACCAACTTTGTATGGTTGGTAGTGCTATGGATGCCATTTTATGTAGTATTCACATTGCATCTACTTGTAAGAATTTTTAATTTACTGAGGGGCTTCAACAATTCATTGCTTGTGCATAAATAAACCTATTTGTGCTTCAGGGAACATCTATTTTTCAAGTTCCTCAGTAATGAACTTTCATTATACTTTGGTCTTTAAAGATTTATTTACAAACTTATGTAGAATGTTTGACCATCAGAGTAAATTTGAGAGAGAAAAGTGAGAGCTTTTGGGGATGAAAAATGCAAGAGATGTTTTTTGGAGAAAAGAGAGGGTCAAAATAAACTCTTAAAATTGAAGCATGTACCACTAATGAGATAAGGTAATTTAAGAAGACATCTGGCTTGCCCTTTGAAAGGACAGTCATAGAATGTATATTTATGAACTGGTTAAGCTTTTCCTTTTCTTTTTGAAGATTGTTAAGTTACTTATTCAATCTTAAGGAAAATGAATTTTCAAGCAGGATATCAATGGTATTTTATGTCAACAATTAACTGTTTAATGGTAATGGATAGTGTAAGATAGCAAAGATCATAAATGCAGGCAAACTGTTTTCCATTTTGTAAGAGTATAGAACAGAGTGGAATGACTTTGGCAAGCTCTCAAAGTTGCATGATACAGAGAAATTCATATTATCTGTTTGTAAGTAGCATTTGTGATCTTGGTAGTGTTCTGTGTGTGCTGAAATACATAGATGTATAGTTTCCAGATATTACATACATTATGTATATTGTACTTTTTTTTTTTTTTTTTTTTTTAGCAATTTCCAAAGGACACAATTAATGAAGAAGTGGTAGAACTTTTGAGCCCTTATTTTGAAATGGTGGACTACAACATTGAGACAGCTAGGAGAGTATGTGGGAATGTTGCTGGCCTTTGCTCATGGACCAAAGCTATGGCTGTATTTTTTTCCATCAACAAAGAAGTATTGCCTTTAAAGGTAAATCTGTTAATCCGTGGGAGGCACACAAACACCTTTTGCTCCTTCTCCTCCCCACCTGTGTGCCTTTGAGGTTTTAATCTGCTGGAGACATCAGCTGCCTTATTCAAACTGGTGCATGCCTCTGTAGGAATTTATTATATTGAAAATAATAATTCTACAGTAAAGTATATTTCAAATGTACTGCCACTTGTAAGGTGTCAAAATTATGGAAGAGATTGTGCAGTTTTATGCCTCTGGGCTGCTTCTGAATGGGTTTGAAGCAGCTGTCACCTAGTGTAATTCAGTATTGCAATTGCTCTATCTTAATTAAAGATTAAGTAGGAAAAAACTTGAGATCTGGTACTTTTAATGTTCCAGATCTCAATTCATAAAATACAGTGACTTTGTTTATTGGTGTTATTTAGAGAAAAACAAGCCTAAATAATTGTTAAAAGGTGAGAATGAAGATCAGAAATAACATGGTCAAGCATGATTTAACACAGAATAGCATGTATTTATAATAGAAATGACTGAGAGGGAAGCAAGATTTGTAGTTAGAGGTAGTGTCTGTCATTAGACAAAGCATATCGATTGGAGAAATCAAATAAGCTTCTAGTGGCACCAGTCTCTTTTGAAGGCCAGATCAGACTAACTTCTGTGTCAGATGGAGAATGGCTGGTATTCCCAGAAGTTTTTCTGATTATTTTTTCTAAATGATGTTAGACCAACTGCTTAACTGCAGCTACTTGCAATAAGAAGTTTGTTGTAAAATTCAAATGAAAGGTTTTAATGAGCGATGAAATCTCTACTGAGCAGTTGGATTTTGAAATGCGGTGCAGTAAAACTCTTTGAGATACATTATAGCAAATGCTTTGAGATGTTGTGTGTATGAATACACTTTTATATTTATGTGCTTCCTAGGCTAATTTAGCAATCCAGGCGAATCGCCTAACCACTGCTATGCTGGATCTGCAGAAAGCTCAAGAAGAACTGGGTGCCAAGCAAGAAGAATTAGATATTGTTCAGGCAGAGTATGAAAAAGCAATGAGAGAAAAACAGGTGAACTGCTTGCTCTTTACAGAAAAGAAGTTGTCACCCTTACTTTAAAGAAAACTTAATACATTCTCTCAATTTCACTATTATTCCTTGGAAAGAATGTTGATGGACAGAGGATAAGAGATAGATATTATTTGGATACTGCTGCTTTGGAACCCTCCTCTCCTTTGCCACGGACCCTCTCCCTCCCTTCCTCCTACCTCCTCAAAAACCATTTTGTTTGGATTATTTGTTTAGTTTTAGTTTGTCCTGGTATATTTTTTCCATCCTACTTTCACTCCTTCTCTGCATGGTGATAGAAGTGTTTCAGAATATATTTTTAAGCTGATGTTTAAGTACTGGTTTTATTAGATGTAGATATTTTTCTGGCCTATCACATACATGGCTGTAAACTATATTTCCCGGTGTGTGGTTTTCTCTAGACTTTGCTTGAAGATGCTGAGCGTTGCCGTCATAAAATGCAAACTGCCTCAAGTCTTATAAGTGGTTTAGCAGGTGAAAAAGAGAGGTGGACAGAGCAGAGTAAAGAATTTGCCATGCAAACCAAGAGGCTAGTGGGTAAGCTTTTGTCCATACCTTTGAACCTGGAAGTTAGTAATTTCAGTTGTAATGCATAGTGAAACTGGAAACATTTGAAATTTCAAACGTTTCCATTGTAGCTTAGATTCCCTGTTGCTAAAATGAGGGTAATTAATTCTCTTGCTAAAGCACTGCTAGGTAAAAAGTACAATATGAGACTGAAGTTCATATTTAAAAATAAAACCCACCAGTAACTGTGTATGCTGTTCATGGGCTTTTATTTGGTATGTATTACATGCAGTGCATACCTGGCACGCTGATGTTTTAATTTGACTGATATTTGTAGGAAGCAGTTCAAAGAGAGTGATATATTAACAAGTGCCAATAAAATGTCTGTAACTGAGAATACGTATGGAGGAGAAGACGACTGATATTTAGGCACTGAAATTTATATGTAGAAATAAATATTTTTAAATGCAGTTACTAATGTTCATAAAACTTGTTTCTTAGAAGTTCATTTGTATTTTATAAATATGCACTTGGAAACTAAAGTACTGTGGAATAAGGAATAAAAGTATTAGTCAGATCGGGTAAATAAATGTATCTTTTCCTTTACGGTGGTCTGAAGTTTATTCTCTGACTTTTGCCCTGAAATGCTGTAAAAAAAGCAGATATTGCTGTCGAGATTGTATTATAGTAGATAGGTTGTATTTTATTTGCTGGTATAATATATATATGTATATTAACAGCTTACCAAAAATATAGGATATCTTCCCCATGCACTCATCATGTTTTTTTAATAGATACCTTGAAAAAGTCTAAAAAATAGTTGTACTTGGTATAGAAGTACAGTATCTTTTCGAGTTTGAATCCTGCATTCTTATTTCAGAGGTCCAGATACACCCATAACTATGGTATCATGAAACTTAGGGTGACAGTTTTGAAGCTGACCAGAAAATTAAAACTGGCCACACTTAATGACTCCATAATGATGCTGGTTATGATTTTTTTATTAGTAGTAGTAATAATTGTAATTGATTTGTTCTTAATTATTACTCCTAAATAAAGATTCTTTCCTCCCTGCAAAATATTGTTTAAGCCTGTTCTCACGATTGTGCAATGAAATGATGGAATTGGAAGTTTATTCTGCCATGTCCTGCTTGTGCAGGATCTGGTGTTTGGAACAGGATTATGTGTGTGTGTGTGCTGGGTTGACCTCGGCTGGCTGCGAGATGCCTATCTTTTGATTCCTACAGTTGCATCATGAGGATAGAGAAAATGTGGTTTCTACTGAAATGTAGCATTACCTTGCTATGTAATGAGCCTTGGGAAAAGGTTAATTTGTCTTCTTTATGGGTCAGAATCTGTTCTTCACTTACCAGCTAAACCGTACAACAACTATAGAGGGAAGCAGATTATTCATAAATAGAGCTGGTAACGTTGTAATGTTTTGGTTTTTTTTCTCTGTTTTCTCTTTAAGGTGATGTACTCTTGGCTACAGCTTTTCTGTCCTATTCTGGTCCGTTTAACCAAGAGTTCCGCAGTCTGCTATTAAATGACTGGCAAAAGGAAATTAAAAGTCGGAAAATCCCTTTTGATAACAACTTGAACCTCATAGAAATGTTGACTGATGCTCCAACTATCAGTGAATGGAACCTGCAAGGATTACCAAATGATGACTTATCCATTCAGAATGGAATCATTGTCACTAAAGCATCTCGTTATCCTTTATTAATCGATCCACAGGCACAGGGTAAAATTTGGATTAAAAATAAGGAAGGCAGAAACGACCTTCAGGTAATAGGAATGCTGGTGCTTTCATAATCCCTAGAAACTCTTAGCTCACAGAACATTACAGTTCAGTGTTTCAAATAATAGAAAATGCCTTCTATATAGAAGTCCTAGTCTGCATATAAAGGACATCTCAGATATATTTTGGTAGATTTGAGATTTGGCTAGATATGAAAATGAAGCTGGTACCTTTAGTACCAATGGAACAATTTGTTTAATGAATTTATTTTAATGAAACATAAACTGCTGGAAAATAAGCTGGATGGGTAATGTCTGATAAGGGCTGAAGCATGTTTGCAGAATACTATAAGCATTAGAAAAAAACCCCAAGTGATTTATACAGGTTCACATAAATGTTTAAAAATGAAGATGCACAGCATGATAATTTTATCATCTTTTAATCAGAAAGTATTGATAACTTTTGTTGTCTTAGCATGGATGTCAGGTGCTAAATATTCTGCACATATACAAGGAAGACAGTATTGCAACAAAATACAGTCTGAGACAAGATACACCAATTCAGTGCGAAGAGGGGAAAAGATGAGAAAGAAAGTTCTTGCTTGCTGCGATTATGATTACACCAATAAACCAGCTTTTTAAAAAGATATCTCTGTAAAAAATGGAGGCGTTTGAAGGGTGATAATAGAGTGGCTCTGAGAGTCTTACTAGGAAACTGCTTTCATTCATGTTGATTGTTATCTCATTGCGGAACCCTTTAAAGTTTACCTAACTAGTTATGTTAGAAATGATTAGACTTCAACTCTGGAGTTATAAACAAACTAAGATGAATGTGCTTTGTCTACAAGTTGAAAGTTAATCACAATTGTACTGAGGGCTACTTTGTAAAGTGAAGACTATTTAATGTCTTGTTCAATATAACCTAACACCCCTAATTTTCAAGGCGGGGAGGTGTGGGGGGAAAAGTGCCCTAATCTTGGAATTGAACTTGCTACAGTTTGACTTGGGGATGCTATCCAATATAAAATTGAAGGTGATAAAAGGTTCCTGTGAATTTCTAGTCTAATTGCACTCATATAATATCAAAACTTTAGATGCTCAGTGTTCCTTTGCTTCTACTTTTGTAGTTGAAAAATAGAAATTTGCATTCAGTGAGATATGAGAATAAGGTACAGTGATGCTAACTTTTCTTGTGGTCACAGTCTTTGCCTTAATCCTAGTCTAACCATAGGATCATTGTTTTTGTCTATAATTTAAATAAAATGAAATAATTTATAAATATTAAACAAAAAGCTTGGTAACTGGGCATAATGTAATACATAGGTCCATGTTTGTATTTTTAGATCACCTCTTTGAATCACAAGTATTTTAGAAATCACTTAGAAGACAGCCTTTCTTTGGGAAGACCTCTTTTGATAGAGGATATTGGAGAAGAGCTTGACCCAGCACTTGATAATATTTTGGAAAAAAACTTCATTAAAACAGGTTCGGCCAACAAGGTAAAAATAAAACAAATGAGCAAACAAGTGGAAACAGCACCCCCCCTCCCCCCCCAAAAGAACTCCTTTACAGTCATTAAATTTATATTTAAATTTGATTAAATTTATATTTAAATTTGATTAATGCTAATACCATAAAAAAGTAGAGTTTAAATTTGAGATCACAAATAGTCAATATATTTAACCTACTGAGTTCCTTAACACTTTGTTTATGACAATTTTTAAAAAAACTGAAATAATCTCTGAATCAGTCATTGAAAGTGTTCCATAGATATTCTCAACAAATTCTTTGCATCAGACATCTAATTTAAAGCTGTATTTTATGCCTTTGAACAGAAAAATGTAACCTTTCTTCCTACATGCAGTATCTGAAAGAGTGTGTACTGATTCTTGATATCTTAAGACTTCTTTTTAATACTTTTATTAAGGTGAAGGTCGGTGATAAGGAAATAGATGTTATGTGTGGCTTCAGACTTTATATTACTACAAAACTGCCAAATCCGGGTTACTCTCCTGAAATTAGTGCTCGAACTTCCATTATTGACTTTACTGTGACCATGAAAGGTCTTGAAAATCAACTCCTAGGCAGAGTCATTCTCACAGAGAAACAGGTAAAAGAATTAATTATATCTTTTTCCTGGCTGTGTGCCTTACATTTACCTGTAGAAGGCTTTACTTTTTTAATTTATTACACTCTATTCCCATATTGCAGGGTAACTTTCTGGCTCTATTGTGATTTTTCTTAATGTAACCTATTTACGATGGTTTAAAAGCTGGCACAGAAGTAATTGACTCGTTCAGGTGAAAGTTTCTGTTTGTCTTTATTGTTGCAACTGTACCATACCTTGTTTTTCCTCCCTTAATGAGTTATAACCTCATGAGAATGGCCTGGAATAAAAACTGATGTTCTTCTGTCTACACACTGTGGAGCTCATGGCAAGATAACCTGGTGCAAAGGATTCAGACTTAATTACTTTCTTGCTCCAAGGGGAAGTGGGCTAACTACCTATTTTGACACTGCAGATGTATTAGTTGCGGACGTCCAAGTTCAGGATGACAATCCCAATAAACGTGCCACCAGCAGTTCTTTTAAACTATTGAACACCTAATACCTGTAACTATAAGGTCAGGCAATGTTGAAGTCAAGAGACACTATGCATCTATGACTGTGTATTTACTAATATTTTGGCAGTAGTTCCAGTTTACCTTCACTAGAGAGGAATGTGTTTGTTCCCTTATTGTGCCATCTGTTGAGGTCCTCCTATCCACCTCCCCCCCCCAGTGTAAGACGCTCCTCCTTGATGGCCTCAGTCATCTTGTTAATGTCAAGTAGTTGCATTTCTTGTTCGGAAGAACAATAATTACATTGGGAGTGGTTAAAACCAGGAACAGATTACCCAGGAATGTTGTGGAATCTTCATTCTTGGAGGGGTTCAAGACTCAGCTGGATATGGCCCTGAGCAGCTGACCTATTTGGACCTGCTTTGAGCAAGGGGGTTGGACTAATTAATTTCTGGAGATCCCTTCCAAATTACAATTATTCTATTATTCTACGGTATCTTTGCCACTAACTGGGCATATCTAATGGGTGGACATACTGTGCTCTCTGGACCAGCTTCTCAGAGTGGTGTACTCACTACTGCTTTGTTTGTGACCATCTGGGGTTTTTGCACCTCATGGTTCAAGGTTTCCTGAAGAGTCAATTCGGACATATCCCACCATCCAACCCCCTTTTTTCCTATGATATCTAATTATGCACCTTTGGGAATTCGAGGATTTCCCTCTTAGGTGTCTGGATTCTTGCTACCTTCTTGTAGCCTTTGGGAGGGAAGTGGTGGAATTATTTAACTGTGAGACAATTTGCCAAATGAGTTGAGTGGTATAACTGCTTGGTGATATCCAGTGTTAGAATGTATGTGTGGAACTTCTGCCCCAAAGTTACTGTTCTTCAAGGTTTGTATGTATATTTACATCCTTGTTGACATTCCACTGTCTTTAATGTGGTTCTGCACTTCAAATGAATGAGATTTAGACATGCAGCGAGGAAAAGGGGGGTTTTACAGCTCATCATTTAAAGATTCTGCAAAATCTGACCTTCCATTCCTGTGTTGCCTGGTAAGTTCATTGGTAGAATCTGTGTAGCATACATCTCAAAGAATCGATTGATTACTGATAAGAATACTGGTACTCATTTCTTTTCCACCAGAATGTTAAACCAATTTGCAAGATGTGAGCTAAGCATAAGAAAGTCAAAAGGTAGCTGGTATATCTGTATCATTTTAATTCTACTCTATTTCTTGGAATAATTGGATTTGAGAGACTTGATATATATCTGATGGTAGTATAGTTTATGCTGATTTATTGATAGGATTGTTTTGGTACACTAGCTTTTATGTAATTTGACAAAAAACTTGTTTATTTAGTGTTGTAGAAATAGATATGTCAGATTAATAGTGGAGTTATAATATACAAGAACTATTTATGGCTTTTTGATTTTTTGCATTTCAAGATTTGTGGTGGAAAAAGGCTCAAGTGTTGTAAGGAACAGTTGATGCAAATTCTTGCACACGTGAATCATTTTATGACAGAATGATATAAGCCATGTAGCAGCATTTGTAGTTTATTTACGAGATCTAGCATTCTTTGGTACAGCCTGTAAAATGACGTCAGATTGTGAAAGCAATTCCATAAAACTGCATTTGAAATGGCCTCTTTGGTGCAAGTTCCTTGAATTTATGTGTATAGTAACTTGGCTTAGTTTTTTTGCATCCTTGATGTTATGACTGGAAATTTTTGAAGACATGCAGAAAACTTTCAACTATGTACTCTTCCTGATCTGCAAAAAGTATTTTAAAAGCTTAACAGATGGATTTTTCACTTAAGTTTTTAATCTCAGGTTACTTAACTTGCTTTAGCTTGGTCATTCTGTTTCCAACTTGTTTCTCATGTGCTTCTTGTGAGGAAAACTTAGCTTTCTGTTTTTTAAATGATTGCACTTTAAAATATGTTTAACCTTTTAAATTGAACTCAGCAAAACATGAAATTTAATTTAGCTCAGAGTGATTTATCAGCATGGTAATTATTATATTTAATTGGATGCTAACATTCTTTTAATGCTATACTTTTAAAAATTGTTTCTGCTTCATCAAACTTGCATAATACTTGTCTTGCTTCATAATTGCTACCTAATTTTCTTTAGTTTCATTAGGCATCAGTTGATTGAAATGGAGTTAACTGTAGTTTTCTTGTCTTTTTTTCATGAGTTTTTGTCAGCATTTTTTGAATCTGTGCGCACATTGTTTTGGTTTAACCCCAGGCAGCCACTAAGCACCACGCAGCCGCTCACTCACTCCCTGCCCCCCACTGTGGTATAGGGAGGAGTATCGAAAATAAGTAAAACTCATGGGTTGAGATAAGAACAGTTTAATAATTGAATTAAAAGTAAAATAAAATAAAATAATAATGAAAAGGTAGATAACAAAAAGAGAGTGAAATAAAATCCAAGATAGACAAGTGATGCACAGTGCAGTTGTTCACCACCTGCTGACTGATGCTCAGCTAATCCCTGAGCAGTGACCCACCACTCCTGGCCAACTCCTCCCAATTTATATACTGGGCATGACATCATATTTTATGGAATATCCCTTTGGCCAGTTTGGGTCAGCTGTCCTTGGCTGTGTTCCCTCCCAGCTTCTTGTGCAGCCCTAGCCTTCTCGCTGGCAGGGCATGAAAGACTCTTAAACCATCCTCTCCCTTTTTCTTTCCTTATACTTCTCTATGTTGAAACATTTTATATTGTTTCAGAGGAGTATTTTTATCTCTGAGGGATTAATTTGTAATAGGCTCTTAAAGTTTAATTTTAAGAGTAGTACAGAGAAGGAAATGAAAGGCCTTTTATCTCTGAAAAATGTATTTTTCTAGATATTTTAAACAGATTTTTGTTTGTTTGTTTGTTTGTTTGTTTGTTTAAATGGTAAGTTGTTAATCATCAGGTATCCATTTTTTATATAAGACCACTGGAAAACTGGTCTACAAGCCACTGTCCAGCTTGTATTACTAGAAGTAATCAACTAGATACTTCTAGTGAAGCAACTCGGTTTAAATTCTACATGCTTTCTTTTCTTAATCAATGAAGCATTTTAGTGAGAGTCTGAAGTTATCCCTGTTGATGGAGGAGTATTTTTAGATGTACTTCTTGAAATATTTGATGGTTCGTTGACTAAGGATGCACATTATCCCTGAGACTATATTTTCAACATGGTGATTGGAAAACAGGGCATAAATGAAGATAGCATTAGATGGAGTGAAGTAAAACCCTGTGCCTGGAAAGTTGGTTGCACCTGTCTTTGAAACAGAAAGAGAAGAAAACCAATTTCTATTTTGAGCTTCTAATTCTATTAAGGTGTAATATGAGCAGGCTGCATAGTATTTGTTGAAGCAATTTGTTAATGCGTACTTATGTAGCAGGTTCAGAAACCTGGCAGTAGACCTGCTGTCAGAAATGCCAGTGGAATTCTTTCCCCAAATCAGTGCAGTTCCTCTTGACCTACAATATTTTAGTAGGATCAGTACTTTTAGAACCAAATACCTTGTTTTATTTTGTTTTTATTTTTGATTACTATTCTGTTTTCCAAATATTTCCATGTATTCTAACAGGAATTAGAGAAAGAAAGAACAGATCTTATTGAAGATGTGACTATGAACAAAAGGAGGATTAAAGACCTAGAAGATAACCTCTTGTTCCGACTTACAAGCACTAAGAGTTCTCTGGCAGATGATGAGAGTCTAATAATTGTATTGAATAACACTAAGAAGACCTCTGAGGAGGTAACACAGAAACTGCAGACTTCTGTTGAAACTGAAGTACAGATCAACTCAGCCCGTGAAGAGTACAGACCTGGTGAGTGAAGGTAGTGATGAAAGACAAATGACTGGAATGTACGGCTAAAACAGCAGTACTTAGAGCAAGAGAAATGGTAAGATGAGATCAGGAAGACCATAATGGGTGGGAAGGATCTGTGTTTTCCTGTAAGTAAAATGTATCTAGGAAATGTCATATTGAGCTATGGTGGGGAAAATAGTCAGTTATGCTTCATGTGGAATTTATAGAATGGAATGATATATTTTCTTAGACTTCCCATTGCTCTATATACAAGTGTACCTGCCCGTCTAGTGAACTGGGTAAGAAACTTGGGAGGACTTGGTTGTTCTTTTGTAGCTATTAAAATATTGACACTTTTCATGGACTGTCAGTGAGACCAGTCATTAGGGTATTTAGGTAACTGTATGTTTGAGTTCAACACGTAGACATTCTTTTAGGGGGCCAGTATAGGCTTTTTGTAACTGTTTGGATGAATGTTTTGTTCATCCTGTCATAGAACCTTAAGTTATTATAGTCAGCACATTTCATCAGTCTTTTGGCTTTTAACTGACAGGTGAAAGCATGTGAAAAAAGTGAAAAAAAATGCTCTCTGGAATTAAACACTATGCCCGCATTTTAGGAAATGTGAAAAATGGTACAATTAGTGTACCAGAAAACATTGCAGATTTTGTAAAACCTTTGTGTTTAAAACTAAATGGCTGCTGAAGGTAATGGGTACTTGAAATCAATATAGTTCATTTGGCTTTTTTATGACTCATGTAAAAGTCTGTAAAGTGAAATTTGTTTGGGTACTCAAACAGTACTTCAAACCATCTTACTTTTTATGTTCTCCTGATGATCTGAATATTGCAGTGTACCCACATAGAGGCTCTCCAAATATGCTTGTATTTGCAAACTGGGCTCTACATAGTATGCATTAAATACAGAAAAGATTATTTTGTTGTTGTGGTTTTTTGTTTTGTTTTGTTTGGTTGTTTTTTTTCTGATGTATAAATGAGAATTAAATTAATGTTTTAATTATTTTCTGTCCAGTAAAGAATGGAGCAACTCAAGGATCTTCAGTTAGCATTAGTGTTATACTCACAGTACCTGTTGTAGAGAGCTGAAGTTTTCTGCTCTGCATTTCTACTTTGAATACAGTCTTGTTTCCTGTCCTTCAGTTGCAACTCGAGGTAGCATCTTATACTTCCTTATTACTGAGATGAGCATGGTCAATGTGATGTATCAGACTTCACTTCGGCAGTTTTTGGGGCTTTTTGACCGCTCCCTAGCCAGGTAATTTAGCTAAAAATAAGTGTCATTTGTGTTTACCCAGTCCTGGAGGTGGTTGTAGTGCAGTAAAGATTTGTTGTAAACTAATGTCAAAAAGAAGGGTGTTGCTCATTACAGTCTTGACAGGAATTGTCAGTTTAAATACCCATAACCCTTTGTCCGTTAGTTACCAAGGCAAAGAACCTTCAAATGTATGTACAGTCCTAAAAATTAGGCATTCGGTAATTAAAAACCAGTATACTGTGCTGATTTTCACAGCCTTGATTAGAAAGGAATTCAGACTTGACTAGAAATGAATGCTTATTTGTTGCTCCTTGTCCTGGGTTTGAGTGAGTGGTGGAGTTTTTTGCTGGCAGGGGAGGGGGCGATAGGGGTGTCCCCCTGTGAGAAGCTTCTCGAAGCTCCCCCAGCTCCAAGTCAGCTCCACCTCTGCACCAAAACTGAGCCAATCGGCTGCGCCTCTGCAATAATGTATTTAAGAAGGGATGTGGTGAGGAGCAGTGGGACTGGTGAGGAGGAGTTGGGGCAGCGGCGTGAACACCAAGGTCAGTGGAGGAACGGAGGAAGAAAGGAGGGAGGAGGTGTGCCGGAGCAGAGACCCCCCTGTATCCTGTGGTGAGACGGCAGGGTGGCCCCCCCCTGCCACAGCTGCCACCCATGGAGATCTACAGTGGAGTAGACACTGATTTATGGCTTGTGTTTTGCCTGGATGATCAAGGTTCTGTTCCCGAAGAAGGCCAGGGTCTCGTGGGAAAAGGCAGCCCCGCTGCTGTAATTCAGCGCTGGGAGGATTGCAGCATGCGGGGGTGTCCCACGCCAGAGCAGCTCGGGAAGGGCTGCAGCCGTGGGAGGGACTCCAGTTGGAGAAAGTTGGTGTCACACGCTGGAGCAGTGTGGGGAACGTTGTGGCCTGTGGGAGGGACTCACATTGGAAGGGGTTTGTGGAAGACTGTTTCCTGTGAGAGGGGAACTATGATGGAGCAGGGGGAACAAGTTCCAGAAGCTCCCCCCAGCGAAGGTGGTAGAAGTGGCAGCACTGACTGCACCCCCCATTCCCTGCCCCTGCGCCACTGAGTGGAGGAGGTAGAGATATCGGGAGCAGAGCTGAGCCCGGGAAGAAGGGAGGGGTGGGGGGAAGGTGTTCTCAAGGTGTGGCAATGCTTCTCACTGTCCTGCTCCATGAAGTGTTGTTAGTGTCTGTAATAAATGTATGTTTTTTCCTTTTCCCTAACGAGTCTGCCTTTTGCCTGTGACCATAATGGGTGATTTGCCTCCCCCAGTCCTATCTCGAATCCCAAGCCTGGCTTATTTGTCCCTTCTTATTGCTGGGACAGAAGGGAGGAGTGAGCTACTGTGTGGTGCTCTGAGCTCAAACCATGACACTCCTTCAATCTGAAAGTTGTTTCTAGCTTGCTGCCTGGTATTCTGTGTTTGTGATCTATTGTTTTTTCATGTTTTGAATGCTCTGAACTATGACTTTTTGTCTTGTAGATAGTATTTCCTTTAATAAAGCCTGTGCAAATCAACATTCAACTGCAAACCTTTCTTCCAACAGGTCTACCAAAAACCCTATAACTAGCAAGAGGATTACTAATATTATTGAACATATGACATATGAAGTGTTCAAATATACTGCGCGAGGACTCTATGAGGAGCACAAATTTCTTTTCACGTTATTACTCACATTGAAGATTGATATACAGAGAAACAGAGTGAAGCATGAAGAATTTCTGACACTTATTAAAGGTTGGAACTATGAAACAATTTTAAGTAGAGCCCATATATTACTGTAGAAAATTTGTGAGCTGTAGTTATATCTCATAGCCAACCTGATGCTTCTTTTGCACACAAGAAGCCAGTCAATTGAAAGAATACATGATTATCATTCTGTTCTGGTGACAGTCGACAATGTATGGTAGTTTTGATTTATAGCAGCACACTGAATATTGATAAATACAATTTTGAGAATAATGAGAATTTAAAAAGAAAATTGTTAAGTATCCTTTCAGTTGATGTTTATGTCTGCTGCTCAAATACCACCAGGTATGTGTGTGACTTAGAAAAATCATTATTATACTAAACATCTTTTAGTTTACTTGATAACTACAGGAGGATGAGCAAGGAAATAGGAACAGAAAATGATGCTAATGGTTTAGAAGAATATCAGACTCTTAGCTGAATGTGACAAATTCATGGCTTTAGTCTTAACTGTATGCAAGCACTGTGTATCTTCACTTGAAAGCTTGGAGTTATTTTGTATTACCTTTCCAAGATACATAATTTTCCAGGCAATGTTTATTTATGGATTATAACTGTTAATTCTTCCAAATAGTAAATCCTCAAAAGATAAACTGGCTAACAAAGATTAAGTTTAAGGTACATCATTAAAAAAAACCCCAAAAAGCTAACTCTGCTTCACCAAAGATGGCATAACTTTATAAGGTAGGAAACCCCTGTAAACTCATGATTAAAAATCTGGATTCTTGTAGCTCGTGTTTTATTTTTATTTTATGTTTGCTTTATTTTAGCTTTAGTTGAATTCCAAGGAAAGCAAATATGAATATTGGCAAAGTTATTACAGTATCTATAACAACAAAAAATCCTAAGAAAATAATATTGAAATTAAACTTCTTCAGTTTTTTCTCCATAAACTCAAGCTTATTCATTTACAATGGAAAGTAGATGTAGCTTGTAATGGGAAGCTGTTATGGATTCTTAAAAAATTGTGTTTTAAAGTAAGATGAAAAATAAGATTTGAAAATAAACTTTGCATGATACCTAACTCAGAAATTTCTTTATGACCGTCCTTAGTTATTAAGTAATCTCTTTCCAGACTGGGAATACTTAGTCATGTGAAATGAGTAGTTGCAGTATCTAGTTTGCATTTTTCAAAGAGGTCCTATTTTATTTATTTTTTTTTATTTGTCTTTTGGGTGTCTTCAACAATTCCAATTCTTAATTTCTTGCAGGTGGTGCTTCCCTAGACCTTAAAGCTTGTCCTCCTAAACCAGCTAAATGGATTCTGGATATGACTTGGCTGAACTTGGTGGAGCTTAGTAAGCTTAAACAATTTTCAGATATTCTTGATCAAGTAAGTAAGAGATTTTAAAAATGAATCTCTTATTTGATGGTGACCATCTGGTAGTGATCAAGGCATGTGGTGGGAGACTGGTTTATTTTCTAGAACAGAAAGAAACTGATAGCAGATAGCCACAGTTGTGGCCCTGACTGCCTAGCAACTTTTATTGATAAAAAGACCTAACCACCACCACCACCCCCACACACAAAATAAGAAGAAAGTAGAATGTTTCACACTCAATATAATTATAATACTTTCAGATTGAAATACAACTTGCTATTATCCAATTCGTGTAATGCAACTTGAATCTTCGTCCTGTTGTTAGACTATCTTGCATCACTGTTGTGCTTTCTTACACAATATTTTATGAGTCTTGTTCCAATATTTCTCTGATTATATTCAGTAAGATTTAGGGAAAGGGTGTTCTGTACATTCAACAGTTGTATGAATAGTCTTAACAGACATTAAACGTGTGGTAGCTAATGGAATAAATAACTAGCATTTGATATACGTGAAGAGTACCTTCTGTACAGTTGTGTGAGGAGCAGATATGTAACTAGTGTTCTCAAAGCTATGTCTGAGCCTAGCTATCTGTTCTGACTTTGCTATGCCATTATATCATTAATGGAAAATACTGAGTAGTAGCTCATTTTTTTTCAGAATGTGAATACTTAAGGGCATCGTTGCATTCTACAATTTTGTACTTAAAATCTGAAAGCTTATACTCTCCTTTTTTGATAGCCTTGCTAAATGTGTGTACTAGCATTGCTAAACAAATGCCTGTGTGTGGATTACGTGTCTCTGACCCTCATTAAAAGTTTGTGACCTAGTGGCAGTTGAAATGTGACTTTTTTATTTAGTGAGATTTAATCCTTTGATGGTATAATTTCAGATTTCCAGAGCAGAGAAACAGTGGAAAATCTGGTTTGATAGTGAGAATCCTGAAGAAGAACTAGTTCCTAGTGGCTATGGTCAATCCCTGGACTGCTTCAGACATCTTCTTCTTATCAGATCGTGGTGTCCGGACAGGACCATAGCTCAGGTACATTTATATAGCCAACATAGTCTACTTCAGTGTCATTAGAATAATAGTTACAGGATAGCAGTTCAATACTTTTTTATTTAATGCTAAACTTTTTGCAATGGACCTTCACATTGCATTTTAAAAAAATTTTTTTTCAGACAATTTGTGCATTTTTTTATAAGGGCAGTGTTAGCACAATTATTCAATACGCTGAAAAAATATCAGCCAATGATTTTACTATGGAGAAAGGATTTCATCTGGAAACATATGTTTTTATCCAGTTCTGCTTTATCAGTTTACCTTGCTGATATTACTCACTGGGATTATAGAAGTGTCTTCATGTTAGGCTGAAGTTAAAATCCTTTTAGACTGAAATAAAATATTTTAAAATGTTAGGCTGAAGTAAAATCTTTTCATGAACTCAGTTGGCTGAGTGAAAACAAAACATTCAATTGAGGAACCATTTATTGCACAGAAGAGTTAGACTCACCTTAGAAAAATCTATCTTAAGGTCTGATCAAAATTTTTCATTAAAAGACAATGATTTACAAAAGAGATAAATATAAAAATAATGTTTATTAAATGGTTAGACCTTATTTTAAGAAAAATCGGCTTCTAGGAACCTATTTTTAATCTCTATGTTCTTCTCCTGTGCAAAAGAATAAAAATTATGCAGTTGCGGACAATTTCAGAGTAATGGTTGGAAGTTTACTGAAGCCATAATGCATCACTAAAAGTGTGGTGTTAATTTTACAGATGCAAACCTTTAGATATTGTGACTGGATTCAGAGAAAGTCTCAGCAGTTACTGGTATAACTGCGGTCAACAGAAGGTTAAATTGTACTGTATAATAAATCTCAGACATGTGATGTTTGTCTGAAATGGATCGTGCAAAATTAGTTCCTCAGTTCTGTTCATGGGCGAGATACACTTTCATCTTATGATGGTTTTATGAAAATTGATGGTTTATTAAATACTAAATGCTGGATATCTTTTGTCTCTGAGAAGCAACCCAGAGGTATTAAGGGGAAGATTGGTTTAGGACAAAAGCAATGTCGTGATAAAGAATACAAGGAAGACCATCTCAGACTGTTTGAAAAAGAGCCTTTTCTATTTCTTAGTAAAAAGGAGCAATAATCTAACAATTTTCAAAATAAATGAATAAGAAGTAACAGAGATAGTCCTCACCTGTTCCTCTGGATCTTCTACTTAGTGACAGTTATTTTCATTATTGCCAGTAGTAAGTCATTGCTTGTTTAAACACAAAGGTGGGAAAGTCCTAATACTTTTGAAGCATATCTTCCATCCTTTTCTCCTTTTTCTCTAGTATTTATTAGAAGTTATACTATCTAATGAAGATATCATCTTTAAATCATTAAAACCTTTCTAAAGGTTTAGTAAGATTATTATTTTTATTATACTGTAATTATAGATATTATAGATAACAATACATCTTGATATATGTAGTATAATAATTCTTTTTAAATTTTTAACTGGTTTTATAAGACTGTAAGAATTAACATCTTCAAAGATAGTATGATACGTTAACATGTAAAAATACATTTGTTGCATATTTGTATTTCTGATATAAATTTATAACAGCCTTAGTTCTTCAGTTTACTTATTGCTTGTATTTACACTGGGAAGAAAACAGTATTAAATGATTATGTCACAGGTTAAATTTACCCTTTTTAATATAGGCCAGGAAATACATCATTGACACTATGGGAGAGAAATATGCGGAGGGAGTCATCTTGGACTTGGAGAAGACATGGGAAGAGTCAGATCCACATACTCCTCTCATATGCTTTCTTTCCATGGGCTCTGATCCTACAGACTCAATTATTGCTTTGGGAAAAAAACTGAAGACAGAGACACGTTATGTTTCCATGGGCCAGGGCCAAGAAATCCATGCTCGTAAACTTCTACATCAGACAATGGCTCATGTAAGAGACAAAAATCTGAATGGTTTTTGTATCTATATTGAACACTTAGAAATAAAAATCCTGTCATGAAATAAAGTTATTTGGTGGGTAGTTACTGCTGATGCAAAAATCTATATTTACTTGTATGAATGAGTGTCCTAAGCAATAGAACTGTCTTTTCATAGTCATTTAATTGGCCATAACAAGCCTTTCGATACTGTGCAGACATCAGTGTTTTTCATATAAAATGGAGTTTTTGTTGCAGGTTGTTGGCTGTTATACATAGCTGAATTGATTGTTTGGATTGCATGAATATTAAATATTCTTCAGCAAGCATTTCACATTTTTTCAGTTTTGTATTTTTAGAAATACAGTCATATTTTGTTAAATGAAGAAGTTTAATTCCAAATATACTATTGATAGTTACATAACCTTGAGGAAAACAAGACTCTATAGCAAAATATTTTGTATTGCTGTAATCTGGATCTTGAATTGGAATGAACAATCTGATAGCACAGGCATTTTACAAGTGAAACATGGAAGAATTAACGAATAAAATTTCCTGCATGAGAAAGAAAAGCTGAGATCTTCCCATATAGCATGCTTTGCTGATCAGGTGGTTGTACTGCTATGCCTGCTGATGTGAACAGAGTAAACTTCTTGCGCTCCTACGTTATGAGCCATTTCCTTGTCTATATAACCGGTTTTCCCCTGACTTTTGCCTCAGATTCTTATTTGACAACTTCACATTAAGAGCTAATTAGCAGATCACATGAGAAGAAACTCGTTCAAAACATAGGGAAGAAAAGCTCCTTTTGTTTGATTGAGAGAAATGCAGTTACTTTCCCTCACTGTCTCACATACTCTCTTAATGAAGAGGTATGCAAGATGTCTATATGAAGTATGGTAATGCACATGAGGAAGTCAGATGTCTATTGATTGGTAGCAATAGATTAAGTAAGTATGTATATTTAGTTATTTTCCAAGCCAGTGACCCTCATGAGGAACAAGGTTTAGCAGCTTGGTCTATGGAGCTACTTCTGAGCTCCCTTTATATAAATCAAGATTTATCAGATTATCAACACTATAGTCATGTCCAGATATGTTTTAAATGTGCTGAAAAGGAAAAGGTAGAAACTGCTGGAGAAGACCAGATGGGACAAATAAGGCAAGTAAAGACCACTTGTTTAGATGATAAAACCAAACAAGCTAGCAGTGCCTTCAGCAAGAACAGCCCAGAGCTTAGCTCACATGAGCTTTCTTTTGGAGAAAACCCGCTCTGTTAACTGTATGTGTACCATTACTATGGATGCTGATCTCTGTTTGCACATGAAATCAAATGATTAAGGCCTTGGTTTTGATTTGGTGAGCCAGTGTTGCAAAACTGACTGTGGAGGATTTCTTCCTTTAACAGCTCTGATAAGTATAACAGGCTATGTTTTGCTATGGCTTAGATGTGTTGGCTTTGTTCCTACAGCATAAGCAAAGAGTGATTTTAGTGGTTTCAGTTAGTAAACAGTGTTGATAACATTATACTCTGTTGTTTTAAACTAGGGAGGTTGGGCACTTCTGCAAAACTGCCACCTTGGACTTGACTTTTTGAAGGAGTTGATGGACACTGTAATAGAGACAGAGACTGTCCATGAAAGCTTTCGACTGTGGATGACAACTGACATTCACAAACAGTTCCCCATCACCCTTCTTCAAATGTCTATTAAGTTTACCAATGAACCACCACAAGGGCTCAGAGCTGGGCTAAAGAGAACATATAGTGGTGAGTGATAGAGTGCTAATGATTTAAAATTAAATTTTACTCATTTTTGGACTCTCTGGTGTTATCATGTGTTCACACTGTAGCCAGTGATAGTAGGTGTAAGCTAGTATAATAATCACAATGATGCCAGGACATATCTTGATCCTTGGTTTGAGCTAGAAGTTCTGAAAATTAAAAGGAAGAGAAGATCTGCTGAAGTTCGGTTGCCAGAAGTAGTTGGACAGCAAAACAGGAAATGCTTTTACTTTTTCCAAATCTTGGCTTCTAATATCTCAGTTCAAAGTGTTTAAATTTTGAACGTTCTTGTGTCTTTTGGCAGAAAAGTGACATGTTAATCTTTGTTGACTATTAAGTGCTCTTTACATTGCATTGCATAAAATAAAGGTCTAAGAGCCTGTGCAGAAAGCAACTTAATGTGAATTCAGCTATTAGTAAGTTGTGGGATTTTTTTTTTTCCTGAAGTTTTCTCTTTTAATTTGAGCAGCAGTTTAATAACATGCTATAAACTTTCCAGCATAGAACACTTTGTAGGACAACAGTTTATTCTTGGGAGAGGCAGAGAGCCAACTCAATATCTCCAGGAGTGATGTTTTAGCAATGATTTGAAGTAGTTTTGAAAAATACTATTACTGTGTGTCTTATAAAGCCCACTTACAATCAATAGGTGTCAGCCAGGACTTACTAGATGTCAGTGACATGGTACAATGGAAACCGATGTTGTATGCTGTAGCCTTTCTACACTCTACTGTTCAAGAAAGACGCAAGTTTGGATCTCTGGGTTGGAATATACCCTATGAGTTTAATCAAGCTGATTTCAATGCTACTGTGCAGTTCATTCAAAACCACTTGGATGGCATGGATGCAAAGAAGGTAATTAATGTTTCTGTGGGGAAGGTGGATTCGAGTAATACATCTTTCTATTAGTGGAATATATATACATGGTTCCCAGTAACTGAAACACAAACATTGTTTTGTTCCACAAGCATTCAGCATTCTGAGTATACATGTCTGTAGAGCAGCAGGTTTAAATTAGGCTTCTAATCCTATGCATGTTAAATTTCTATATTAACCTGTACATTAAAAAAATAGTTTTAAATCCCTCCCAGCTGTCTCCTTCAGAAATATAAACCTTAGAATTAAAGACCTTTTTTTTCAATACTAGTTAAGTCAGATAGTTAAAAATGTCACCCTGTATTTAAAATACTATTTTGTTTAAATCTATTTTGAGTAAAAATAATAAGATTTGGCTCCTCCAACCCATCTCAGCAGCATAAAGAAATTGAAAGTGACTTTAAATGACTGTGTAAGAATTCCTCTTGCATTCCTCACTTTCGTATGGTCAGTTGTTGTATAGAGGTCTGTGGCAGATCACTTTGTGATTGGCATTTTAAGTGAAGTTGAAAGCATTATTGGGGTGTAGCTGTATCCCTCTTGCCCAGATGCTGGAATAGCCTCTTGATTTAGTTGTCAGTTAATTCTATTTTGAGAAATCCTTGAGGGTGTTCTTGGAATGCAGGGTTACAGGAAAAAAAGAGTAGTAAGAAAATAACTTTCTTCCAAAAGGGACAGAGATGCAGGACTTGGTATATCAGCTGTTCTTGCTATGGAAAATGTAAATAGGTGAGAAGAGGATTAGCTAACATATCAGTGCTTTCTGCTTGGTTTTAGGGGATCTCCTGGAGTACTGTTTGTTACATGATAGGTGAGATCCAGTATGGTGGCCGTGTGACAGATGACTATGACAAAAGACTCATGAACACCTTTGTAAAGGTTTGGTTCAGTGAAAATACATTCAGTCAGGAATTCAGCTTCTACAAAGGATACAGCATACCCAAATGTGCTGTGGTGGATCAATACCTTCAGTACATACAGGTTTGTAAATAAACGCTTTTTAACACAAAACAACCCAATTCACTAGTTTCTCACAAGTTCCTGACTCCCTATGTATTGTCTTTTCTTCTGAGTACCTGTATTTTGTCTTTTATTCACATATTCTTTATTGTTTTCTAGCAGTCTTCATATCTATTAGTGACAACTAATTGTTATCATTGCCATGACAGGAATCTTTTCTTTTTCATGTAATTTGCTTGAGGGACATACCTGAAGGCATGCAGTTATTAAAGAGGTCAAAGAATGGAGTCCAAGTATTGGGCACAATCTCACAGTAATAAAAAGCGTAGATACATGAAAGTACAAGCTGACTATTAAAATAGCATATAGAGGTTAAAACTGAATTTGTTGTTAACTTTGGTGTGACCCTTGGTGTGATTTGCACTGTGACATGACAAATAGATCACAGCAAGTTATTTGGTTATTTGCCCTAAGACTGTTTGAAGACATCTAGTCTCTTACTTTACAATGCAAGAGGTTGTTTTTATGTGTATGTTACTTGGTTTTGCTGTGATGATGTGATTTTTGTTGTTGTGTTGTTTGTTTGTTCCGGGTTTGTTTTGTTTTGTTTTTTTATAGTTGGGTTATAAATCCATCTCCAGCTGTGTTCTTTTTATATTTTACTATGTTGTAGACTCTTCCTGCTTATGATACACCAGAGGTGTTTGGTTTGCATCCCAATGCGGATATCACTTACCAAAGTAAACTTTCCAAAGATGTATTGGACATCATCCTCAGTATTCAGCCTAAAGATAGCTCTGGTGGAGGAGGTGAAACCCGAGAGGCAGTTGTAGCCAGACTGGCTGATGATATGCTGGAAAAGCTTCCTGCTGATTATGTACCATTTGAAGTGAGTCAATGAAATTTTGTCAAAAACATTTGCTTCATCTTGCTTTGTTTGGATAAAAAAAGAGAAGTAGTAACTATATTAATTTTTCTAACAGCATGTCTGAATTCACTCATACAGGCAATACTTCAAAAACATATTTTAAAGGAGTCTGACCAGACTCTTAACATTAATAATAAAGTCACCAAATGTACACTGAAGTGTTTTTGTAAGAGCTTTTTCAAAATACTAAACCACTTAAAGCTTAACTTGTCATTTGCACTATGGGGGAGGTAGGATCATCAGCTTTTAACTAAGTTTGTTGACACTGTAGAGAACTGAGGGTGTGTTGCAAGTGTATTCATGCTTCTAAAAGTACTACAGCTTTAACATATGTATTACTTTGGGATTCAGCTTACATGTTGAAGATGTGTTAAGTTGCTTTCTTCTTCAGTGAAGTGAATGATGAAAAGCTTGTCAAGTGGTAGATTTCATTGATTGAAGCCTAGAGTTAGTATCTCAGGATTCATAATAACATGTAACAGCCTATGTAATTATATTTGTAATGGACACCTGCTGCCTTCCAGCCATTTCTTTTCTGAAATAGCAACTTTCTGGTTATGTGGAAGATGAAATGACTCTCAAAGTGAGAGGGTTTTACAGTTAGAAGACATTTACTGGTGATTGAATGCATGGAATACATGAACACTCCAATTGACTGTATTGTGTCCTGATCCGGGACTACAGTTTGATTGAATGTTTGGACAATTTGTGTTGTTTCTGTGTCTTATTCCATAGTTCTTAGTTGTCCTTTGTAGCCCCAGAATTTTAGGTTGCTGACATTATAGTTCTTCCCAGATGAGGCTGATTACGAGCTTCAAACAAAAGATAGGAAAATGCTTATAAAATAGTTAAGGTTCTTATATTTCCTGTGTCAGGGCATGCTGAACTTATGTATTTCATTGTAGTTGTGAAAGCTTAAAAGCAAGTGAGATTAGTTATGTCAGTAATAAAGCATTTACAATGCTTCTGTTATGAAATGGATGTGAATGGCCCCAATGTGTGGTCAGAAAGAAGTTCACACCCATGTTTATACTTTCATAGATTCCCAAATAAGCCACCTGCTCATCTAAGTAGTAAGATGTTTTATTAACTAGATAGTTTGCCTGCCATCTCCTTCTTGAGGAGACTGAAATCTTTTATCCTTAACCTTCTGCCATTTTACTTACTCTTTAATGGAAGTTAACTTTGTATCAGGTCCTCATGCTAAGTTGCTTATGAATGCCAGATTTCTTCTGTCAGGATGCTGAGCTATGAGAAGGAGCAAGGGGACTTGTACAATCTAAGGCCCTCTTTTCTGTTTTTACACAGTAATAAGTTTCCCTTATGTGGGATATGCTTATGAGTATAGACTATATTCAAGTACCCCTGCCTTACATCTGTTGTTTTGCGTTTTCTGTAGCCCATTTTCTATTATGTAATCTTCCTTCCCTCAAGTGACATAATTATAATCTATTTTATCTGAACAGATGGGTTAATGTTTCTGAATTCGGAATACTGATTATCTGTCAGTCTTCCAAAAGTTTGCACCTGATGAAGTTTCTGACCTACAGTCTTTCTAGAAGCCTGAGCTTTATGACTTTCCAAAAGACTGAACTAGGTGTCTAAGATCTGCTAAGGATTGAAATTTGTTGATTTTCTCTGAAGGGTACTGCTTTATTCATGGGCTAAATCTCCTGGTAGTTGTTAGTCCAAGTCTCTTCAAATTCTACTCGACATCTCCAGAAATAAACATGTGGTTTAATAAAGACATATCTTATTAGTTTCATTGTATAGTTACAGTTAGCCCTGTTAAGTTTACAAGAGCTCTTTTTGGGCAGATCAGCTCTGATCAGAAATGACAAATTGAAATTTAGTTTCCATTAATAAAAGTGAATGTGGAGCACTAAACTTTTTCATATGGTGAAAACTAAATTCCATTTTTGTGTAGCAAAATACTGATAAACTTATAAAGGATATGCATATTACTAAGAACAGGACAATTACCCTGTATAGGATTAAATTCCTGTTATATATATAATTTTTTCACCCAGTAGGACCATACTGACTACAAAATTTTTATTTAAGTCCATACAGTTGTTGTTAATTTGTTAACTTTAGAGTTTTGATTAAAAATATATCAGCAAAGTTTATTAGAATACAAGACTGACTGGCATTTTGATATTTCCCAGTCATTTCTGATAAACAGTGCTACTATGCTGAGGCAAAGTGGCTGGAGCAATCTCTCTTGAGTGGTTTGTGCAAAGTGAACCTTGGGAACTGTCTGTTGGAACTAAAGCTGAAATCCTTAGACTAAAAACTTAGCCAGTCTCAGCATTATAGATTTCTCCTGGAACAAATCCTGTATTTCTATCTTGCAGAGGATTCAAAGAAGATGCCAAACTGACCGTTTAACTTCCTAAATAAAAGTATTATGTCTTAAAAATTTTATTGAGGCCTAACCTTGACATAATGCCAACTTTGCTTTTTACTTCTGTTGAAGGATCTTTGGTTTTCTACCTACAGGTAAAAGAGAAACTAAAGAACATGGGACCTTTTCAACCTATGAACATATTTTTGCGACAGGAGATTGAACAAATGCAGAGAGTTATTTCCCTAGTGAGAAGCACTCTGACTGATCTAAAACTTGCCATTGATGGGACAATAGTTATGAGTGAAAATCTGAGGGATGCTTTAGACTGCATGTATGACGGAAGGATTCCAGCTAGCTGGAAAAAGGTAGGCGTACATCACTTGTTTTGTAAGGGAAAAAAAATAATTATTTCTGTAGATCTAGATTAAGCTACTAGTTATACAGTAAATACTTTTTTCAAACACAAGTGTTAACCAGAACTCTGCAACTGCTGGAATAGATTTTGGGCTAAAATAAACACAGTCAAAACAAGGTCTCTTTCATTTATAAAAATAGAAGTGAATGTGGAAGATGCAGGTATTTCCCATTTTAACAGCCTGCTACATACTGTGAGGAGAAAAAAGTTAGAGAGAAGAGAATAATTTAAAATACGATGATGGATTTTAGAAAAATAGTGGGCTACATTCTTGCTATTCTTTGAGATTAAAATTAAGATTTGTACTCATAGAAATAGAGAATAGTAGAGTCTGTAAGGGACCTCTGGAGGTAGTCTAATTTAACCCCACTTCTGAAAGAAGGGTCAGTTAGAGCAGGTTTTCCAGGACTCTCCAGAATCAAGAGTCAACATCCTCTCTGGGCAACTTGTTCCAGTGTTTGATCACCCTTGCTGTTAAAAACAACCAACGAAATCACCAACCAACCAAACAACATACCCCTTAACTTTAAAAGGAATTTCACGGAATTGTAGAATGGTTTGGGTTGGAAGGGACTTTAAAAATCGTCTAGTTCTAACTCCCCTGCCATGGGCAGGGCCCCCTTCCACTAGACCAGAGTGCTCCCAGCCCCGTCCAACCTGGCCTTGAACCCTTCCAGGGAGGGGGCACCCACAGCTGCTCTGGGCACCCTGGGCCAGCGCCTCACCCCCCGCACAGGGAAGGATTTCTTCCTTAGATCTAATCTAAATCTACCCTCTTTCAGATTAAAACCTATCATTACACCCCATGATAAAGGGTCCCTCCCCACCTTTCCTGGAGTCTCCCTTTTAGTACTGGAAGGCCGCTCTAAGGTCTCCCTGGAGCCTTCTCTTCTCCAGGCTGAACAACCCCAACTCTCTCAACCTGTCCTCATATGAGAGGTGCTCCAGCCCCCTGATCATCTTCGTGGATTCCTCTGGACTCGCTTGAGCAGGTCCACGTCCTTCTTACGTTGGGGGCCTCCAGAGCTGAACACAGCACTGCAGGTGGGGTCTCACGAGAGCAGAGTGGAGGGGGAGAATCCCCTCCCTCAACCTGCTGGACACGATTCTCTTGATGCAGCCCAGGATACCGTTAGATTTCTGGGCTGTGAGTGCACATTTCTGGCTCGTAGTCCATCCACTAATACCCCCAAGTCCTTCTCCACAGGGTTATTCTTAATCCACTCATCACCCAGCCTGAACCTGTGCTTGGGATTTCCCCAACCCATATGCAGGACCTTGCACTTGGCCTTGTTGAACTTCATGAGGTTTGCCCAGGCCCACCTTTCCAGCCTGTCAAGGTCCCTCTGGATGGCATCCCCTCCCTCCAGCGTGTCGACCGCACCACACAGCTTGGTGTCATCGGTGAACTTGCTGAGGGTGCACTCGATCCCACTGACCATGTTACCAACAAAGTTGTTAAACAGTGCCAGTCCCAGCACCGACCACTGAGGAACACCACTCGTCACCGCTCTCCATTCTGACATCAACTCTTTGAGTGCAGCCATCCAGCCAATTCCTTATCCACTGAGTGATCTATCCTTCAAATGCACGTGTCTTCAAGGATGTCATGTGGGACAGTGTCAAATGCTTTGCCCAATTCCAGGTAGATGACATCAGTTGCTTTCCTTTATCCACCAGAGCTGTAACCCCATAGTGGAGGGCCACCACATTTGTCAGGCACAATTTGCTCTTAGTGAAGCCATGTTGGCTGTCACCAATCACCTCCTTATTTTCCATGCACCCCAGCATATTTTCCAGGAGGATCCGCTCCATGACCTTGCCAGGCATAGAGGTGAGACTGACTGGCCTGTAGTTCACTGGGTTTTCTTTTTTTTCCCTTTTAAAATTGGGGGTTATGTTTCCCCTTTTCAAGTCAGCAGGAACTTCAGCAGACTGCCATAACTTCTCAAATATGATGGATAGTGGTTTAGCTACTCTGTCCACCAGGTCCCTCAGGACCTGTGGATGCATCTCATCAGGTCCCATGGATCTGTGCACCTTCAGGTTCTCACATTTTGTCCTGTGCTCGTTTCCTATCTGATTTTGCAAAAACTTCTTAAAATGGACAGTTACCACAGCATGTCTAAATGGAATGGTGGGCATGAATTTGAAAAGAGCAAGAATTTGCATCAGGTGTCAGTGGGATGCAACCTTTATCTGTCTGGTTAAAAGTTATGATATGAAAAATGAGCTTGAAATATGCTTTGATAATATTATGTTGCTCACTACCTTGTGAGGAATTACCTTTTCTTGACATGAATATGGTGTTTTAAAACTGTTGAATAAATTTTTAAAATGAACGTGCTGTTTACAATTTTTAGGCATCTTGGGCTTCCAGTACACTTGGTTTCTGGTTTACTGAGCTTCTAGAAAGAAACCACCAATTTTACAATTGGATTTTTGAAAGCCGGCCAAGCTGCTTCTGGATGACGGGGTTTTTTAATCCTCAAGGATTTTTAACTGCAATGAGGCAGGTAAATTGTGATTAAAGTCTCAATCTGCTTATTCTTTGATATACTTACCTTTAAATATATATATTGTGTGCTGAAAGCTGGACTATACACATGGCTCCATCATGTCAGCAGGGAAGATAAGTGACTGCATAACTGTCTAACATTTCCTGACTGAACTGATTTTACTCTGCACATACTTTTTCAGTGTATCAACTTCTGTGTTAAATTATATTTCCTACTTTGACCGAGCCCCATGTATGTAGTGGCTACCTTACAACCTTGTAGACGGGAGAAGTAATGTCTCATGTTACCACTGAGATATTCCTGGGAAGAGGTGTTAAGCCCATTAATTGATTTTCCCTTTTTCCCTCCCTTTTGGTCTGTGTTCAGTACTTACCTGGCTGGAGACTTGCCAGAACAGCTATTCAGAATTAGTTGTAAATTACACTTCTGCAGTTCAGTTGATGATTCAGTCTCTCTTCATGAAGTGGGGAAGAGTTTCCTTTATTAATGCATGCTAAGTATGAAGTTTGATTTATTTGTTAATGTATCTACCTGTCACCTTAGTGATTGTGTTGGTTGCTCAGCGCACTAGTTGCAATTGACAAATGAGCTACTTTTTACTTTAAAAGCGAGCAATAAACACCCATATTGGTTGGCATAAAGGGACACACTGGATACTAATTGTCTGGAATTTCTAAAATTGGGAAAGAATACTCAGGTTTGAATCCAATGGGATCTCAGGAAAAAGCTGACTTTTGGAGGAGAGAATGAAGATTTGCAGAGCAGTAAAATATTCCCTCTTTCTCTGAGGTTTGGGTAGTATAATCTTCAACTGTCCATCTGGAGTACTAATTGTTGACCTCTTCTACTAAAATTGTAGGCATATAGCCTTGGAATTATATAACAAGATATTTCGTTTGAGTAAACAGTTCTAAACTGGGATTTCTTTTGGACCCAAGCTTGTGGAAAAGGTTTAGTAGCAGGATCTGAAACAGTTGGAATCAATGGAACTTTTTGGTTCCCCAAGGAGAAAATGTGGGTATAGCACAACCTAATGTCCCAAGTAAAAAACAAAGAGAATTTCTAGGTTTTGCTGTGTGGTTAAACAAATAGAAATGAGACAGATGAAGAGCCAGAACAATCATTGGACTACAACCCTTCCGGTCTTTTAAACCAACTAATGAATTGTAGTGTGGAACAAATATTAATTCCAATTACTTCAAACATATATTGGAAAACATTTACAAGACTGGGTTGAAACGTAGGTCTGGCATGGGATAGTAAAGGACTGGGCAAGATAAAGGGGTGTTGTCCAGTGCACTAACTGACTAAATTTGAAGAATATGCTTAATCTTAAGCATTCCTGTCTTCAAGTGTTCCCTGGGATTTTTGCAGTCTCTTTATGTAACTTTAGAGCTAAGTGAGTTCCTATTCATTGTTAAGAATAGAGTTAATGAAGAGTATAGGTATGGGAAAAGGAAAGTAACCCCAGAAAATATGCAGCAAATTGTACATTTTGCTTTTGTCATTGGAACTGTTTTACTTAGCACATGCAGCTAATGTTTTCTCATCTCATGAAAGATGTAAAATTTTCATATTTGCAACAGCCAGTTACCGTTTGCATTCAGTGGTTATGTTACTTGGTATGGTCTTAATATTTTGTATATAATAGAAAGATTGAAAATCGGATGTAGTGGTTAAAGAACTGAAATCTTTCTCTTAGTACCATGCCATCACTAGCTTAGAGAGAAGTCAAACTGCTGTAAACGTGGATATCATAAAAAGTTATTTTTTTTATATTGAAGAGGATAAATTATGACCATACAAGTATGTTTCTAATAAATGCCTGGAAAAAATCGGCTCTTTGCACATGTTAAAATGTAACCTCCATATTTTCTTCTATTTTGGGCAGGAAATAACAAGGGCTAACAAAGGATGGGCTCTTGACAGTGTAGTGCTATGCAGTGAGGTCACTAAATGGGTGAAGGATGATATCACAAGTGCTCCTTTGGAAGGTGTCTATGTGTATGGGCTGTATTTGGAAGGAGCTGGTTGGGACAGAAGAAACATGAGACTGACAGAATCTAAGCCCAAGGTGCTCTTCGAGATGATGCCAGTTATAAGGATATATGCAGAGAATAACAGTAAGTAGCTGTATTGTAAAGGATGTTATTTTGATAGAATTCAGTGTAACATTTTATTCAACGTCATGGAGGTCTCTTGGACTTTAGGGATTTCATGAGGCTGTCACTATTCACTGTATGCATACAGGATCTTTTTCAATGGTGGAGCCTTCCCAGTCTTCCCTAGAAAATAAGCTTTCAGACTTCCTTGATAAGTGATAATAGACACTTATTTTCTTAATATTTAGATAGGTCTCTACCTTCTGGTCTTAATGAGGTTAACTTTTTAAACCCATTACAGATGAGCTGTTCTCTGCGTCCTCTGACAAACATGCTTGCATTCAGTCTTCTGTTGACAACACATGTCCTAGATTAAGCAGATTGGTGTTTACATACATAAACTCTAACCTCTGTAACCTAAACCCAAATAACCTCTTTCCCACATACCCAAACCCCATGTAATTTTTATATATATAAAACTTATATAAGTATGTATACTTATATATTAAAATATGATATATAACATATAATATATTTATTAAAATGTATATATGATATATATTTAAACCCCATATATATCTTTTAAGAGGTATTTATGGATAACATGTTATATATGTAACGTATATTTATAAAAATGCCCCCCCCCCTTTTTTTTTTTTCTGGAGAAGGCTATTTTTGAGTTAACAGAAGCAAGCAGAAGGTGGAGTGAGGTGGTAGAAGATGTTTTTCTCTTTGAGGCAGAAAAGGACTGTAAGAATGGAAAGAAAACTTACAGGGCAGAAGGCCAGTGCTGTTTTGTGAAAATAAATAAGTTAATGTGGGGGGGTTTTGCATATAAATTGGGAAATATTGTTGAATAGAGATGTAAAATAAGATAGGGTTATCCACTATTGCATATACAATTGGAAAATTCTGTCGAAAAGCATTCCACCTCCAAAAGCAAAGCCTGCTTACCTACTATTTAGTTAGAATTTTCTGTAGCTGGTCTTTTACAAGAGGCATGATCACTGTGACAGCAGCCAAGATGCTAAATAACGAACACTGAAACATTAAGCGCAACTAGACTACTGTTCTAGTTCTCTAGTGAAGAATTTGACAATTTATACTGTGAAATAATAAAAGCATTTCAAAATAGGGCATATTTTATTTTGATACACCAATAATATATTTGTAAGAAGTAATGTTCAGTGAACAGATTGAACTAACAGTAACACTAATCACGCTAGTGTCCATTTACATTTCTTGCTACCTCCAGTACTTAGGTGTTGATGTTAAATCTTAAACCTACAGGAATTTCAAGCCATATGTGACCTTCAGCTGGCATTAGTACAGTAGTGAACAGGGTGAGAATCAAGTAAGAGTTTTCTTTGGTGGTGACAGAGAGACATGTAATATTAACTTTGATTCAGTTTTACATTTGCCTTATGTCTAGTCCCCTAGGGCCCTGGTTTTTCAACCGAGTTTCATTGGTTTTTGTTTGTTCTTTCTTGTCAGCTTCAAAAGATCCACGTCTGTATTCGTGTCCAGTCTACAAAAAGACCATTCGAACAGATATGAATTACATTGCTGCTGTGGACCTTAAAACCCTTCAGCCTCCAGAGCACTGGGTACTGCGTGGGGTAGCACTTCTGTGTGATGTCAAGTGATGTTAAAAAACAAAATGTTTCTTAGAGTTCTTTTCTGTTTTTAAAAGTAAACATCAATAGGTAGTTAGCTATACAGTGGATGACTTCTAAAAACATATTTTCTAAGGCATAGACTCCATTATAGTATTTTTAGAAAATTGTTCTCAATAAACCTCTATGATAAGCTTATAAATGCTAAATCTTAGAGTGATATTGTTTGGTAAATAGATTGAAGTACTACTTTTCAAGTCTTGACAGATCATGACAAATACTTAGTGTTCCTATGTCACTCTTTTGAGCTTAATTTTAGCTTGAATAAAGATTAAGTGATTTGAATGTTGTTACTTTTCAATGGTAAATATGCTTGTATCGGGGCTTACCTTCAAGTAGCTAAATGCAAAGTTGGTTGTTTTTTTTTTTTTTAAGGATTTTTTGTTTGTTTGTTTGTTTTGTGCGTGTGTGTGTATCTGTGGAAAGCTAAGCCCAGTTGCTCATTCATACTAGTTAATATCCTTCAAGATGATCTTCCAAGATTTATCTCCTAGCTGATAGTTTCTAGTTTTTTTGCTGTCTAAATAGGGAAGGTGGGACTGGAAAAACCTGACACCTGTTTCACCACTTGGAGAACAATTTCGTTGTGCTACATAGGAAAATAAGCATTTGAGAGCTCCTAGAATTCCATATTATCTGGTTCATGACTTATAAATATGTAATGGATAGGAATAAAATAGTTCCACAAGAATTCTTGAATATTTTGTTATGTGCTAGTACACCACATTTCAGTCAATCTTCATCAAGGTTATTAGTTTTATGACATCAATTTTAGCTTTGCTTCTGCTCTAATTTTGCAGTGTTGTGGTTTTATGTATTGTGGGGTTTTTTGGTTAGTTGGTTTGGTTTGTTTTTTTTTTTTTTTTTTTTTTTTTTTTTCTTCCCTTTCTCCTTTTTTTACTGATGTGCTGCAGCTTTTTTGGTGTCTCAGCTAGGTAGGAATCTTTCCACATATCCATCTTAAGAGAGAAATGTTAGCAGCTCCGTTTAGTTGAACACTATTGACTTCACACGTCGAGCACACTTATTTAATCATCAAAAAGCCAGTGTACATTTGTTGCTGAGTCCAGTAGGTCATGTATCTTAGTGGTCCACTAATCATTCACAATAACAGGTGATGCAGAAGAAGAAGCAGAAAGAACCAATATTCCTGCTGCATCTGTCATACATAAATGCTGCCGTGGAGAAGCTGTTTTCAATTTTTTGTCAAATCAATACATGGAATTTGAAGGGTGCATTAATTAGTTTATTAAATAAAGATGCTAAATATATTTCTTGCCTAAAGCTAATATTTAAACAAATAAAAAAATTTATTAGAAGACAGAATAATTGTCTTTATATTTTAGTGGAGACTTCAGCATTCATTTCTACAGCCAAACCAGTTATGAAATTTAGGTGGAACATTGATTCCGTTTGAAACTCTAGTTCTACAGGTCTTTCCATTGTCTTTCCATCTTAGAATTATTATTTTTTTCTTCTTTTTCCTTTTAAATAACTCACAGGGAAACAAATGAAATGTATGAAAATCTCCTTTAGGAAGTATTTTTAATTCAGACATGGCAATAAATAAATGTAAGATGGGAGGGTTAAATTGTTCTTTACTGGACCTTGGAGCACCATGCTTAAACTTCCAGGAGATCCTCCAAATGCTTACTGGAGTTCTAAGCTGCTGTGGACTTGTGTCTTTTAGCAAGACATTCCTCTCTGAAGGAGATGCATGTACTTCGTCTGTGTGCAAGTCATTTGCACCAAGAATTTTCAAGCCACATACACTTCAGATGCCACTTTTCAAACAGTGGATTTGCTGTACCATTATTGCTGTAGACACAGTGGAGATGTCAAGCCCCGTGATAATTCTCAGTGAGTGGACTGGGCACATTTTTTTAGAGTGTGATTTTCTATGAGGGTGGTGGGGAAGAGGGTAGTTTCCAAATAAACCCATGAGAGACGGGACCCCGGATGGGTGTAAGTAAGAGGTCGAGAGTTGGGAGTTGAAATTGAAGCTGAAGTCGAAGTTGTTGCCAAAGTCATTTATTGTCAACAATTCTTGTACAGTTATACAGTCTCTAGCAATACTTGTCAACATTTGATTGGTCATTACCCTCTGTCCATAATACACCAGACAACTCATTGGCTACAAGTTAGTTACTGCTATCCTAAGCCTATTGGTTAATTAAATCTTGCAAGCACAAACACACTGTTCTATACACTTTTAGCTCAAGGCAGAAAACTTTCCATTGATTAAGAAAAGGCCAGATGTTTTCCTTTGACTGTCACCTTGATGTTTTCTTCAGACAAAGCTCAGCATCCTTATCTTGTTTTTCTACATTCCTGTTTGCTGCTCCCAAGGCTTCTGGCCGACCAAGGTCAAGATGTCCTCATCATTCACTAGCTGTGCAGCACTCCCAGTTCTTCTTCCCAGCCGTCCTGCTACAAATACACACTGGTGATCCTACTTATGCCAAAGGCTGTTAGATCAGTAAAGCAACTGATGTTGGCAGTCGCTGTTATTTCTGTTCTATTAGCTCCATTTCTTCAGAGGCTTGGCATTATCTCTTTAGGTGTCTGCAAAACCACCAGCAGGAGTGGAATGGTGAGGCATGGGAAAATTCAATGAAAAGCTCTTTTGAAATGCAGTATCATGTCAAGGGGGGCAGAGTGTATAACCTTGCTCTCCCCAGGGTTTCGCAGCTTGGGCTGGGGGACAACTTGGTGCAGCTGGAATTGGACCTGCCTCGTTACTGTGGGCTTGTCTGGCAATCACTGCTGGTTACCCTCATCCGATCAGGCCCTGCCTTGCTGACTCAACTTTCTGGCACGACCTCAGGTCTGCCTTGTTATTACAGCCTCATCTGGCAGTCACTGGTACGTTAGCTGGCCCCGACTGCTGTCACGGACCTGCTCTGATTTTTTGTTCAGGTGCTGTGGGACTTGGCCCTTGTCAGAGAGCGCCTTGCCCTGCCCACCCCGCGGTGACTCTTGGCTCCCAGCTCCACTTCCCTTCCCAAGCAGATTGCCATTGCTGCTCCCTGACATATGGCTTCAAACAGGTGAAAAAATGAACTGTTTCTTGTTCGTCGTCGTAGCAGAGGTGGGTAATAAAATGTTTCTATGGAGAGGAAGATCGATAAAATAAGCAGCCCTGACATATTTTAGAACTGGATGTACTTTCTCCACGTTTGGCTCTGCTATTGGTAGTGAATGGATTGCTCAAGAAAAACCATTCACAGACACCAGTTGTGCTGTTATTAAGTATGTGGCACTATAAATTTGAAGGTCTGGAAAAATGCAGTGTTACAGAAGGTATTTCCTTATGTTCTTTCTGATATTTGTCATGATAAATACATGTATTCTGGAGAATATTTAAGAACAAATGTTATACAAATTTCTCTTAGAAATTAATGGCAAAATAGCTTTGAATAAGGTGGAGATATTACAGCTTCATCAGAATCCTTTGAAATATCTCATAAATTTTAAAAGTATTTTAAGATAAGTGACCTAATCTTTCAAATATATGCTATTCTGTGTAGGCTATACTACATAGAAAGGTCTTACGAGCTTCTCTTCAGAAATAATTATTTCCCTGAGCTCTGTGCCTACATTCATACTTTTTAGCTCATAGGTCACTTACATTGAACTTTTTGTTCTCACTACTGGGATTTGTTCCACTTTCAGAGTTTATAAGGAAGAAGAAAAAGCCAAGTTTTTATCACAGTAGGCAGTGCAATTCCAAATGAACAGCAAGTACAGTTGTCATCACTGAAAAGGATTTTTTTAATCAAAAGTAGATTGTTATGGTATATGTACAAACTGGATTATAGAGAAAGTATTTTTCATTCTGAACTATCCTTCATTAAATTATTTTGATATTGAAATCAATATTGAAGAAAGTTCATTTTTTCTCTGTTATGTGGGTTTTTTTCATTCCTTGCTTGGACAGTGATCCTCTTCTAGTTATCTGGCGTTGAACGTACAGGGTGGCTTCCTAATGAATCTTGAAATAGAGTTTAGCTAGTGCTCATATGCAACATTTTAATTGGTAACCATCACATTTGAATTGCATAAACATTATAGGTGCATAAAAATATCTGAAGGCTTTTAGAACACGTACAGGGTTTGAAAACCCAATGCTGCAGAGGTGGAGTCATATGTGACAAGTTGCTTATCAGTTACGTAAAATTAAGGGTCAATTAAACAGATGAAGAAAACTTAGTTCTTGACATGTCTGTGGATCCCAGGATGTACCATTTACTGGAGTTTCTGGTATCTTTTATTTTGCAAAATGCAGCTTTCCCTCAAAGTTTTCCAACTACTGTACTATATTTTTCTATACCTTTTGTTCTTATAATAAAGTTAAAACATGCAGTGTAAGTGATAATGTATTATGTGTGTCTGTATATTAATATAGAAACAAGAAAATTAAAATCTAGGCTTTAAAAACTAAACAGTGAATACATGTTACCAATCTCAATTTGCCTGAGAAGTCTACACATAGGAATAGAAATGTCTTGGTATTTACTTGTGTATTAAATATTTTAAACAAATATTCACAACAAAGAACTACTGAACCAACACTAGAAAAATTGGCAGAAGAAAGAGTGAGAAGAACAACATGGTTAAGTTATTTTTCATTTAGAACTATTATTTGAAATGCATACTGCCCTTTAACTTTTTAGTGAGGCTGTTATTTGCATTGCAATCACTCTGAAAACTGAAGTAGTTATTTTAGTTTTTGATGTCAGAGGGTATGAGATATCCTACTTTGGCAAGAAAAACAACAGATGTTTGCTGAGGTAAAAACATGATTTTTTCTTTCAAAGGTGTTATCTTAGAACAAGAAAATTTACACACACAAAAAAAGAAGAGTTAGGAAACCTTCCGTGAAAAGAGCTTAACGTGGTTTAACAGAAGGCAGTGTGACTTGTTAAGACACTGTTTTTACATGAATTGCCTGCAAATAATTTAAAGTTCATTGTTTCTCTGTTAAACTGCCACAAGAATGGAAGCCAATATGTATAGCTCCTCCCCCACCAACTTGCATAACTTGAGTACAAGAGGTGTATTTTCTTCAGAAAAATGTAACCTGGAATATCATTTCCTGTTAACTGCCCTTACTATATCATGTCACAATACTCTTTCCTCTATTTAAGTTGAATTAGTTCCTAGCTACCTTGCTTCCTCTGAGTAAACTGCAATTCCAGCGAAGTAATAGTAGATTAGTTTGGGAAGGGCACTGTTATATGGTTCGTTTTACCTTTCAGTTTCTTTTCGAAACTAATCCATCTGTACGTGGAAACTAAGTGTTGACTGATGGTGAAGTCCATGAGCACTGTGTAAGAGTGTGGCAAAAGTGTGTGTGCAAAGAATGTCTAGAAATGCTTTGTGAAGTAAGATGTGTTCCACGTGTCTCCCTTTCCTGAGTTGTCATTTGCAAAAATCAATTCCTTTGTATTAACTTTCAGTACTTAAAGGGGGCTTATAAGAAAGATGGGGCCAAACATTTTAGTAGGGCCTGCTGTGATAGGACAAAGGTCAAGGGTTTTAAACTAAAAGAGGGTTGATTCAGACTAGATATACGGAAGAAATTTTTTACAGTGAGAGTGATGAGACCTTGGAACAGGTTGCCCAAAGGGGTGGTAGATGCCCTCTCCCAAGAATTGCTCAAGACCACGTTGGACGGGGCTCTGAGAAACCTAATCTAGTTAAAGATGTCCCTGACCACGGCGGGGAGTTGGACTAGTTGTCCCGTCCAACTCAAGCAATTCTATAATTCCATAACTTGCATAAATCAATATTGTTTGAATTAAAATATTTTACATAAAATGTGCAGATCAGAAAAAATAGTAATTATTGCAATGAAAGCTCAAATGACTTTGTGCTTTCCAAGTAAATTATTTACTTCATTGTGCCCATAAACTAAGTTGCTTTGCATTACTTGATACTACGTTGGGGAATGATAAAGCTCAAAAATGTATAACACAGAATAATTACGTGTTGAGTTTTCATTTTAAGCATTTAGAAGATATTTTATCATTCTGGAAAAAAGCGAGCCAGCAAAAACAAGTTTTGAAAATGAAAAAAATAAATCACTGAACACTTAAAATATGTTTTCCTTTTTGAGTTTTGGTCTCCAAATTCTTCATAGTAATCCTTACTTCCCAAGGGCAAATAAATCTGTTCTTTATTCTTCCAAAGCAAGACATCTCAGGTGAGTTACGTTTGAAGTTCA